TATATATATATATGTTTCCATCACACCCTAAAAATTATTTTAATTATAAAATAAATAAAGTATTGTGTTGAAAATTAAATATTTGTATCCAAATGCTCTAAACTAATGTTTCAAGTTAAATCCAATATATTCCATTACAAATAAATATTCTTTCAAAGAAACAAAAACAGAAATGGAAAAAAAACAAACAAATAAAAACCAATAGCAACAACTATTGAAGTTAAAACTCTAGAAATTAAAGAGAGGGTGAAGAATGAATTTATAGTTAAAACCTTAACAATTAAAGAGAAAGAGGGAAGAATGAAATTGAGAAGAAATAAACATAATATGCATCTTACCTGAGTCTTGTGGCTTCTCATGAGTGTGCTTCAATTGATTCAACAAGAAAAAAAAAATAATTGGAAGAATATAAGAGATTCAAGAGAAGGAAAACTATGTGAAAGACATGGCGTGAAGAAGCAAAGGATGCGAAGGAGACAACGCGTGAAGAGAAGAGATTGCGTGAAATAGATTGGGGTATTTTCGGAAGTTTGTAAATTTCATTAAACCCAACTCCTCTTTGAAACTGGTTCCCTCATAATCAGAAAATGAAATCACATCATTAGCTGCTTTCCCTTATAGCTTTCTTTCACAACAATTTTTAACAATAAATGATTTTCTTATAGTTTACCAAACGGGTTGGGCTTCCCAATTTTTTTAAAAAAAATCATTTATCACTCCAAATAAGTAATGTCAAACAGGCACTAAAAAAGAAAAGAAAATGGACTCTAAAATCATCATCTTTATCTTTTTCTTAAATGAATCAGGTCAACCACATAGTTTCCTTCTTCAATATAAGTTAACTAATATGTCAATAAATGTGATACAAATAGTAGTGTTGTTCTTCTATACTAGTTTAATTGTATTATACATCTCATCTAAATAGAGATGGAAATTTTGCAAACTACACAATGATGCTATTCAAGAAGTCAAACCCAACACAAAGTTAAGAAGAGAGAGTTGACAATTATTTGACTAAACCCATATATTGTTGGGGTTGTGTGGATGCAAGTCATGAAATTGGATTAGCATAATTAGGGGTGGCATTTTAGACCGAAAAACTGCAAAAACCAACCGACAATTTAACGCAATGGAACCGCAATCACGGGAAACCAAACCGCATTTGCTGAATGAAGAACCGAACCGCATTTGCGATTGCGGTTGCGATATTTGATTTTCAAAATTTGTGGTTACCACAAACCGCGACTATATTTATAAATAAATAAATAAATTGCATTTTGTAGATAGCATTGGTGCTCAAACAACACAACGGGGTCCTTCAAATCCACTCACCACCACCAACACTTGAGTTTGTAACTTTAATTTGTAACATTGGTGCATTGCATTTTTCTTTTAGTTTGTAACTTTAATTAACTTTGAATTGGATTTTTCCTTTGGATTGTAACTTTAATTCATTTTGCATATTGCATTTCCTTTTGGTTTGTAACTTTAAAGGATTTGGAATTGGAATGCTTGAGAAGTTGAGGTTGTAAATGCTTGGGAAGTTTGACTTTAATTGAAATGCTTGGAATTGTAACTTTAATTTTCTTTAGGTTGTGAATGCTTGAGAAGTTGAGGAGGTTGTGAATTTATATATGCTTGAGAAGTTGAGGTTATGAATTTATATTTTTGGGTTAAAGTATGCTTGAAATCAAAAGGCTTCAAAAGAAGCATCAAAATTAGGCCTAAAATGTAAAAGATTGGATTTTTATGACACAAAAAGAACTTGCGGTTTTAAACCGCTAATTCATGGTAACCGACCGCTTTTTGTGGTTTACCGCAAAGAGCGGTCGGTTTGCGGTTTCAAAATCACCATACCGCAAATAGTTGATCGGTTTGCGGTTTGGGCAAAAATTCGCGGTTACTGAACCGCAACCCACCCTACGCACGACTATACTATTTATAAAAAATAAAAATAATTATAAAAAAAAAGATTACTTGGCTAGCGCTAAGGCACCTGCCTAGCGATTTGGAGCCCACGTGTCAAAAACGTATAGCCACATGGCTATACTAGTTTTTACAAGAAAATTATAAAAACTGAGCATAGGCGCGACTTTACTATTCATAAAAAATAAAATAAATAAAAAAGGAAGGATCAGCCTAGCGATTAGCCCACAGGTCAAAAACAATATAGCCGATCGGCTATACTAATTTTTTTTTTCCCAAAAACTGTATTATAGCCGCAAGGCTATACTATTTTTAAAAAAAATTAAATAAAACCGAGTATAGCCGTGCGGCTATCCGAACCAATAGCTTGGACGAAGGAAGTCTCGGATAGCCGCTCGGCTATACTTTTTTAAAAAAACACTGGAAGTATAGCCGCGCTACTATATTATTTTTTTATAAACAACAGAGTATAGCCAAGCGGCTATCCTAACCGATTGCTTGGACGGAGGAAGTCTTGGTACCGACGCTGAACCACCAAGCTGGAATATTCGGTTTCGGCTTTTCACAGAGGTGGTACACAATGTGGTATAAAAATATGGTCAGCCTGGTATTTTCATATATCAAATCAACCCTTCAGATTCGAACTCCCATGGCACTCTCTTGTACTGTGTGTGAGAAACTCTCGTCCTTTTAGTTTAGACTATCTCTTGTATTCAAATCAAAAAATATAAAACAAAAGGGCCCTTCATATTAGAAAGATAAATTGCGGTGATTGCGGTTACAATTTTCAGTTGATCTTCCTTCCAGACTGCTGTGAACTTCACTTTGAAATTAAAGACATGGCCCCTTATGCCACAGCACAAAAAGAAAAACAAAATTACCAAGCAAAGAATATTGTATTGCAGATCTCACTCTGTTACTCTCTGTCCCTGTTTTAAATCAAGTGGGTTCACTACCACTATAAATCAAAGTCTATTTTTTGGGTTCACCAGATGTGGGGCAAAAATTTCAAAGGAGGAGCACAGAAGGATGCTGAACTTAATCTCCATTATTCCATTTCATCTAAATGTCCAAATTGTTCTTTCCAGTGAACTGATGCTTCTTCAGGAGTCCGAAAAGTCCAGATGTGAGGCTTCGCTTTTTCCCGAGTTTCCAAAATTTCCTGCATTAAGAAAGTCTAGTTTGTTATTACCTTGAAGAATCATGTATATCACAAGCCAAACTGAATTCAAGCCATATTCCCAAGTGCCACGCAGCTGTTAATTTTGTCACAAGTAGTTATTGACAATCACCAAAATAGAAGCTCTTAGGGAAAGGAAAGGGGAAAAAGAAAAAGAAAAAAGACACCGAATCATAACATGGCGAGTATTAGCTTTAGGTCAAAGTCAGGTGTATTATAAAGCACAAACTGAAAGGATGGCTTTTCCTACATTGCCATCTTATACATGAATCTGCCATCACCACAAGAGGGGAAAGAGTGAAATGGATCTACTCTTTCTAGGCACCAACCCAATATAAGAAGCCACAGTTTCCTTGCACACTTGTAAGCACCAATTGAAAGAACATGTGACAAGAATGATCAAAGTCCAATAACAAAACACTTCCAACACTCAAATACATCAGAATTCACAAGGAACAAATAGAAGGGTGGCTCTTCCAATAATTTTTACGTATATGCCAAACATTTAAATAATATGTACAGATATGTAAATAATATTAATATTATGTGGGTGGGTGTTAGGAATAAGCCAGTATAGCAACTAAACCCTTTTGTTAAGTCTGTTTAGCAACTATATAACTGGTGTGTCAAGAACTTGAGAAAATTGAGGCAAAAAAACAGACAAGATGAAACTGAAAGTAAAATGAGACTTTCGATTTCTGAGTTCCATAATGAATTATGAAACTACAGAGGCTTAAAATTACAGCTCATAAACTTGTGTTCTTTATAGTTATAGCAAGCCCACATAAAAATTATCTAACTCACTCAACCGAAACTAACAGATCCATGGAACTAGCTGACGATTTAAAGGCTTTGCATATTCTACATTAACAGCAATCAGCTGAAGCAGCTATTACTGCTATAGAGCCACAGCAAGCTGCTAACTTTATGTGCATCCTCAAACAGATGGAGGAGAGTCACCATCAGTTTGCTTCAATGTAGAATAAATTAGTAGAGGACATAGGCTTGGTGAACATATCAACTAGTTGATCCGTGCTCGAAATGTATTTTCCTTCTTATTGGAAAGGAAAGTCAATCAATCAACAGTGCGAACTATGCAGACCAATTACAACAATGAAAGCTAGACTACAGAACAATACAATTCTTCCAAAACCAGGACCTCAACACTAAACTTGGTATTAAGTATCAAAGAACAGCTTCTTTCAATCAGTGAAGATAGCCAAAGAAGATGCATCCCCAAATTCAGAAGACGCTGAATGACCAAAATCTAACGTAGAGCACCACCTCCCCTACAACCAAACAGCTTATGCCTTTCAATAAACAGAATTATAACCAGCTTGAATTACCCAATTCACATTTCCTTCCCTAAACAATAGTACTGGAAATGAACACAACACCCAAATCCTTCCGTTCTGAACAAACTGAGGGTAAATTTCAATTGGTTTGGTGAGAAAATGAAACAGTGAACTAGAAACCTAGTTGTTGATTTACAGTCTCTTGGATTGAATGTCTCCTCGTAGCATAACCAACTTTTTCATGAAGCCTATAACTAAGGCTATTTCTTCCAAAGCAAATTCGATTTGGATGAATGAAAATTATCTCACGTTGAAGGCTTGGTGCCTTGATATCTTCTCCTCCCTATTATTCTCTATTTCTTGAATTTCTCTAAACTTAAATCAACCATAAAATTTCTTTCTCCAGATCTTTTCGAGTTAAAAAATTTCTCTTATCTAGTCCACCATAATCATAGGCAACACCCATCATTTAGACAAATAAATCCTTCGCAATCCAATGTGTATGCTAGAAGTACACATTGTTTAGCTTTATACTGTAATTTATGCTGATTGTAATGTTTGATATGAGGACAGCAAGCACATCCAGAAATCCTTGAAAGCTACAATCTGGAATGATCAAGAGATTCTTGCATGAAGATTTTAGCAGCACTGATCTGCTAGGTAGATGATTGATTAAAAATACTGCAGTGGCATACAAATGAAGCCAGAACTGAATGCGTAAAGATGATTTAGGCAATAAACTGACATCAGTTTCAACAATATACTTGTATTTATGTCCTGCTACTCCATCTTGTAATTTGTTGTGGCAGTAAATGGGATCTTCTATTCAGGAAGTCACACCATCAGTCCTAAGTACTTTTCATGTTGGGAGACACCAATTTCTCCACATAGGCCTTAAATTAGGGGAAAAACAATAAAGCAATGTGACTTATCAGCCGAAGGAATATCCAAGCACATTTTGTACAATCATCAAGGAACAGTATTAAAAACCAAAGAAATAATTGACAGGTGCAGGGCTCTAATCATCAATACGTATTAATTGAAGAGAAATCCATTAACCCGTACAGAGGATGGAAATATATAACCAAACAAAAAATCAAACCTGCACTTCAGATGACCGTTTTGTCTTCAAACTCAAACAATCAACAAGAGAAGTCCATTTCCCGGAACAGTTATCAAGTACCCCAAGTCTATAATACTGCTGCATCTGATGCACTGGAGCTGCCAGAACATGAGTGCGCATCAGATTAAAAGCAAGAAATAGAAATTAACAGGCAAAGCAATCACAAAATAGAATGAGTAAGGTAGGAAACATCCAGAAAAAAAAAATTAAAATAAATGACATTTATAGTGAAACTATATCGCTGTGTGCAATGATCACGAACAGCTATCAACAAGATTTAAAGATGACCATATATAGAAACAACTGAGCATAAAGCAGTCTAACATGAAAAAGAAACAGTCACTGAAAACTACCAAAGAATCATTAAGAAAATTTAATTACAAAAGAAAACCCACCAATAACTGATTTCAGAAGCTAGTGACTGTCAAGTTTGAAGCTTGTTAAGTGGGCAGTAACCAAAATGAACAAATTACCAAGCTTTTTGTTTTTTTTTGTTTTTGTTTTAGCAACTATTAAATAACATCTTCTCCATAAATTCAATAAAACCCGAGTTTAAATCTACCATGTTGTACATTAGATTCATGAACAATTACCCAAAACCCATGTAACCTTTAAATTAAAATTGAATAAAAAGAAACTGGAATCGTACCACATGTAATTGCGAAACTATTGTGTCAACAGAAATTAAATGGGAACAGCTTATGTGATATTTAACAACAGAAAGGGGAGAGAGAGAGAGAGAGAAAGAAGGCAAAGAGGAAGCTTACAATAGCAAAACCAGAGAGCGTCAAAGCAGGTGGAACACGATAATCTACGCTTTGGAGCTAAAGATCCTTCTTCCACTGAAGGCATATCTCTCGATTGACCGTTAGGATTAACAGAGCGCGATTGAACTGATCCTCTTCTTTTTCACTGCACAAAGTGAACGACCAGATCGCCTATTCATATTGACCAAAAACAAAATCGCCTATTCATGGGTTTTTTTTGTGCTTATTCTTCTTTTTTATCGGGAAAACATTTTTGGGTGTTTTTTTCCAAAAATTTTACTTTTAAAAAAGCAGGTTTTTTTAGGAGCAATAGTTGCCAACAGGGTCACAGTAAGAAAAAAATACTTGGCTTGCAGTCTAAAGGTCTTATGTTCAAACTCCATGACATTAGTTGTGTGTGTGAGAAACCTCCTTCTTTGTGGTTTAGACTATAGCTTGTAGTAAAAAAAATATACAAATTTATAAATAAATTCAATCCTAGACATGTATTTATAAAAAAACTCAAACACTATTTAAATATAGAAAACACACCCAAAATCAACAATTGTATATTTTTTGGGTGTGTTTATCAATAGATTTTGAGTGTGTAATGATGGGTTTTGGGTGTGTTTATAAAGTGTTTTGAGTGTTGGGTTTTTTTATAATTTCAGCCCCCATTTTGGGTGTTTTAGTGAAACTACCAAAAAAATAATGATTTTTTAGTTTGTACCTGATTTGCATTTTGGTCTTTATTCGAAAAATAACTTAAAATGAGGGCATTGAAAATTACATAAAATTCTTAAATTATAGAATTTAGATCTTAAATGATGAAGATTGATACCCAGGTTGGATAAATCATAAGAAAACTTGCTTACGTGGACACCAGTCAAATGGATAAATCCAAAAAAAAAAAAAAAAAAAAAAAAAAAAAAAGAAATATAGGAATACCACATTTTATAGACTACTTGGTAAACCACCTCTCTAAGACCATCTCCAACCCAAGGGGTGGAAACTTAAATTTTGAGTTTTGAGTCCAAAAAACTTCTCCAACCCATATATTTTGAGGGGTGGAACTTTGAGAAATCTCAAATTTGAGGTGCAATTCCAGTCCCAATATTGCCTAGACTCATATTTTTTGTGGGCCCAAAAAATCTATTTTTTATTCTTTTTTTCTTGGCTGGAAGCCCACATGCTGACCAACATTGATGGGCCCGCTGATATTTCTGTTTGGGCATGCAAATAAAGCTGGTGCACATTTCAATCTTGTTGGGCAGCAACTATATTTTCAAAACAAACTTATTTGCTTTTTTTTTTTTTTTTTTTTTTTTTTTTTTTTTTTTTTTTTTTTTCTATTATGTTTTGGAATTTTAATTTTTTTGGTTAAAATGTTTAGAAAAAATTTAAAAATCACGAGTGTTGAAATAAAAATAATATCAAGGAAAATTAACAAGAAAAAAAAAATATAAGGGTTAATTATTCTTAAACAATTTAATAAAGTTGTTGACTCAAATTATGAGTCTGCAAGGTTGGAGGAAAAAAAAATTGAGTCCTAAAAATACATGAATAGTTATATTTTGGGAGGTGAAAATTTGAGTTTAGCCCCAACATGGTTGGAGATTGCCTAATAAAGGTAGGCCCCATTGTATTGATAAACTCCACCTCTATTAAGGAGATGGTATATAAGGTCGTCTAAAAATGTGGTCTCCCTAGCATGACCCAAAGAAAAGCGGTGGGTCGGGCCAAAGAACTAATCTATATTAGGTGATTCAGCCCTATTTACCATATTAATTGGGATTAATATTATAAGTCAAACTATATATATATATATATTTGGTCTATTCTATATATATATATATATATATATAAAGCTATAGATTACACCAAATTAAAAAAAGAGTACAAAGGAAAAAGACTGAAAAGGAAGTCATCCCAATAGCAGTACAGCAAACATGGTCAAAACCTTTTCCAGTGACATGAGCCAGCCAAAAATCAAAAACGATTTGGAGAGAATCACTCCCAAAAATAACTTTTCTAAAATCTCTATCTACTATCATAGTTGTCTTGAATCTAGTCCAATTGCATCAGGACAAACCATGTAGCTAATCAGTATGATTCTCCTCAAGAGACTACAAAACCCAACAAAACTCAACCAAGTTTATGGCATTATGAAAGAAAAATAACATAGACAACTCATAGAGTTTATAGACTTTATTGAACAAACTATACCAAAATTGAAAAAACTAAAACAAAGCCGCAAAAGGAAGCACAATATATGACTATGACATAGAGAGCACTACCCTTCATCTAGGACATGACATAGAGAGCGCTACCTAGTTCGCCCAAGGCCACAACACACCAATGAGCAATGGATTTACCATGACCAAGTTGCAACATCTCATAGAGCAGCCCCGCGAGATGAGACACGACCAAAGTCAGCCCATATATGACACAATATATCTGCCAAAGGAAGAGTATATCGACATAAGTCCACCAAAAGACGGAAAACACCGAGGATTTGATTGGAATTTTTTTTGGGGGGGGGGGGGAAGAGAAGAAGGAATCCTCCGCATGTCCCGAATATGAAGAAAGGTTAAAAATATATATATTATTAAAACAAACATAAAACTCTTTCTAATTAATAGATAACTGGATATATTGCCTTAAAAATGCCCTGACTATGTATTCTTATTTTTGTAGCGAAAAAATAGAAATACTCTTTTTAATTTTTCATTTAATGAGAACTAATTAATAAGGACAACATTTTTTTCACCATGTTGTGATTTACGAATCTTAACCACACACATCTCATAATCGAAACATTTCATTTCCTAAATCACAATTTAAAAATGAACTCAACAAAAATCAATCAAATTGAGGATCGTTTATTAATTCATATTTATCGAACAAATTGATAATTTTGACAACAATTAAGATTCTTACGATGAACCGTCTAGTTATTTGATACATATAAATAACTAAATGATATCAAATTTGATTGATTTTCAGCAAATATAATATTTAAATAGTGAATCACAACGAGGTGGACAAGACCTAAGTTTTATTCATTAAATAATATGGTTATTTGTTTATTCTCTGGTATCATATCATGGTTACCCGAACTAATTAGAAATATTGTGAACCAGTTTTATCCTTAATTATAATGCAATCGAGGGACCTAGTTTGTGCTTAATTACAACACAATTCAATCCATGAAATCACCTAATGTTGGAATCAAAATACTAGTTCTTTTCTCAAACCCCAATTTCATTCATTTTAATGTCATGATATTGTACATGTTAAGAGAATCATAGATCTCTTACTCCTAATCATAGTGTGACTTTATCTTCTCCACAATCATTTCATTGGTTTGTTTAATATATAATTGTTAGAGTTTGTACATGAAAATACACTTTTACTTAGTCCCATATTTGAAGAGAGTTGTTTCCTTTCATAGTTTATAAGCACTAACACTTCAGAAATACTAAATAGGGTATGAGCCTAATGGAGAAGATAAAGTTGGGCCTCATCATAGTGGATATATATATATATATATATATAATTGGCTAATTATATATATATATTTAATTGTCAAAAAATGAGGCTCTTGGGCTTTGTTGATTTAATTAATATTTCTTTTTATTAATTAGAAATTCGTTTTAAGATAAAATCATTATATGAAATTCAAATATGTTTAAACAGTTATTGTAATTGTTGGATGAAAAGGTATTAAGCCTCTATATATTGACAATTCGTCCAAACCAGAACATATAGAAATTGAAATTGCATAATCAGTCTCACACATAAATACTTCCTGAGAGAAAGCATATCATTGTTTGCCAGAAATCAAAGCTATAGTGCTTAGGCTTTGATTTGTGATAGTTTAATCCTGGTGGATAGACTCCTATCGAACTACAAGCACAAGGGTATAAGAGAAATATTGTCTAAAGGATACTACAATTCTACAAGACTATCATCTATTCAAGTCAGTATTCTGTGATTCATTCTATTGCTATATTGATTTGATTATATATATATATATAATATTTCGTATTATTTTATTTTATTATTTGGTTATATTCTGATTGTTCTCCAACAATAATGATATTTTTTTGTCAAATTAACTCTATTCATTAAGAGTGGGAAGCATTAAAAAGGTATAAAGCCCAAACTAAATGCAGCCCATCACCAACATACAAGAATTCTATAGTGAATGCCTCATATAAGGCCCTTAGATGAGGCCCTATCTCTTAACCATTGAATCAAATTAGTTAGCCTTTGGATCAAATTTGTTCGCGCTAAAACTAAATAGATAGAAGTAGAGCTAACTTACAGGTGGAGTGGGGAGTTTGGACCCGAGGAACCTTCGGTACGGCCTGGAGAAAGAAACGGCAGGTAAGGTCTGGGACACCGGTGTGGCGCCGGCCGAAGACCCTCCGATGCCAACGTTAGTGACTAAGAGCAGTTCTTTTGATAGTATGGAAGCACAAGTCAAGTAAACAGTCTTACCTCTTGGCTGAGCCAAGGGGCTCTATTTATAGAAAGCATTTGTGATGCTCTTAGTACTTAGTTTCGATGTGAGACTCGTGGGAGTGTCTTCGACGGTCGACACGTGCTCTGACAGGTTCTAGCGAGAACTCCGAGGTTATGCTTGGATCGAGTCCATCCATTTGGGTCCTACTGAACAGCGTGAACCTCTGCGTCGATAATGCTCCGCCGAGCGAGGATTTAAATTGGTACGTGGCGTCCTACTCGGTCGTCAATCGTGGATGCAAGTCAGGAGAGAGCATCAGCGTGACTGTTCTCGGATCTAGGGACCTGCCAAATCTGGTATGTGCTGAATTAGTTACGCAGTCGGCGGGCCTGTGCTAAGTAGGCCACCATGGAGTCGTCTTTTGCGTCAAATTCGGTGATGACCTGATTGACGACCAGTTGGAAATCGCTACATATTGTTAGTCGTTTGGCTCCCATTTCTTTCGCGAGCCGAAGGCCTGTCAAGAGGGCTACGTATTCGGCTTTATTGTTGGAGGCATGGAACTAGAACCGAATGGCGTACTCGATTGTAGTTTGGTCCGAGGCTTTCAGGACTAGGCCTGCTCCACTGCCCCGTCAGTTAGACGAACCGTCTACATATAGTGTCCACTGAGCCATCATAGGGTCAAATACCTTTTCGGTAGGTTGATCCTCTTGGGCCGTTGTCATCGGTTTGGGGGTGGAATAAGCCAGTCGTTCGCCCTCTGAGGGAATAGTCAATTTTGAGAAAAAATCTATTACAGCTTGCCCTTTTTCAGCAGGTCGAGGGTGGTAGTGAATGTCAAATTCACCAAGCTCGATGGCCTATTTGATCAGTCGTCTTGATGTCTCTGGCTTCTGTAGGACTTGGCGTAAGGGCTGATTGGTGAGTACGTCGATGGTGTGGGCCTGGAAATAGGGCCGAAGTTTGCAGGCAGAGAGGACGAAGGCGTAAGCTAGTTTTTCTAATTGGGGGTACCGTTGCTCTGTATCTTGTAGGGTGTGGCTCGTGTAAAAAATGAGGAGTTCAATACATTTTGGTCTCCGAATGAGTACGGAACTCAGTGCCGTTGTTGAGACTGAAAGGTAGATGATAAGTGTTTCTCCTTGGAGAAGTTTGGACACCAAAGGGGCTCTACTCATGTACGCCTTGAGGTCTTGGAAAGCTCGGTTGTATTCGGCAATCCATGTGATCTGTCGTTTGCTACCCTTGAGAGCTTTAAAGAAGGAAGCGCATCGATTGGTTGCCTTAGATATGAATCAGTTCAAGGCGGCGACTCGTCCAGTGAGACTCTAAACGTCCTTCTTCGTCTTCGGTACATGCATATTGAGTAGAGCCCTGATTTTTTCTGGATTAGATTCGATACCTCGCTGACTGATCAGGAAGCCGAGGAATTTGCCGGATGAAACGTCAAAGATGCACTTGTTTGGATTGAGGCGCATGTTGTATTTTTTCAGGATGCCGAACATGAGGGAGAGGTTGTGGAGGTGATCGTTTGTGGTCTTGCTTTTTACCAACATGTCATCCACATAGACCTCCATCAAGGTGCCGATGAGCTTGGCAAATATTTTGTTGACCAACCGTTGGTATGTTGCCCCTGCGTTCTTTAAGCCGAACGACATGACATTATAGCAGTAAAGACCTTTGTCGGTGATGAATGTCGTATGCTTGCAATCGGCGGGTTGCATAAGGATCTGGTTGTAGCCTGAGTAGGTGTCCATAAAGCTAAGAAGCTCATGACCGACTGTGGCATCCATCAATTGGTCAATTCGTGGTAGGGGGAAGCTATCCTTGGGGCATGCCTTGTTCAAATCGGTGTAGTCCTAGCACATTCGCCAAGCCCCATCGGTCTTTTTGACAAGGACTGAATTTGCAAGCCAAATAGGATAAGTAACCTCCCGGATGAAGCCGATTGTCTTTAATTTATCGACTTCAAGTTTCATTGCCTCATCGTAGGACCAGGCAAATAGGCCCGTCGTTTCTGGTGGATTGGTTTGAAGGTTAGACAGATGTTGAGCCTGTGATTGATGACGTCTGAGGAGATGTCTAGCATGTCATCGTAGGACTAAGCGAATACTTCCGTATTGGCTTTGAGGAAATTAATGAACTTGGCCCGCAATGATGGACTGAGAGAGGTACCGATATTGAGTTGCTGATCGGTCAATGTGTCGGAGAGAGGCACCGTTTCTAGGTCCTCGACTGGCTAAGCATGTGGCGTGAGGCTTTCATCTCGGGGGTTGTCTAGTTGGTTAGAACATCCCTTGCCGTTCAGCATAGTGATGGTAGAAACTGCGAGCGACTCCCGTGTCACCCGTGCCGATTCCCGAGTTGCTGAAACATAGCACGCCCGTGCACTCAGTTGGTCCCCTTGTACCTGGCCGAGGCCAGCACGTGTTAGGAATTTGAGCAGGAGCATGTGGGCCTGCCGATGATGGCGTTGTAAGCTGTCGGACAATCGACTACCAGGAAGCTGGATGCTTCCGATTGGCTCCACAACATCACCCGAGAAGCTCAGGAGAGGGGTGATGTCCCTGTTGAGGCTTTAGTGTTAGATGCCGAGGCCTTTGAAGGCATCAGCAAAAAGCAAGTTGACTGAACTTCCGATGTTGATGAGGATTCGGCCTACGTCGAAATAGGCAATGTCGACTCGGATGATCATGGGATCGGAATAGGGAAAAATAATGTCCTTCTCTTCTTCATCGGAAAAGATGATGGGTTCCCATCCAAGTAGCCGAATTTTGCTGTTATGTTCTTCAGTGACACTAAAGATCTGAGGGTGCTGAACGACACTCATATAATTCTTGATGGACCGGTTGCTGGAATCGGCGATTGGCACACCGCCTTTGATCATGTTGATCTGCCGATTGCCAGGCTGTTCGGGACCCGGATGCGTACTCAGATACTGGTCTAGCTTGCCTTCACTAATCAGCCGTTCAACAATTTTGCGGAGGGCAATGCATGATTCGGTATCATGGCCATTGTATTAGTGGTATCGGCAGAACACTCCGGTAGCTTTGTCGCTCGGTCGTGGAGGTTTCCTGCTATTTGGTTTTGGTATCATCTGGTTCTCATTTATGAGAACGTGCTCGTAGGTGGTATTGAGCAGGGTGAATACCTCAGGCTGTAGATTCTTTGCGTCCTCGAAGTTGATTTGCCCTTCGAAGTTTTTGCCACGTTTGTCCCCGTTCTGTCGACCTTGGAATCTGTCTCTCCTTTTTCCTCAAGTAAAAGGAGTTGACACTGGTGGTGCCGTTTGGAAAGGGACGGATTGGTTTGTTCGGGCAGACGGGAAGCGGTTGTGGATTTGATCCTTTGGACAATCTATAGGTGTCGATGGGCAAGAGGGCGCTGAAGGTTGTCCCTTGGAATTGAAATGCTCGGCTTTGGCATGGATTGCTACATGTTTCATGAGTTCGCCGTATGTCGTCCAGTTGTTACTGTAGACCATGTAGCGGAACTGTGATGAACGGAGGCCGCTTTTGAAACCGCCAAATGCTGCCCAATCTTCAGTTTCCGAACATCTAGAGTATTCGTGGTTGAATTTGGCTGCATACTCTCGAAAGGGCTCGTCGTCTCCTTGCCGAATGGTGTAGAGGTCGTCGGTTGAGTAAAGACGATCAGTCTGTATCATAAAATGATTGAGGAAAGTTCGCTTTAATTGATCGAAAGAGTCTACCATACCTGGCTCCAGCCTATAGAACCAATTTAGTGCCGCTTTGACTAAGGTGGATGGAAATAATAGGCACTGGCCTTCATCGGTGAGCCCTTTGCAACCCAAGGCCGATTGGAAGGTATGGATGTGTGTCTCGGGATCTTCCACTCCCATGTAGAATGATATTTGAAGTGCTTGGACCTCTTTTTCTTGTCGGTAGACTCGGATTTGGCTGGTGAACGGTCCTAGCTGTACCTTTCCCCAAGTTGGTGTTCGTGCCCTTTCTTTTAGACTGGAATTGGAGAAGTCCACTATTCCCTACGTCAATTGTTGAGTCTGTCCCAACAATCGAAGTAGACTTGGTATTCCTGGTGGCGTTCTTCAAGAAAGGGCACGAACAGCCTCCGAGAGACGGATGGCCTACTCGTGGTTGGTTTTTTTCTTTTCTCCCGACCGCTGGGCTTTGGTACGCTTTTGAGCGATTGCTCCTACCGAAGCTGCATGGTCTATTCCAAACCGTCCTGCAGTTGGGCCAAGTGTGATCGTTGTTCGTGAAGCTGCCTTTGGGTGTCATCCAGTTTGGAGGAAAGAATGTTGTTGTGTTCCTGCATTTTTGTCATTTCCTGTTGCAGGGCTGCCATTCTAACCTCCAAGGTGTTTTGTTGGCCCGGCGTTTCCACTTGGAGTGTGCAGAGGCTTGCTCTGCTGGCGAGGTTGAGGATAGGGGCATCAGTCGTAAGAGGGGAAGATGGGTTCATAGTAAAGTGGAAAGGGAGATATGGGGTGATTGTTAATCGAAGTTTCCATAGACGACGTCAATCTGTTAGCGCTAAAACTAAACAGATATAAGTAAAGCTAACTTACAGGTAGAGTGGGGAGTTTGGACCCAAGGAACCTTCGGTCCGTGGCGTAGAGCTGGATCCGGCCTGGAGAAAGAAAACGACAGGTGAAGTCTGGGACACTGGTGTGGCGCCGGCCGAAGACCCTCTGATGCCAAAGTTAGTGACTTAGAGCAATTCTTTTGACAGTATGGAAGCACAAGTCAAGTAAACAGTCTTACCTCTTGGCTGGGCCAATGGCCTCTATTTATAGACAGCATTTGTGATGCTCTTAGTACTTAGTTTTGATGTGGGACTCGTGGGAGTGTCTTCGACGGTCGACACGTGCTCTGACAGGTTCTGGTGGGAACTCCGAGGTTATCTGTCAAAATCGGCTGGATGTGCTAATTCGTCGATTGGCAAAAGATGCCGAAGATTGGCGTTGGTGAGTCGGTCGGTAGCACTTGCTAATTTCGACGACCGTGTATCAATCGGTGATGTGTGCTGATTGATAGTATCGACTAAGTATTGAAATATCGGCCAATACACCGATATATCGATATTTTGAACTGTCGACACCAATATTGAAGGGTAAGGCCATATCTTCCTCGATATCTATGATATATCCCCGATAAGTGCGATATACCCGATATTTTGCCGATATTCCTGATATTTCCCAATACCCATAACAAAACCCAAAAAAATTCAAAAGTTTTGAAGCAAATTGAAACTGAAAAGATTTTTTGGAGGTATATGTGCAGTGATTAGATATGTGTGAAGGCTTTTGGCAATATTCAATTGAAAAGATGTTTTGGAGTACGCATCAAAAAAATCTATGCACAGTCAATTGAGGGGCTTCCCATTATTTTATCATTGGCTTGGCTTCCTATCTTTTGGTCTAACATGTGTTGATCACAACCACTATATTTGTAAATTTGTAGATTATATGATACACAAAATATTAGTATAATAATAATTAATAATGTAAAGAATGTGAGTGATTGTTTTTTGAGCCATGAAAAGAAGAACTTGGAAGAAGAATTGATTCTTTACTTCATGCTTGGAAGACTGTTTTGAGCTTTGGGGTTCTCTTTTTTGGCTTATTGTTCGGCCTTTAAACTGTTGAAAGCTTTTATCTAAGTTCGGCCCTTCAGGTAAATTAACTAGAAATGTTATATTCCACTCAAAGTCTGAGCTTCTTGTGGAACTTTTTATCATTTAATATTTATTTCATTTTTTGGCTGTTTCTTTTTCACTTTTCGAAGTCAGACAATTGGCAATATGCAATTCACTGCCCACATACCTCCAAAAAATTTGACTACTTTTAGTTCCATCAAAGTCAGAGAATCATCCAACTAGAATCCATAAAATAAAGTCTGCAAAGCCCATATACCATTGTCCCCAACCCCCCAAAACTTCCCATTGTTATCACGAGAGAAGCCCTCTTTAAATCATAGGCTATTTTGCTTTTTTTTTTAGCACCAAATCTTCCCTTCTCTTCTCTTTCTTTCTCTGCGAGCTTTTCAATTTTTATTTAGTCTGTGAGCTTCTTTCCTTGTTTGCAAGTTCTCTTTAACTGCTATTTTAGGTATGTGGCTCTCCCTCATGGTCTATATTATTTTTATGATAGATTTGATATTGTAAGTTAATATAATATATTTTAAGTGTGATAGATTAAAAATGGCAAGTAGTAGTGGACCGAGTGGAGCTAGTGTGCCTGGTGGTCTTGATGTGGAATGGAAATATGCTCGTCCAATAGAAGGCAATAAGCATGGCACCATATGCACATTTTGTGAATCCACATTTAAAAGTGGTGGAATTACACGGTTAAAGTATCATTTGGCCGGATTTGATCCACATAAGAGTGTAAAGAAGTGCAAAGAAGTACCACCAGATATTAATAAGGAGGTAATTGCATGGATAAAGGAGAAAGAGTCTAGCAAATAACATAAGAAATTTGTTGAAGAAAACATAAGATCTACAGCAAGAGGGGGATACATGGGCAATAAAAGTAACAATCCTATTGATGATGATGATGACGATGATGAGGATGGATATGCATATCCTCCAGACATGCACCCTGCGGAGAAAGAAGATTACCTTGCTGCCATTAGAGCGTCGAAGCAAGAAGAACGGTTTAGGCAAGGAGGAGTTTATGGAATAGGAAGCAAACGATTTGCAGGGGGAGCAAGTGGTAGTAGTCAACCGCAATATCGTCACACTCAAAGCCTTCGAGACCCACTTCCATCTCCTCCGATACCAATGCCACACTAGAACACTAGAGCAAAACAGAGAACAATCAAAGGCATGATTTGAAACTCAGCAGAGGTACTTGGAAGATACTGTAGCAAATTCTTCATACTTGAGAATGTGGCTCCTCAAAAAGCAAGTTCCCCTTATTTCAAGAACATGATTGTTGCAGCCCAACAAGCAGGTTTTGCTTTATTCCTTATAACTTTCCTTTCTTGAATTTAAATATTCTAAACACACCAATTACTAATATGAGTTTATATTAGGTCAAGGCGTAGCCATACCATCACTGTATGAAATAAAGCATAAGTACTTAGATATGAAACACACAGACATGCAAGCCTATGTGGAAAAGGTAAAGGAAGATTGGGGTGTGTATGGATGCACCATCATGAGTGATGGATGGACTGGCCCCACGAGGTTGTCCATAATAAATTTCATGGTATACTCAAACGAGAAAACAATTTTTTTGAAATCAATGGATACGTCAAATAAAACCAATGATGCAAAGTACATTGCCAAATTGTTGAAGGATGTCATAAAAGAGGTTGGGCCGTCGAATGTTGTTCATATTGTCACCAACAATGGTTCAGCCTTTGTTAAGGCTGGAGAGATGATGATGGAGCAGTACCCTATTTATTGGACTCCTTGTGCTGCACATTGCATTGATCTAATATTTGAAGATATTGGGAAGCAAGGGTCAGTGGCTAATGTCATAAATAAGGCTAGGAAATTAACCAATTACATTTACAATCATGGTTGGCTATTGGCTCAGATGAGGATCTTCTGTCAAGGAGATTTGGTCCGACCCAATGCAACTCAATTTGCGACAAACTACATCACCATCAATAGCATCTTAAATAAGAAAGCTGGGTTGAGGCACTTTTTACAAGTGAGGAATGGTATAATAGTCGATTAGTGAATCAAAAGAGGGGAAGAGAATTGAAAGTCGAGTCCTTGATCATAGGTTATGAGATGCCATGGAAGGAGTGCAATCCATCTATGAGCCTTTGTATAGCATCTTGTGAATTGTTGACACAGAGGTAGTTCCTACCATGCCTATCTTATATGATATGTTTCACATAATGAAAGAGAAGATTTCTAAGTTGAAGGGAAAAAATTGCTTCTCAAAATCATCAATCACAGATGGGATGTCACATTATCTCGTCCATTACATCAAGCTGGTATGTTTTAATCTTTTAGTAAAAATGTGCATAAATTTTTAAATTTATAAACGGGTATTAACTAATCTTCATATTTGTAGCCCACTACTTGAACCCTAGATATCAATATGAAACAGGGGTTGGCCACCATAAAGAGTTACTTTCAGGACTCCAACACGTATTTGAAAGGTTGAACCCAATTGAGGATAGAGGTTTGTAAGCATTTGGGGCCGAGGTAAGTGAACACAAAACAATGTCTTCCTCATTAAATTTAGTTTTATGCACCCTGAACACAAAACATTGTGAATCCAGGTGATAAATTTTAGATACTATAGAAAGACACTTCGCACTGAGATGACCGTCAAATCAAGAAAATCGATCCCCCCAGCAGAATGGTGGAATCTTCATGGTGATTCTGCCCAGAACTTGCAAAAAATTGCTATGCGTATATTGTCACAGACAGCATCATCATCGGCATGTGAGCGAAATTAGAATACATTTGCTCTTATTCACACGAAACAAAGAAACCGTCTCGCATATACTAGGCTGGAAAAGATTGTCTTTTGCTATTATAATATGAAACTTAAGCTACGTGATGAAGAGGCTGAAATGAACAAGGTTGCAGAAAATGACTACATAGACCTTCTTGACATTGCAGGGCAACCATCTGATGATGATAATAATCCAATTCAACAATGGATGATGACAGCTCACTTGGATGATGAACAAGGCAACCCTGATGCTGTTATAGCACAACATGCTACCCAAGAAGGAGTTGATGTTGATAGAGTCATATCCGAAGATGTTAGGAGTGGAGATACTTCATCATTTGAAAGGGATATGCTTGGACCTAGGCAAGGTCAAAGACGTCCCTTTAGAGACGATGCCAGTGCTAGTAGAATGGAAAGTTCATCCAATTCGTCAGATAATGATGGAGGAAGTAATGCTGGATCAGGAGGTAAAGAAGAAGGAAAACAATACAACCCATTTACTGTTGAGGCTGATTTTACTCATGCCACCCAAGATGAGGATCATGGATGCAGAGAAGCTGGACCAGGCATTGGCGCAATTAGGAAGCAATACTCAAAGAAAAGAAGCCAACCAATCAATCCATTTGAAGAGGAATGGCGATCAGTTTTGGATCTATGAGCATAAGAACTAGACCTAGTACTAACTCAAATGAATCTTATGATGACTATGGTTATGTCATGTCTGATTATAGTGGAACTAGATATAGAGCTCAAGATGATGAAACAGATTATGGACCTACTAGTTGGGTTAATCCTAACTATCCCATATATGAGAGGACAGAAGGGAGCTCAAGAGAGACATATGTGCACCATGTTCAAACATGGCTTACAAACTACTCGGGTTACATGACTTGGTATGCTTATTGTATGAATCTAGATGGTTGTTCCACATTGTTTGAACCTCGTAGGAACTCTTCATTTATGTAGTTGGACACTCATCTAAATTGTAATCCAATGTTTAAATAAACTATGGACTTATGCATGGTTTATTCATTCTAATCAACTTTTTATTTTCAAAGTTTTCATTAACGCGCATTACATACCACTTATATTTCATCATATATATATATATATATATACATATATATCTTATTATTAGTAAATTTTGAGTTTTATTTGTTCAATACATTCATTGACAATGTACATAATATCTATGAAAGTTTTACACCAAAATTATGTGTTTCAATGCCTATATCTATCATTTTGGTTGATTTTTTCCCGATACCTAAAACGATAACGATATATCCCCTAAAATATCTGTAAATTAGAGACCCGATATTATCTGCACGGCCGATATTTTAATCCTTGGTATCGACGTGGCTCACCGAGCAGGTCTTTTAGCGTCGTTCACATTCCACGTGTTATGACGTGAGTGGGGGGGGTCAGATATGGTACAAACAAAATTAGTTAGTTTGATCTAACAGGACCCAACCCAAATTCCACTTTGGAATCTGTGTCGAACCTTGTGCATGTCCAACACCTGGCAGGTATCGGCACAATTATCCAAAATACCCCTTCTTGCCCTAATCCAAAACTACTTTAAGGTTTGACTCCTACCAGAAAACTAGCAGAGTCTCCCTTGAAAGATGGTTATTTACCAAATTATTTTCACCTGTAAAAATCATAATTTAATATTTCCCAACTTTAGCATGCACAATGCTAACACACACAATTTACCATATGGCATCTAGCCTCAAATTCCACCTTACCAGGGCAATATCCACGTAATATACGAATTTGCTTCTTACTTTACAAATAGCCACAAATTCCAAAGCATAACTCAACCGTTTACTTTGTGGCTGCGCCTAGGTTAATCTAGGTTGCCTACGTACCCTTACTGATGGATCAAGCCACACGTAACTCTTTCAAACTAATCACATTCTGCATTAATCTAAAGGAAAACTTTATTTTGAATATTATAAGAAGTTGTCTCCAACACCTCTGGCCACCAAGAACATAAGCACGTGTAACACATGCCATTTCATTTCTAGAAAAAGATAGATTGAGTCCTATTATACATGACAGTGGCTTATTATAACAAAGATTTCATAATAAGTTTTGTAAAACACAAAACTCTACTGCGTCGAACCAAAAGCAAAAGTTGAAAAAGGAAAAATGACCATAAATAACATCCATATAAATTACCTATCAAGGAAAACAGAAAGCGAGAAAAAAATACTTCCATATCTCCAACTCCAACAAATTTAATTTCTTTTTTATTCTGGTCCTAAATAGGCAGCTAATTGTCACAGTTAAAGGAAGCATTCAAAAAGTGACATCCAATCTTGGTTAAATTCTCAACTCAAATTCCTTGCAAAAAATATAAGCCTTAACGAAAAAGTTCAGGAAATTATCTTCATCACTTAAGAAAATAGTTGTGAATTATATAAAATCCTTAAAGCTTAGAAAACTCTTAATCCTTTTCTCATAAATTGGAAAACACGTATTAAACCTTTTTCTCATAAGTACCAAGACAAAATCATTAATTATTAGTTTAAAACATCTCAAAACTCAAATACTCTTTACCTAGGCGTACCCCCATTCATAATCTGTCAATTTCACTAATATTTTGTCAATACCAAGTACATGTATATTACATCATCGCAGAACTCAGGAACACGTGGTCAGCCAGAGAACGCATATTCTCGTAGAACTCGAGGGACACATAATCAGCCTGAGAAAGCATATCCTCGCAAAACTCGGGGGACACGTAGTCAGCCCAAGAATACATATCCTCGTAGAACTCGGGGGACACATAATCAGCCCAAGAAAGCATATCCTCGCAGAACTCAGGGGACACATAGTTAGCCCGAGAACGCATATCCTCACGCCACACGATTCAGGGGTCCCCGAGACTCGTGAGGCATTATCATAAATGACTAAACTGTTCTAAGGCAACTGGGGGGTACTCCTATGGTGGGTTTGAAAACCGTATTCGAAACTTATCATAAAATTCTTCTTATTCCACAAATCCACTTTCCAAAAATAAGTTCTTAAATAAAGAACCAAAAATCCCTTCTTAAAACGAAATCAATCTCAACATTTCTTAATTGAATTTGACCACGCATAATCTTTAAAAATTGTTCTCAACTATTTAGAGAACTAGTATCCAAAATTCATCGATTCCAAGCCACCTAGCATATATTTAAATATAGACATATAATTAGGTAATTAATTAATTCCTTATTCACGTCAAAACCAGGTTATCTAAGCCATTTCCAACTCCACACAATTAAACATAATATAACATGCTTGAAAAGTAAAAGTGATTGCAATATAATTCATAATCATTTAAATAAACTCGCATAGCATAAAACCATTTAAAAACAAACCTCCAATTACAATTACAGCTACTAAATGGCATCAACCGAGCCGACATAGTCCACTATCCAAATCAACTGGGCTCATAGGGCCCATGACCTCAATGGTTATATGCAATTTCCTATTGGTCCATAACCATGAGTTAAACCCATCCTAGAACTCTCGTCATGATCCAATGGTCAGTTTGACCCCGATCGCTGAATTTGACCAATTAGACCCGCGGGGCCCACCACCTCCGAATTCCAGTCCGAACGTTCCTATAAGTCCAACAAGGTCTACATAACACGCTACAAGAGCTTGGTCTCGATCGAGCAGTCAAATTTAAACCAATCGCACGATTGGACGATCATTGTTTTACGTAAACTTTGAATTATTGATTCGGAGTATCTGGGACTCCGATTCTCAATCTGTGAGTTCCTACACGATCCTAGAGGTACTTAGATCGACATACTTGGAAATGGAGTCAATCCAACAATCTGAACATATCGAACCCGAATATCGCCAAATATGAGTAAATCCGTACGATTGTCAAACGATAACCAAATTCAAATCCAAGCACACTGTCATGCTCAGGACGACATGGGGAACATTTTAGAACCAAATGGGCCACCCAATGTTGGCCCACGCCCCGCCACACTCGTTGGCATTGCGTGAGTGTCTTAAGAAAATTCCGGCGACCGGAAAATTCTCAAAACATCCAACAATAACTATACCTACGTGATTAAGACAACTATTAGAGCAACTTTTGTTATTTGGCAATGGCCAAAAAGTGGTCGGAGCTTGCCAAAAATTCGAGCTGAAAATCGGTCAAAACTTATATCGTAAATCGAGCTTCAAAACTTCAAAATCAATCCTAACCAACCCAACCATCAGCTAGATCACATTGAAAGGATGAGAAAGCATACATGGATCGACAAATTTGGTGGCCGAAGACCCCGAAAATGGCGTCGAAAAACTCGAACTTCATTGGAGCTTTACAAGCTCCCAACGCTGCCGTGAAGGGCTGATCTCATCGAAACTCAACCCATATGTGATCCCCAGGTGCCCCCGAGTATTTTTTGACTAATCTCGTAAGAGTTGGTGGTCGGAAGGTGGAGTTATTCAGCCACACAGTGCCCAGGTCTATGGGCGTTGCGAGGAAGAGAGAGAGAGGGTAGCGAGAGAAACTGAGCTGCCTTTTTTTAAAATTTTAACTTTGAAATATTAACAGTTGTGCCACTGCACTTCCATTGACTGTAACTTCTTCATTAAAACTCCGATTTGGGCCCACTACATGTCTACGAACTCGTATCGACGAGTTCTATGCAACGATGCCATTCATTTCTCCACAATCCTACCATATTAAAAAAGTGACCAAAATGACCCTAATTGAAGGGCAAAATTGTAATTTCACAATTAAATAATTTAAATAAATGGTTAAAATTGGGTAAAGGTGTCACCTAAAGCACACCATAGAGCACAAGGCCTAACATAAAGATACAAAACATAATTTTAACCAAGTTAAAGCCCAAATAAACAATAAAAGCCCAAAATTACATTAAACAAATAAAAACCTAGGTCTAGAACACATTAGCAGCCACACCACCACCATAGCAGATCCACCACCGCCGCCAAGGAGGAGTAATCGGTGTCAAAAATTCAAATGGAAGATGGGGGTGAGCAAGCCACCCGCGCTGATGTGCTCCCGTAATCTAAGAATCAAGTGCAATATGCACTGTAATCACATTCTCATACCACCACACGGCACCAAGGAAGAGCGATAGGAGCGGCTGTGGCAGAACTGAAGAGCAAATGGTGGTTATTGAGAACTGGTGGCAAGACACAACCGCTACCCATGGGTGGACGACCTCAAAATAGAGGGGATATGAAGGGAGTGTAAATGTGAGAAGTAGAGAATGAAAAGCAAAGGTGGGTGGGGAATAAAGGAAAGTGAGAGAGGGAAGATTTAGGGTTTCAAGGGTTGGGCACATAGTAGGGAATAAAAGAGAAAATATAAAGAAAAACAAAATATGAGGCAAGAAGCCTCAAATATGAGACATAGCTAAGGGAAAAAGCCATTTCAGGTGGGGTAAAGCCAACAACCATCAAATTGGGAGAGTTCTCTATGAAAAAACTCATTGCCAGAAATCATGAAGGTCATATAAGTATTACATTTAAATAAAATAAAGGTTGCATTCAAATATGATTTTATCGTCTCAACTAGTTTATATGGGAATGATTATTGACACTTCAAAAAAAATAATCTTTCACGCTTCTATTATAAATCCATAAGGGAGAAAGTGCACTTTTAAGGATGTATGATGACTTTTTTAGAGTGCCAATTTCCTAGATTAATTGTTAAATAAAATAATATGTCAGAGTGTTTAGCAAGAGAAAAACAAAATTCATGCCTCTAATTTATAATTAAATTTAGGAAGATTTTAGAAGAACAATGATGTTTTCTCTTTTCAAGTTAGAAGAAAAATGATTTAACACCATCATATTTAAAAGAAATTAGATAAAGATAAATTGCACTTAAAATTAGATTGTGTGTCCTGTGACTCCTGTCCCAACCCCAACCCTCCATTCCAAATCAATTACCAATTTCGTTTGAAATATTTAATTTATTTTGGTACAATTTTCTCTTATTTATTTGAAACCTTGAAGAATTTGGCGGGGAGTTTTATTAGAGGGAAATTGTTCCCGCCATTTTGCTCATAACTAGTGTGTCATGTTCCTCTGCTGTGAATGGGAATGGGAGAACAGCAAAATTTGCGACATTAAGCACGGGGGACTTTAATACGGTCTGGGATCGGATTAATCTCTGAGTTAACTCATTCCAACTCTGAGTCAACTCTATGTCTCGCTTATATAAACTTTTGGGTTTTCTTTTCAACTTTTTAATATTAGTTGTGGTGGGCTCGATTTACTGCAAGTGCAGGCTTTTCACTATTGTACAATTGGTTTGATCAGCTGACAAATGGAAATATCACCCGAAACCAAATCATGGCTTGCCTAGTGGGTGGTGGGGCCTATATAAAAAGCCAATTTTTGGTTTTTAAAGAGATAAATTTTTGACTTTCTCCTCAAACATCTTTTCCTGTAATTTTAAGAAATGGGTTCACATAATTGTCAGTCATTTTTTTAAATATTTTTTTATGTTTAATTTTTCAGTCAAGAAACAAACATTATAAAGAAGATCCTCAAGAAATCTTTACACCATATAAATCACAAATGTAACTCCATTGTAAAATATTTTTTGAAAAATTTCCAAACCAACACACATAACTGAAGAATCATGACCATGTTTAGCTAGAACATATGCTACTTGATTAGGTTTTTAATAGACATGTTGTATCGAAAATTGATTAAAGCCCTTACTATAACCTTTTCTATTCTATTTTGTAATTATATCATTGTATTCATGATAATCTAATTGTTAAAGTGCAAGTCGTTAGATTAAAGCTCTTAATTTTAATCTTCATTACAATAAACTAATACTCGTTCCAGTATATAATCATAGACTTAAGTACAAAATTATTGAGTTAAATTCTTTTAGAAATTTTAATCATAGATTAGCTAAGGATTAAATTTCAATATTTATCATATGTATTATTTTAGTACTACCTCTAATGAATAAAGAATAACAAAATAAAAATCTGGCTATTATCACAGTTTGCCCAAAAAGGGAAAAATGGGAGCTTACAGTTATTTATAAGGTGGCCCCGCAGCCGCATCATAGTGTATCATAGAGCCGCAGCGAAAAAATCTCATGTTACGAATAATTTTTTGCTACGAAAATAATATAAATCATCCGAGTCAATTCCAACTCGTCCAAGTGCACTGATGACTCGAAAACCGAGTTCCGAGTGATGGATATCGAACGCGTGACAATTTAACTCGTGCAGGGGTAGTGGGGAGAGGCAGTTGTTTTGTCCCATTAGGGCTTCTCTCTCTCTCTCTCTCTTTGTGCCTGTCTCTATCTCTCTCGCCAAGCCCCAGAGACGTCTACAATGGCGGTTATCGAACCCTAACAAGGTATCGCTAGTGTACATATATTTGTTCGATTTCTGAAACAGCAAAATATACAACATTTTCGAATCTCAACGTTATTTTTGTTAAAATTTAGTTCAAATCACAATAGATTCACTCCTCTGTTGTTTTTGTTATTGGTTTTATAGGATCTGCACGAATCCTGGATTTGGCAGCATTTTAGGTGAAGTGTTTTCGCAATCTTATGGCTTAGGTCTAAAAGAGACCCTTTTATTTTTTGGGGGAACCTTAGGGTTTTTTTGGCGGTTGATTTCGGGTTAGGATCCGATCGGATTGGCTAAAATGGACCCTCCGGTTGTCAAAAAGAGGGGTCGTCCTAGGAAACGGAGAGCGGAGGATGAAAATGTTGCTGATGATCGGAAAGCGGGTCCTGAAACTAAGAAACGGGTTGTGGAAACAAGGACGATGGTGTTGCTTGGTAGATATGTGTTGAAAGACTTCGGAACTAGTGGAGTTTTTCTTGGGAAAGTTGTGTATTACGAGGCTGGATTGTATAGAGTTAATTATGAAGACGGTGATTGTGAGGACTTGGAGAGTGGTGAGATTCGTGGCATCCTTGTTGGTGATGATGATTTTGATACTGATTTGAGTGCTAGGAGGAAGAAATTAGATGATTTGGTGTCAAAATTAAGTTTGAAAACTGCAGTTGGGTTGGATAAGAATGTTGTGAAATCGACTCCTGCGGTGGATAGGGTTGAAGCACCTGCGTTGAGTGAGTTGGGCGGTGGAGTAACGATTGAAACTGATGAGACACAAGTTGAAGGTGATGCAGATTCGTCTAGTGATTCGTGTGAGTATGCAAGGGATAGGGATATGGATTTTGATGTTGAGCCACCACCTGTCCCACCACCGCAGTTGCCGCCCTCTTCAGGAACTATAGGCGTGCCAGAGCAGTATATTTCACATCTTTTTTCGGTTTATGGTTTCTTGCGATCATTTAGCATCCCCCTGTTCTTGAACCCATTTACATTGGATGATTTTGTGGGGTCACTTAATTTCCGTGCTCCAAACACATTGTTGGATGCAATTCATGTTGCTTTGCTGCGTGCCTTGAGGCATCATCTTGAGACACTCTCATCCGATGGCTCAGAGGTAGCTCCAAAATGCTTGAGGTACTTATACATACAACTCTCAATGCCTCTAGTTGATTGAATCTCTTACAGTATCAGTATATTGAAGGAACCATATGAGCATGCAAGTGCATATGGCATTAAACACCCTTTTCCCCTCGTATTATGTTTACAACCACAAAAATGGTTGCAGCAAAGAATTATCTATGTCATACTTATATCTGATGTTTTTATTTATAGTTCCATAACTAAACTTTCAGGATCATGTTTACAATTTATCTGCAGGTGCATTGATTGGAACTTGCTTGATACTTTGACTTGGCCTGTTTACCTGGTCCAGTATGTGACAATTATGGGATATGCAAAAGGACCTGAGTGGAAAGGATTTTATGATGAGGTTTTGGACAAGGAGTATTATTTATTATCAGTTGGTAGGAAGTTAATGATTTTGCAAACCCTTTGCGATGATGTCTTAGATACTAGAGATATAAGAGCTGAATTAGACACGCGCGAAGAATCAGAAGTTGGAATAGATTATGATGCAGAAGTAACTAATCCTCTTGTAAGTGGGCCAAGAAGGGTGCATCCCAGATATTCCAAAACTTCTGCCTGCAAGGACAGAGAAGCTGTGGAAATTATTACAGAAGTTCATGAGATAAAATCATCTGGTAACTCAAATTTAATCGGTTCCAAAGGTGCGAAATGGGATGCGGATGCTACTGATGTTGATGTGGATCATAACTCCGATGAATGTCGGCTTTGTGGCATGGATGGGACCTTAATTTGTTGTGATGGGTGTCCATCTGCTTACCACACGAGGTGTATAGGTTTGATGAAATTGTCTATACCAGAAGGGTCCTGGTATTGTCCTGAGTGCACAATTAATAAGATTGGGCCGGCTATTACAACGGGAACATCCCTTAAAGGAGCACAAATCTTTGGCATTGATTCTTACGAGCACATCTTCATGGGTACTTGCAACCACTTACTGGTGTATGTTTTCAACATCTTTGGTTTTTAGTTCCCTATTGTTCTGTTTGTTATGCATTTTAATTAGCGATGAACCCTTTTTTCAAAGGAATCATTGTTATCGGCTTTTGGCATGCTGTATTAACTCCATCCCTGCCTTGGACTTTTTCTTCAGTTCTGTCTTTATGTGTTACTCTTATTGTCTTCTCATTCTTTTGGAATGTCATTCAACCTATCCTGTTGCATGCTCATAATCTTTTGGTATGATTTTTGCAGGGTCAAGGCAACTATCAAGACAGAAGCATGTCTTAGATACTACAATCAGAATGACATTCCAAAAGTCCTGAAAGTTCTGTATGCATTCGGGCAACACACAGCTTTTTACATGGGGGTGTGCAAGGCAATTTTACAATATTGGAATATTCCAGAAAGCATCTTATCTTTCTCGGAAATGAGTGAAACAGAGATTAAATTAGCAAATATAAAGGAAGATGTGAAATTTTCTGCCCAGCCACTTAATTTGTCTGACAAGGAAAATCATAATGTTACAGTCGATAATGTGGTAGTTTCATCTCTAGAGACCTCCTTTGATATGATTCAAGTTGATAGCACTGGTGACTGTACACCACTGGAGTGCCTGCCTACAAAGATGCAGATACATGCAAGGAAGAAAATGAAATCAGGTACTTCAACTGGTTCTGGTAGCCAGCAGGCTGATCCATCTGACTTGACCTACCAAAGCTCAGCTGACAGATCAACTGCAGTAGACCTCACTACTTGCGCCTCAGGGAACATCAGTAGTTGTTACAATGGGCATGCAAATGGTATGCATCCTTCAGTGATTTTATCAACACATAGTGAAGAAGGCAATCTTGTAGATTCTGGAAAGGTTAACTCTACTTCAGTTGTCAATTGTGCATACATGGGGGCTCTTTATAAACCTCAGGCATACATAAATTACTATATGCATGGGGAGTTTGCTGCATCTGCTGCCACCAAACTGGCTGTAATATCATCAGAAGAAGCTCGCATTTCCGATAATCATGCTTTAGCAAATCCCAGGAAGGTTGCATCTGCAAACAATTTATTACAAACAAAAGCCTTCTCATTAATAGCCTCACGTTTCTTCTGGCCAAGTTCTGAAAAGAAGCTTGTGGAAGTTCCAAGGGAGAGGTGTGGTTGGTGTCTTTCTTGTAAGGCTCTAGTTGCCAGCAAGAGGGGATGTATGCTAAATCATGCTGCCTTGAGTGCCACCAAAGGTGCTATGAAGATCCTTGCCAGCCTTCGTCCAATAAAGAATGGGGAGGGGAACCTTGTAAGCATCGCAACATACATTTTATTCATGGAGGAGAGTTTACGTGGTCTCATAACTGGTCCCTTCGTCAATGAAAATTATAGAAAACAATGGCGCAAACGAATTTATCAAGCATCAACTTTCAGTACAATAAAAGGGCTATTGCTTGAAGTAAGTGTTTTAAATTCCTATCATATCTGGTTATTTGGTATAGATTCTAATTGGCTTAGTAATTTTTCTCCTAGGCATTAAGTAGCTTTGTACATTTTCATTAGGACATTTTGTTGCAGGATTATGTGCAAATTTATTTCCACTTATGTCTTAACTTTGCTGACCTGGTTTGAGTTTCAATTTGAATCTCAACAGTAGATATATGGAAAGCATGACGATCCTAAGCACTTGTACAATGCTCAAATAAAGGCTTGTGGGCAACGAGTAGGTTGGAGCCTTTTCTTGAGCATTATATTAGTGAAGCGCGCCATATATATTGAGGGAAGGGAAAAAAGGGGTCTCTTTCCTTGCCCGATGGTAGAGGCCGACCCCCTATCACCTTCGGTGCCTCCTTGTGGTCCTTCTCTTTCCTACCCACTTTGAAATTCCTACCGTGTATAGCAATTATATCATTTTTTTTCAAATTTAACTTTTCAAATTAACTTTTCAATTTCATTGATCAGTTCCATTGCACTTGCTTTGTTTTTGTTTTTATAGTAAATATTTTGTAAAGTTTACATGGCTTATAAGTGCAATCACCATTTAAACCATAGTGAAAACTTTTGATTTCATAGTCGTTTTCGGGAACCATTAGTTTTTGGTTTTTGGTTTTTTAGTTTTTAGTTTTTTTTTGGGCTAGAGATAGATGAAAAGTATATGGGAGAAATGAGGGGTGAAGAAATGTGGAGGGAGGGTGGTTGGAGGAGGGATCTGGGGGAAAGAAGGAGAATGTTTGAAACAAAAACTTGAAAAAGAAAACTACTTAGAGTTTTTTTTAATTTCATTTTGTATGCCATTTCATATGCATCTCTTCCACATCCCTCCCACCACCCATATTCATTTTCTTTCTCCCATATACTTCCCTCTATATCTAACAAGAAAAAAAATGAAAACTAAAAATGGAATGGTTACCAAACTGGGCCTGAACTTATGTTTAATCTGTAATCACAGTATTTTTGTGAAGTAAGCCTCTTGCATTTTTATGATTACGTGGGTTGCAGTTAGTGCCTATTTCTGCTTTTATTTAACTTTTAGGGAAAAACAGTATCTTGTAGTGTAAAGTTCAATGTACAACTGGCACCGAATTATGACTTGGTGAATTGTGTTTCAAAAGTTCGTAAGATGCCCGGAAGCCAATTATGCATCTCTATATTAATTTTCTCCCCTAAATTGTGACCTCATCCCTCAGTTTATTCAGTAGCTTTGTATCTCTCTTATATCTGGATGCATTATTTTGTTATAAGCATCCATGATTATGAATATGTTGTGACAGATGATTTGTTTCTTATCTGTAGCTTGAGGCAAATATCCGAACCATTGCTCTGTCTGGGGAGTGGATTAAGCTGGTGGATGATTGGTTGGTTGAATCTTCTGTGATTCAAAGCACGACATGCACTGTTGGTACAACACAAAAACGTGGACCAAGCAACAGGAGGGGCAGAAAGCAGAATGCAATTCAGGAAGATAAGGATGATGATTGCAATGACAAAAGTTTTGTCTGGTGGCAAGGTGGGAAGCTATCAAAGCTTATATTCCAGAGAGCAATTTTGGCTTGCTCATTGGTTAAAAAAGCAGCCCGCCAAGGTAATTTTGCATCACTTCCTGCAGAACTAGCTGGCTTTCCCCTTGTTATCTTTGAATTGTAGACTGTTTGATTTCCAGTGTTTTAATACACAAATTCGGTGGAAAGGGAAGGGATGTGTACTAATGACTTTTTTTGTGGCCCATTAGGTGGTTGGAAAAAGATTTCTGGTATAGTTTACGCGGATGGCTCCGAGATACCTAAAAGAAGCAGACAATCAGTATGGAGGGCTGCGGTTGAAATGAGTAAGAACGCATCACAGCTTGCGCTTCAGGTTTGTTATTATCTTGCAAATACCCAAGTTTCTTGCTCTCTTCGCCCCTCCACTTTCTTTATATTTCTCTTTTGGCCTGGAAGCATATTAAATTTTGGTGGTCTGTAATTGATAACTTAAGAAACTTCAATTGGAATTTCACCAGGTTAGATATCTGGACCATCATCTGAGATGGAGTGATCTTGTTCGTCCTGAGCAGAGCCTCCCGGATGGGAAGGGTGTAGAGACAGAAGCTTCTGCTTTTAGAAATGCAAGTATATTTGACAAACAATTTGTGAAGAACAGTAACGTATATGGGGTTGATTTCGGTACTCAAAAGCATCTGCCTTCCCGTTTAATGAAAAATATAATTGAAATGGAGCAAAATGAGGGTGGAAATAACAAGTTCTGGTTTCCTGAATTGCGGATTCCTTTATATTTGATTAAAGACTATGAAGAACGTTTAGGTAAAGTGCTTTTTCCATCAGCTGAGGAGCCTTTGAATGTGTTCTGCAAGTTACAGAAAAGGCATTGGAAGGCTCCCCGCCGGGACATATTTTTCTATCTTGTGTGTAAGAGAGATAATCTGGACTTGTGTTCCTGCTCTTCATGCCAACTGGATGTTTTAATGCGGTAATCATTTCATACAATTATTCTTTTTTAATTTTTAAGTTCCCTACAGTGCTATGTCGAAATTCACTCATCTTTTGTTTCTTGAAAAATTCAGGAATGCGGCCAAGTGCAGTGCCTGTCAAGGTACATTGACACGAAAACCTTCTTTTAAGCTTCATGAATATGGTGTTATAATTAGAAAAAGTGGCTTTGAGTTCCTGATAACCTCTTCTACCATGTTTCTAATCTTTCGAAATATTACGAATATTACATGAAGTGCTAATCATGCGATCAACTACCAACTTCCCAAATTTATAGGAAAATTTTCATCATTGTTTATATTTCTGCCATATTTTTGTCAGGTTATTGTCACGAGGAATGTACCATAAGCTCAACAGTTTCTACAAAAGAGGAAGTTGAGTTCTTGATCACTTGCAAGCAGTGCTACCATGCGAAAGCTCTCTCTAAAAATGAAAACTTTAAGGAGTCTCCAACTAGTCCTTTTCACTTGCAAATGCAAGAATATCATACTCCTGTGACCGTCACCAGTGTTGCAAGGCCAAAAAATTACAGTCAACCAGTAACAGATGTCAGAGCGCAGGACACTCGTTCTGAGATAAAACAGGCAACTTCAGACTCTCGATTGGCAGCAAAAAAACAACGCCGCAGCATTTGTTCTTGGGGTATTATATGGAAGAAGAAGAATGGTGTGGAAGCTGGCACTCATTTCCGGGTTAATAACATACTTCTTGCGGGTGGTTCGGAATCCCGTGGGTTGTATCCTGTTTGCCACCTGTGCCATATGCCATATCAGTCAGATATGATGTATATATGTTGTGAAACTTGCAAAAGTAAGTTTGCTCCGACAAGTGCCATCTTTCTGGCAAAATTATTTTCCTCTTTTGTGTGTGTCTAAGATGGATTCTGTTTGTGATCATGCAGATTGGTACCATGCTGATGCTGTTGAACTGGAGGAGTCAAAGGTTTCTGATGTGGCGGGCTTCAAGTGTTGCAAGTGTCGCAGGATAAAGTCACCTGTGTGTCCTTACACTGATCCTAAAGATATCAAGATGCAAGAGAGCAAGAAAGTTCGCACTAGGCGTCCAAAGCAAGAAACAGTTGGAGACGACTCTGATTCTGCAACCATTTCTGATTCTAAATTTTGTGAGCCTGCTACTCCAATATTTCCCATGGAGGAAGCATCCATACAGGAACAGGATGGTGATCCTCTTCTTTTTTCCCTTGCTAGAGTTGAGCTAATTACAGAGTACAATTCGGAAGTTAATGATCAATGGAATACTGCCGGGCCAGGGCCACGGAAATTACAAGTGAGAAGGGGTGTTAAGCGTGAAGAGGATGTAGATGGCTTTCCTGAGAGTAACATAACTTATGCTGGAATAGCTGCACCTGGTGAAACAAATTACCAGTCAAATCCTATGGAGATTGTGCCATCCCCTCATGTTGAATGGGATGCTTCCATTAATGGCGTCGAAAGTGGGATAATGGATGACTATGAAGATCTAAATTACGAGAATATGGAACCGCAAACTGTCTTCACTATCAATGAGTTGTTGGCACCTGATGATGATGATGATGGCTTTCTAGATGGAGGCCAAGCATTTGCAGATGAGTCAGGAAATCTGGAAAATCCATATACAGTGTTGCAGGATGGAGGCCCTGAACAATATAACATGGCTACTTTCACTGATCAATCAAAGTCTACTATTTCTGTAGAATCTGATGTGAATATCATGCAATGTCAGATATGTTCACATGCAGAACCAGGCGCTGATCTGTCTTGCCAGAACTGTGGGCTATTGATACACAGTACTTGTTCTCCTTGGATTGAGTCATCTTCTGGTAATGGCAGCTGGAAGTGTGGCCAGTGCCGAGAGTGGCGGTAGATGTTCTTGCCATATTTCTAAGGTCTCTGTTTTGTAAACGATCTTCAGAGGGAGTTCTCCCGGACGAGAAAGTTGCTGGGAAACGACTGTTGGTTGTCGTTAATTCTTTTGATTTGTTAGAGGTGACATCTGATATGGAAATTTCAGTTCTTTTGTTAGAGGTTACTTTTTATCCTGGTGGTCATTCTTGATGTGCTTCCGATTGAATGATGATATGGTTGCTTCCTGCCGAGTTTCTAGCACATTCAGTTCTTTTGAGAAGTTTGGGAAGCTGAATTGTGACTTCCCAATTATATAGTTTGTTAGGCACCTCCATGTTAATTAGGAGGTTTGGAGCTCCAACTGTAAAGTGGCTAATTTTTCCCTGATCAGAAAATGGGTTATTGTTTCACCAGCTTCATATTTTTGTCTGAACTCAGTTCGGACGATAAGCGGGTTTTTGGTGCTTATCTGATTGAATTGCTTGTATAAATGAAATTCCTACCCAAATTTCGTTGTTATGAAATCAGGTCATATTGAGGTGCTTTTGGCTGTTGTAGAAAGTTCTTTTGTTGCGTTTTTTAGTAGTAGATGCATTCCCTTTTTTGTGTAATGTTAAATGAAGACTTAGCCCTACAAGGTTTAGAAAATTGGCATCCTTCCTTTTAGACTCCAGGTGCGCTACTCGATAGCTTCCGTTTCAACTATTTAATCTATTTCTAGTTTGAAAAGTTGTTACCGGGCTTAGAAGAAAGCATAGGAATGTGAATTATATGGTCTTAACGGTCAAAACCCAAACCAGCGCCCTAGCCCTAGCCCTAGCCCTAGACGATATCTAAACAGGGCACATTCTTGGTGCTTAAGCCTAACTAGGCAGGCAGGTGTGAGAGACCGTTCCTTTGCACTCAAGTTCGAGTACCCCTATCCGTAGATTAGATTTATTTAAAGTAGTTTACTATCGCTCATATGGAAATAAAAACCCAAAGCTAGGTGGTTTCTATAAACAAATAAACTAGCAAAAAAAAAACTATAACCAAGTGGTTTGGTATCGGTTTGTCTTCAATTGAGAGAATAAATCCAAAGTGCAGTAATTTCGTGGGATTACACATTTAACAGGAATTCAATTGAGAAAAAACAGAAAGAAAAAAAAATTAAGAATTAATTCACTTGGCCATATTTGGTGACTATTTGGATTGAATTATGAGGTATGATTGATTTTCATTAGATTACATTAATCCAATCTTGTGTATGGTGTTGACAATATTAAGTGGCTGGATTAAATTTGAGTTTGATTTTCAATATAATTGAATTAAACTGAAATTTATTACATTTAAAATAATAATTCTGTGAATAATATAAATAAAAAAATAAAAAATTTCAATAAAAGATATGTAAAAAGGTCATTTTCTAATAAAATAAAAAACCACAAATCCCAAAAATAAACTATAAAATAACCATAACCTATGTAATTTCCACTGTAACTTCAATTAAAATTAAAAAGGTAAATATAAATTCAAAAACTTCAACATAAAAAAACAATCTTCACTTGAACTCATGAAACAATACTTGGTCAAATTCCAAAAAACAGAATCTATAAAAATCAGAGACTATGGAAGTATGAGCAAAATGACATTCTACTTTTTTTTTTTTTTTTTTTTTTTTTTTTTTCTTAATCGATAGTCTAAACTACAAAACGAGAGAAATTTTTCACATGGGCTACTAAGGTACCATGGGGGTTCGAACTGAAACCGCTTGTCAGCAAGTCAAGACCCTATTAACATGACCAATTTTAATATAGTTGGACAACCTTGGATTTATCAATTGATAATTTGTTACAATTATTCATGATCTCACAAATAATTGTAACGAACATTTTTTTTTAATGAAATAATTGTAACAAACTTCAGGGTTTAGGTTCTTAATAGAAATATCGTTTTCACTCCCCAAAAAAAAAAGAGAGATTAGAGTTGCCTTCCATCAAACTACAAAACAGATTAATTATTTCCCGTTTCAAAAAGAAAAAGGAACTACAATTACAAAATCAAATAAGACAAATAAAATCTTGTCTTCTAGGATTGCCACTTAACCCGTGAGCATATATAACGGCTAGTTTTTCCTGTTTGCTTCGGCTCCAATTAACCTTCGGTCAACTATCGGTCAACTTAGAATTCCTTTATTACCCCTTTACCCTCCTCTCTCGCTATTCACTCCTTCACTGTTGTTTCTTCAATTCCATTATTCCCATTGTTGCTCTCTTTCAGAGTTGAATTACCTAATGGCTCCTCAATTAAAGTCCAAGAAACCTAAGAAGATGAAGATGAAGATAAAGCCGCGGGTTCTTAAAATCGACGCCAATGGTGGCTCTGTTCTGAAACCCCCCTTGGCCAGGAGAATGTCCACTCTGAAGAAAATGGCCAGCGAACTCTCGATATTGTGCGACGTTGCCGTCTGCGTGGTCGCTGTTGGGGCCGACAGCGAAATCGAGACTTGGCCGGAAAACCAACAAGATGCGAAATCAATTCTTCTCGAACACAAGAATCTAGGGAAATTGGGAAAGAAAATTGAAAAGGGTTCATTCTCGGTCGGAAAGGGTACTGATTACAGTTTCTTGGACACCATGTTAGAGGGTTTGAACGAGAGAATTGGGGCTGTGATGATGAGGGATGGTGGTACCAAAACTAGAACAACTAGTACCTGCAGTTTCATGGAATTCTACGAGAATATCATGGGGACTGGTGTGCTACCAGATCCACCAGATCAACAACAATCAATGTTGCTTGTTGATCAAGTTCCTCATCACCAACAAGAAGATTATTGCACCACAAATTCGGATGGTTTCTATTTGGAAGATCTTCATATTGCTGCTGCTGCTCCAACTCTGAGCAACATTGATGATTATGTGAGTTGGCTATTGGATGATCATAATGATATTGGTTTGATGGAAGATTATATCCAATTTGGTGATAGTGACTTGGCCCCTCTCCCTCTTGATTCACAAGAGCAGCAGATGCCTTTGTTGCAGCCAGCTCAGATGGATACTAATAATTCTGATCATCTTAGTTGGCTGTTGGGTGGTGGTGATATTGGTTTGATGGAAGATTATATCCAAATTTGTGATAGCGACTTGGCCACTCCTCTAGACCCACAGCAGCAGCAGCAGCCGCCTTCATTGCAGCTACCTCAGACTACTTACTAGTTGGCTTCAGAATAATCAGAATTCAAGAAATCTTGTTTTTCTCATATATTTTTAGTGTTTATTCATTAGAGGGCAAACCTCAGTTTCAATGTTTATCGAGTTGAAACTCGAGCTTTTGTATTCTCTGCACTACGAGGACAGCTAATGAGAGAGAAATTGTTACCTTTACCTTGTTAATGAAAGAGCTTTTGTTTACAGTTTACTTGGAGCTTTTTAACTTTCATTTTTATTTGAGTTTTAAGCTGACCCTATTCCTTTTTCTTAGTCCCAATAAGGAAAAATGTACCAGATTTTTTTGGTTCAAAATAAATTACCTTAAGGGTTAATCACTGATCTTTTGAAACAACATCACATTACTGATCACCCAATAAATTTTCTTATTGAAAACATATTTATGCATTAGCAACCAAATACAAAATATTACAACTAATCTACTTCATGCTGCCAATATCTTACATTCTGTTCTGTCAAGTACTGTGTAACTACAGAAACCAATCCACTGAAATTGGGAAGGGGAAAAAATGTGAAAGAAGAAAAAGAAAAAGAAATAAAAATACCCTCACCCCAAAACCGAGAAAACTTCTCACTTAGGCACAATTGCATTGTACAGAAAGAATTTGAAAACCCCGACCAACCCATGGAGAGATCCACTCAAACACTAAGCCATCCGCACAAATTAGCTCACACTTGATTCCGCCAGCCCTTGCATCAGGATTTTCTCTATCCACCTCTTGAACTTTGGCGAGAGATACCGTTGGGTAGGTTGTATAAATCAGATTTACGAGTGTATAATGAACAAATCCTCATATATCATCTTCACTTTGTCACAGCAGACCGGCTAGCATAGCCCCGGGATCCGTTAATGCTGCAGCCGGACTGGTTGGCTGAGCTACTGGATGTGCTGGTGACACTGGTCCAGGTGCACGAGGGGCTGTAGGGATGCTACATAGTTGTTCCTTGATGAACTCCTTCAACCTGTACATCACCCGGAGATCAGAGGAATCTATCTTCCATCGTTGTAATTTAAGGTTAACAATACATTATGTAGATACATACTCGAGTGTTAATGTAGGGTCCCCTGAAGAAACTGTCATACGCAACTGGGTTCTGTCTGCTGGATCTGTTTCTATTCTAACCTGAGTAGCCAAAAAGAAGCTATTGAATCACCAACCTTTCACAATTCTAAAGCAAAGGTCATGTGATAACTCCTAAAAATTACTTAAGAAAAAAATATCAGCACTTCATATGATTCCTAGGAAAGGGAAAGGTCAAGCAACATAATTTTATATCTATATTAATAAACTGAACACTGGAGTTTCAGCTGTGTCCTAATAATGAAAGTGGTGGCATCAAATCCACCAATTAAAGTCTCAAAGTCCTGGAAGCAAACATATAAATCTTACCAAGCAAAGCATGGCCCGTGTACTTTCTGAGTAAAACATTGTGCTTGCAACAAGGTTATTTGGATTTGGGTCCTGAAATAGAGAATACGTTAGTGAACACCTTTAATAACTAAGGGATCACAAGGAAACTTTCTAACATAGAAAGGGAACTTACAAGTGCTGGACAAACCATCAATCGCAAACTGTTAAGTAGATTTGCCATCTCGGCAAGTGGCATTGGTTTGACACCTCTAACCTGCACGGTTTACCGGACAATATCACCACGTTGATAAATACAGAACCTTCAGTATGTATAATAATTTAGCCTTAACCTGGAATTGGCAATAAGCCAAATGAATAATGCTACATTTTGACTACAAACAGGTTAGCATGTGTTTCCTACTCTGATAGTGTAACAGTTAATAGGCTATCTTCCTGCTTTGCTACTTACAAAAATGAAACCCATCATAACCTTCCAATCAGAAGAGGTTGGTAATGGAAAATGTCAATCACTGGATACAGGACACAACTTATAGTATATAAATATGAATGAATTCACTTTGTCAATATAAATGTTTGTCAACCATTTTTAACCATAAATGGAATTTCCTCAACCATAAAAAGAAGACAAATGCGACATATAACACACATACCACTTCTTGAAGCTTCAGAGGTGGTCCTGATAGTGATCTCCACTGAGGAAAGAACTCTTCAGCAGACACTGGTATAGGCTGAAGAAATTTATTCAAGACAGCTGGGAGGCGAAGCTTGACATTGACCTATGAAAGGGTTACTATAAGATATATGAAGACACAAATATAACTTATTTTCTGCTTCATTGGCCACAAGAAACCACAGGATTTTAGATTTAAGTACCATATTGTTACCGAACTTGTAGGAGAAGTCAAGAACCGCTACATCCCTGCTTGGACGGAGATTCACAACTTCAAGTGGGCATTGTACCTATACAACCAAAAAGATAAAAGAAAATAAACAAATATAAGGACTAGGAAAGGAAAAGAATGAGTGAGAGAGACAAAGACAGAGAGAAAAGAGACCCAAAGGCTGATCAACGACCACAGATTAATTACTTGAATAACAATTATTACCTGTGCCCTGGGAGGTATAGTGTCTGGTACTAGTGAGAGCTCCATTTTGAAATGGGAGGGAGGCAATATTATAGCCTGAACTGACACAAGCGGTGAAGTATTTTTGTTTCCCAAGAAAAGAACAAGACATCCTTGATGTACCCGCCACTCTGCTTTAATTCCAATCTGGGATAACATCACATGAATGTCACTATAAGCCCAATAACGCCAAGCTGAATGTTCACAATCTCTCTTGCAAAGAAAGAGTAGAAACTACCGAGTCTAAATACAAGAAAATAAGAGTACTCATTGGGGAAAAACCTGAATATTAGGATCTTCGTATAGAACACCACTATCTTTCAAGCACAAAGCAAGAAATCTTTCAGCAATATTTCCTATTGGCTGCAGGTTACAATTATAAAATTAGTTACATGTATTAGTAGCACAGAAATCGAAAATAAAATCTGACAAAGTTTTATACATAAAGAAATATAACAAATATCCTATCAGGTGCAGCATAAACACTTTTTTTTCCAGTTCAGATGCAGGTAGGAACAAGAAAATCCGATAAAACATCTATCAGGGGAATTCAAACTCTAAGAACCAAACAAACATACACAGAAGTATAACTGAAAAAAGGATAAGAATCAGAGGCAAAAGACATTTAGCTAACTATAGCTTATTCAACATATTTAACGGCTCAAAAAACACCGTTACTTCTAAAAACAAAATATACTGTCAATTTCTGATGGACAGTCTACAGTGCAGAAAACATTGCAATTGGAACAGATTCAGGTTCTGCCCAACATGCTAGAACTTTGAAGCAATAATGCACCCACCAACGATCGGAGAGAACTGCTATAGAAAGTACCTGAACAGAATTTTGCTCCTCGCCAACAGGCACTATGGCTGCGGCATCTACTGCATTTGAATCGCCTCCTACTCCAGGGATTACACTCGGTTGTGATTGAACAGCAGTACCAGGAGGGCCTTCGATAGCCAGTGGACCCAAGAGATCACCAAGGAGATCTGCTGAAGCAGGTTGAGGATCAACTGTACTCAAAGTACCATTTTCCTGAGATAACGCTTGGTCGGTTGAATTGTGATCCTGTAACGATATTCAAACATACACCAATTTCAATCAAAACTGGATATAATCTTTGGATCTGAACCTACCTTTTGCAAACCCTAAATTTAAGAAAAAAGAAAAAGCAAAACTAACCGCATTACTGCTCATGCTGGGAATCTTCACAAGACCGAGCTGGTTGACAGGTGGGGTCCCATTAGCAGGACGTTGGTCAGTAACAACCAAAGCATTTGATGTTTGCTGCTGGGCCCGCAACTTGATAGCACTTTGTTCTGCTGTATCAACCTCAGTATCTTCAGCCTTTTTTATCAATGCAGACTACATACGAACAAAAACAACGTTAAAGTTGGTTTCAATAATTTCCAACAATTTGGTACTGTTGTGAATAGCCTGATTCTATAAGCTTCTTCTGAACGAAACTGCAAAACAAATTACCTGCCGCTCAGGAAATTTAGGCATTTCAGCCAATATATCCACAAGAGCTGCACCTCTCCTACTCAAGGCAAGGTATTCAGCAGCTCGTTGTTGTATCTCTACATCAATGCAACTCTCGTACCTGAAAGAAATAAACAGTATGCTAAAGAAAAGCACAGAATTTGATATATAAAAAATTAACCAACTTGAGAAAAGTAATGGTGCAGAGGACAATCTCACTTGTTGAATATTGCCCAAATCTGATTTTGTAGTTCTGCATCTGGAGGTTGAGTGTGCATAAAGATCTTAGCATATGTTGAAAGAAGAATAGGAATAGTATAAGTCCTGCAAATATAATACACACTCTAAGATAAATACAGGTATTGTAACTGAATTTAGTAAGAATAAGAGAGGGAAAAGTTTTTAAGTGCCCTTACGATACAGCAGGAAGCTTCTCATGTATGACGCTAAATAATTCCTTTGGACTACACCCAGGCCGTCTGGCCAAAAGGTGGCCAAATTCTCCAATGATATATGCACTGACCTGTTGCATGTGAATTGAATCCAAACAAATCAAGACATTTATTTTCCTTAGATGGTTACGTTTGGTAGAAATATATGCAAGAGAAACAATAAAGATTAAGGTGAGTTCAAATTGAAACGGATCTCTTGAGTAGCATATGTGCAAAGATATACAACCTAGAACCAAAACATAGGACTCTTTTTTTAACATAATGAGAATCAGCATTAAGCATTTCGAGCTCACAATTCTCGACCCCTTAATCTTTCTATTTTACTTTATTTAGAAGACAAACCAATTATATATTATTTCTTTTTATTTTTTAACAAGAGGTCAAGAAAGTACAATAGCAGTGGATAACTAGTCCATTGAACAAATCTCTAACATTCAACTACCTACTCAGCACTTACACACCAAACACAGTACAAATATAAAAAGTCCCAAGAAACTGCAGCCCAACCCCTTCCCCGAAAAAGGGCACATAAATGAGGAAAAAATTATTTCACTAAACTCATAAAACAAGAATCCCACACTCAACAATGCACTCTTTCCCACAAGAAATCGACGTCCTCTCAATGTTTTCCTTCGAGAATCCAACACTCTTACCAACTCGACCACCTAGAAGATGACCAAGATATGGAAGGTTGATAACAGTCGCCTTTTTTCCTACCACTAAAAGCACAATTTCTCACAATAAAATCTGTGTTAAGTTGGAAACCTCCAACTCAACCTTAAATTTGGGCCTCTCCTTTCTTGGCTATCCTTGGTTTTAAATAGAAATGAAAGGATTCTCTCATCCTGTTTGGGTAGTAAAACTAAGAAATACATAATAACTGTTGGGTTTCTAATAGATGACTTAGATTAAAAAACAAGGGTTTCCAAGACAAGGAGAAGATCTTAATCTAAGTTCTCAACCTTACACTAAACAACTTATGTCTCAATTCCTTCTTAACCAAGAAGATGATATGCAAACATTATGCTTATCAATTGTTCCCGCTGGACTGAGAAAAAGGATAGATGGTTTACCATCAACCAATTAAATAGAATTTGCAAGAGAAGGTTCCATCAAATTCTACTTGCCCATGTTCCGGAACCTCTTCAAAGTTAAATTACAGCCCATTGAAATGGAAGAGGAGACCCAAGCCTTAGGCCCCTCTCTTACCAAAAAATCAAAGAAAAAAAAAGAAAAAAAAGAAGAAAAATACATGGAAGAGGGGACGACAGATTAGCAATTGAAATTTGGCACATTATAAACAGATGATAATCTAAAATATACAGAAATAAAAACCATAGAGTGATCACCCACCCAAATTTTCCAAAAATCTGATTCTCCCAAAATTTTCAACAACTAATTGAAGAAAATGACAGAAGAAACTAATTCCTTGTGAAATGTCTTTCCAAAGATTTGGACTTTAACTTTAACCTCCACCGCACCTTAAAGTCCTACCTACTGGCATCAATGCAATCTCTATCTCAGATGACCGCATGCCAAAAGAATTTCCAAAAGAATATTTCTCAACAAACTTCGCTAACAAGGCCAATTCTGACCTCCTTATGTAACTAACAAAAAATCATGCTCTATATATGGGTCATGAGCTCTCACGCAAATCACGTGCACAGCAATGAAAACACAATTCCTAAATCATGCAATCATGATAATCATGGCTCTATGTAAAAAGAAATGTTCTCTTTCAAGATTGAATATGGACCATTGATCATGTTGATTTTTTCCAGAAAGTGCGGTTCCAAAACATTAGCCTATGTATGTGTGTGTGCATGCGTGTATAAAACGTTCCCACTGATCCGGCATATAGTATTATCTTTCAGATTTAGATAAAGCTTGCATGGAAAACGTAATCATAGTCTATACACACCTTAACCATTGTCTCATGTATAGCAGGTTTGTCAAGATACTCTCTGGCTTTTGCTGCTGCATATGGCTGATCAAGTGCATAACATCTCAGTCAAATAATTACTAGAAAAAACATATCTAATAAAGTAAAAATGCAGCAAAGCATTCTAACCTGTAAGTCTTCGTTATTTGTAACAAATTGCACAACACGAAACCATATATCATCACTGACAAAATCTCCAGCTTTGTCAATTAGTTGAAGAATCACATCTACATACCTGCATAATATCAATATGCACAAAAGAAAAAATGATAGGATCACTATGCATCCAATTAATAATAGGTTTACCAACTTCCCATAAGTACTTTTACTTCCACACATAAGAAAGTAAACTCCCAGAAGATCCAAAAGAAGTACAAATAACTAAATCACAGAATTCACCACCCAACAAAAACAAAATTATTGCAACTTTAAGTTTTTAAATAAGTATACATTATATATACATATAACAATATGAAAAAACACTCAAGTCAATTCACTAATCCTAACTAATTGAAAGTCGAAATGCAGAATGCATTGTCAGACCAAAAACAAAGAAGTCGGATACATTGATCCTTTTTCACCTCAGTCCCATCATAGGTAACCGTGGAAATAGAAAATGGTAGTTTCAAAGTAGAAACAGAAAGAGAAGAAGACAACAAGATGATACAATCAAGACCAAACAGACACTGAGCGTTTTCAAAAGATCATGAAAAATCACTCCTCTTGCATAATATCAAACTAGATATATCTTTATAATCCAAAAATGTGTTTAATTTAAACAAGTCATTGCAATAGAGATTGACCGTCTACATTCAAAAAATTCTGTGTCTTCGTCTATTATTCCCTGCTTCTCTATTTCTCCTCTCTGATATTAACTACTGGGATGTGATTTCCCCACTCCCCTTTTCTCCACTTACACTCCCTTTTGCTTTTTAATACTTTTTAATCAATTTTGTTATTTATCTTTCCTATTCTACCCTTACTCTACATTGATTTCTTTTTACTTCACTTTAATATTAGTTCTTTTTCTTTACACTTAATTTTCCAACTTGCACTCCATTTTTAGTTTTTTTTTTCCTTTAATCGAGTAAGAAATTAAGTATTTTGTTTCCCTTTAATACTGAAAATGGAGTGTAAGTTGGAAAATTAAGTGTAAAGAAAAAGAAATAATATAAAGTGAAGTAAAAAAGGATATTAATGTAGGGTAAGGATAGAATACGAAAGAGAAAGAACAAAATTGATTAAGAAGTATTAAAAAGCAAAAGGGAGTGTAAGTGGAGAAAAAGGGAGTGGGGAAATCAGATCCCTAACTAAAATGTGATTTAGAACTACACTTGCTTAATAATTTAGATTCGTATGCCTGTTTTCAGATTTCTCTACTGGTGTATTGGTCCCATGCCCTATCTCGTTCATTGGAGAGCCATGTTCGTTAAAGAAATGAAAAAGGAAAAGAGCAGAATGAGAGCCATGCTTACCATGACAGATCAGGGGCAAATTTTTCGGCAAGAATGGCAGCTTTAAGTGACAATTCCTCACGCATTGCAAAGTCCGCTGTGCTAAGATACTGAAATGCAGATGAAAGTCAGTGGTACCTCATTTTGTGATTGAGAGAGAATAAATGTCTGCTAATATAAAACAAGAGGCAATCTACTAAAATCATATACAACCAAGTAGTACACGCACAGAGTATCTGATGTACCTGCAATAGTTCTTCAACTATATCTTTTGCATTTGAAACATCGCACATACCATAAAGCAAGTCAAGAGCACGCCTACGAATACTGAGGATAGAATTTGATGTTAGTGACCCCTTAATGGTGTTAGATGTATAAAACTTAAGCACAAAATATAAGAGTGAGTGTGCTCATAATATCCTTTAAGTATAATAAGAATTTCTTCGTTAGGACAATTAACTTCAGGAAACCGTGCCCAAGAAAAATAAATAAATTTGCAACGTTAATACTATGGGTTAGAGACATGTGCAATGCATGGATAAATGAACTAAGTGATTATAGTACAGACTATAGAGTGAGCATGATGCCAAAATCAAAGAAAAGATGGAATGCTTCAATAGATAAAAGATGCTACAAAAAAGGTATGAGGTCATGTAAGCTCTGAGAAACTTGCATATTTTGACGTTTTATTAGTTGTGAGCCCATGGAATCAGGCCAAATGGACCTAGGAACTAGTATTGCTAAAGGATGGCACTGTTATGAATGAAAACAAAATTTCTCTTCTGCTTGTAAACCAAATACAGCCAGATAACAAATTTAACCTGATATCTGGATCCTTCAATGAGGTGATGATCTGAGCCTGATGTCTCTTGATGATATCTTGCACATCCGTCACCATTAACATGCGCGTCATATTTTCCTACATGAGCAATTTCAAATTTAAATCATGCAAATTTACAGCAGCCACCTATTTACCCTTCTAAGTTTAGACATACTTCCTCTGCATGCTTCAGTCAGGGATTGTGTTAAAATGAAAATGTGAAAAACCAAAATATATATTTACTGAACTATTGTTATTCATTTATTGATCCTTAGCCTAATAACGAAGCCAGAATTATTTTTCACCACTTACCAAACCAAGATATCGGATATTTGGTTCTCGCACAGCAATAAATTTTCCAAGCAGTGCAACACACTGAGACATCATTTCCTTTTCAGCATCCAGATGCATGACCTAAAATTGGGCAATAATAACACATAATACATAAGATCCCGCTGCCTTTAAAAAGGAATAGATAAGACACTTGTGTGTGGGCGTGCCCGAAAGAAAATGAAATAAAGTTTCAAACATTTCCTAGCAAAGAAATATCTCCAAAATGATTTCACCCAGCATGTTATAATCTCAGATGACTGCACAACTCAAATTTACAGAAAGAAGAGAGCGGGAAGAATAATGCAGACGATACCACTTCCACTTACATAGCCTAGCCATAAAATTATAAAAGCCCTTATATGATTCCACATACATGCACGTGCATCTCTGTCAACATATGTACACAGAATATTTTGTTGCTTTCAACGCAAAAGACAAAATTTCAATGGAAGTAAATGCAAAAGTAACTAGAAGGACCACTGGAGTTCCAAAATTATAAAAAAAATTGTCAGCCAATTAGGGGAACCTATATGCGTGTATAGTTTTAATAAATGGTGTCTAAAATTCATGATCATACATAAAAATTACTGCAGAAAACTTACAAGAGCAAGGGCTTCAAAGAGAACAGCATGCGATGCATTGTTCTTATTAACATTTTTAACAACATCGGTACCCATCAATATCCGTTGTAAGACCTGAAACCACCAGTACAAGGTTTAATAGAAGCATAAAATATAACAGCACAACTGATAATAATCTTGACAGAAAATGACCTCAAACAATGACCGTCTGGTATTTGGATCTTCAACAGTAGGAAAATACTGAAGAGCCCTCATTGTCTTAACCTGTGCAAAAAAAACACTTGTAAGAAAAAAATGAACTTGTTCTACATTCACCAAATGCTACAAATTTTCCAACACATTTAAGTGATAGAAACAGTGTCCTAGTAAATTGTCCAGGCAAAACAAGAAAATACGAAATATATTCTCAAGAAGCTAAGTACTGGCAGCACTACAAAGATGGTTCAAAGTCATTGGAATTTTAAATCCCAAAAAGTTAAAAAGATCTTGCCTAAAAACTATAGTAAACCAAAGAGGAAAAACTGAAGCCAGAACCAAATTTCCCGGTGTTTGGCATGCTCTAGAAGGTTAGGCTGGTTGGCACAACTAAGGCACATGATATAAAATAAAATTTAAAAACATATTATTATAAGGCTGATTAAGTTATAATCTATGGAAAAGTAAAATGACAGCATTGACTGCAATTGGTGGAAGCTTGAAAAACAAGTGGAGTAGTTGGCAAAAAAAAAAAAAAAAAAAAAAAAAAAAAAAAAAAAAAAAAAAAAAAAAAGCAAAGCAAAGAGCCATATCAGTTTAATATAGACATGACAAGATTAATCTGTTTCGGATGGAAAAAGATAAATCAGGATGCTGATTTTATTTGGTATCCGGTGCATACAAAGAAGTCTGACGAATAAAACAAAAGGAAATGTACATATCACAAACCTGAAGCCAGGGAGATGGGATACCATAGTAGGTGTACTCTTGTGGAATATCCTGGTTCCTAGCAAGCCGTTCTAATATTTTAACGCATTTTGGAAGACAACTCCAGTAAGAATCATGGTGGTTTGATACGAGGGCTACTAGAAGGCTCATAGATGATGTCAAAACACCAAGATCGCGTTCATCTAAAAGTTGTGCCATCCGGTCAGCCCTAAAATAAAGGGAAAAAGATAGACCAATCAAATAAGCACGGAAGGCAAAAGTAATGCAAAACATCATGTAGTTAAGAAAGTAATATGCGAACATACCAGCCATCTACATTGACAACATCAGGATTTTTCCTATACAAGCGCAATAGACATAGTGCGGCTTTTTTTCTCACAAGTGGTCTGTAGCTGCTAGAAATCTAAATAAACAAACTTGGTCAACAACATCATTTTCTATTAATTCGAGCCAAACAGAAAAAAAGATTGCAACTTACAAGTAACTTTTGAACATCAGGTGCTAATGACTCCGCAAATTCTCTTCCGCCGATATTCCCAACCTACAAAGTCAAATACAAATGAAATAATGATGGTACATTAGGCATAATCTAAGAGCAGTAAATTTTTTTAATGAGGACACAGCAGGAGAGAATATAAGAAAGACAAAAGAAGAAAACATGGAAGCAACAGGTTTAAAGAAACAAAAACAGAAAGAACAACTTATCCAAATGAAAGATTCAAGATATCCCAAAATCAGATCAAACTACAAATATTATTAAAAGACCTATTCAATATTGACATAGCATATAATCATATAATTCTGGAAGACAAACGCATAAAATAAGATCCCTTTTGATCATTATCACATAGAACTTTAAAATCAAAATGAATAGTATGTTTTGAAAACTGAACAGATATTGTCATACCATAGTCAATGCCAAACACTGGAAAGTCTCGTTACGACCGATAATATCATTGCGCACGGTATTTATCGCTAATCTCAGAAAATCATGGTTCTCATTGAGCAGACATGATGTCACAATGTACCCAACCTGCAGTCAATTAAAAAGTGAGATCCTTTCTTCTGTTTTTTGGACAATGAAGATAAGGCAATATAATGGGATAAAAGAATTAGCTACTGCCATTGAGGTTGATCGCATATCAGAAGAGGAAACGTGCATTTTAGTTTTTTTCCAAAGATAAATTTATATAATTGGTATGCAAAAGTACCGTATTAAAACTATACAGAAATAAAACTGATGACCCTGAGATGAACAACGTCTATAACTGTTTCCATCCGTTAATGTACAAAAAAGAAATATGATGAGAATGGGTTTACTTTCTAGATTATTTTTTTTTTTGAGAAGAAACGAAATTTATAAAGCAAATGAAAATGGAAGATAACCAAACTCAAGACTAGTCGTTTTAATATTGATGTGAACAGAAGATATCACCTGCTTTTCTGGATACTTAGGCGCAGATATTAAAGAAACTGCTTCCATGTGACCAAAATCCACATCATAGCCCAGCATATAAATGTAAAGCATTTTCCAAACATACTTCTTCTTTTCATAAGGTGACAAACCCTGTTGAAAGAATTCAATAAAATTTCCATTAACCAGTCACCCTTTTTGGTTTAGCTGTTGCACTTTCTAACTAAATAGTGAGCAAGCAGTAAAGAGTGATGTATGTGTAAGCAAATGGACGTCCACCATATAAAAAGATGGTACTAGATCATATTTATACAAAACTGATCTATGTCTCAGCCTATTTAGTGGAATCTATGCAAAACCAAAGCAAAGACAACCTAAGATTTGTGCGAGATAACTAAGGTCAATTTTCATTATCATTAATGAGAGACAGAGAAAACACGCACAAGCAATGAATTTGCTAACAGAGAAACAGCACTCCACCTAAATAACAGCAGCCTGCCAGTCAGCTAAAGTTGCATAACAAGAATTTCCTGAAATTCCGAAGAAAATGGAGCAAATAAAGATGCCCAAACCAAAAACCAACTTTATCCCATAAAATCTCCATCTCCTCTCACCTAAAAGTATCAAATATCCTCCTATTTCCTCCAGCCAAATTACCCAAAACATAGCCATCTCTCCCTAAACCTTCACCCTTCCTCCTCCTCCAGGAAAATTGGGACACAAAATAAGGCTGTGCAGGGTGCTGGAAAAAGCATCACCAGTAATAACAACACACAAGGTAGTACACGATACTTGTGCCTAAACAGAGAACAATAAGTTTCACTTGACACCATAGAAGAAGCATCCACAGATAAAGGGGAAAAAAACTTAGAAAGAGTTTCCTGAGATCAAAACTGAATCAAATAATAAAAGTGCACATCTTTGGTGACCCAACCTAAAATCCACACAGGTGGCACAACAGTCTCTGGTATAGCGCTAACACAAAGCATCTTCGAGAAAACAATTAATTTCCTAATACCCAATCATTTAAGTTGCCAACTTTGCAGTCCAAGAATAGACCATTAAATCCCATGATGCATTAAGAATATATAGAGAAACTAAACTGATCGCTAACTCAATAAAACTACTAATTCTACCAGGCTGGTTCAAGCACTTGGTTGGTAATGTGACACATAGCATATATCATGAATGTGCACAAGGAGTAGAAGAAATGAACAATGAGAAATCACCATCACTTAAACTGAAGCCAATTTCCAACAACAACATTGAAAGTAACAAAAAAGTAACAATCAAATACAAACAGTAATGACCCCACTGTCATATAAACCCTAGAATGAAAATAATAACCCATAAAGAATAAACATAACTTTGTTTAGTCATCAAAATTAATTCAATCTAAGACAAGATACTACAGAGAAAGGACTGAAGATCAGTGAGTGAATCGGGGCAGAAGATGCGGGTACATAACAATTTATAAGATTAGAGAAATCTTATTCCTTCAAAGAAAAATGCAAAAAAAAATGGCTTCCCTTGTCCAGTGGCAACCTTGTTCAATACAAACTGTGCCTCAAATTTCTTAAAACTTTGGGGTCTGGTGACGCATGACAACATTTTATAATAAAAAACATGCAAGAGTAAGTTTCAATATATTCATAACTCAAATTTAATACAAATTTAGCTTGCTTGTGTGGCATACCCCTTTCTAAGGAAACACGTCTACATTAACACATCATTTTGCCATTATAGTATTTCAATCATTCCAGGTAATTTCTACCTACTTTTATATCCTTTCAAATATATTTGACAAGATATATAAAAATTGAAACAGTCATCAAGTTCCCTTCACATTTGAATTCAGTGATGGACAGCAACAATTCCTATTCCAATTACAGGATAGCCCAAATGTGCTTATAGAGAATCTTCAATTCAGCATAAGAACATCTAGGTATAGGTTGTTGAATGGATTCCTTTCAATCTTGGTTTAAATTTTAAAAATGGATGTTGGATGACCAAAGCACCACAAGCAATAGAATTGAAATGGGGGAGCACTGGCTCCTTTTAGGTGAAGGAAGCCACAACCAAATAAATAGCTACGTCAAGACTATCCTCATGTGTTCTCCAATCTCCCTAGGCACAGACTAGGATGCATTTCCCATCTTATTCACTTCCATAACAAAAATCCAGTTCAATATTTCAAAAAATTGTAGATAACATATACAAGTAGTAACATCTCAACTCAAATTTAATCAGATTCAATGATATCCATCTAAAAGAAAAGCAAATGAAGGTGAACGCCTCTGGTTCATGCCTATCACTTGAAGTCCGTCAACTGAAACTGTAGGAACTAACATGTTCCGTTCATTGAGCTATTTATATTAAACCCATGGTATTATAAATCCAAGGAATATATGTAGTACCAAATTCCTACTGCCTCTCCGCAATAATAAGTCCACATAAAAGCCATTTCTAAATAAGCTTGAAAACCAAAAAAACCAATGCTGATGCCACCCAACTCTACGCAGATAATCATAGAACTAGGTAACCTTTATTTTATTAATTATAAATCCACCTCAAGCTAAGTTCACATTTTCGCTTCCAATTACTAACACAAAACCCGAAATCACAAAATTTTAGTTTCCTTTCATTTCCCAGACTTTCTCAGCAGCCCAACAAACACCCAAGAAAACCCAAATCCCAAATTTAAGCAATGAAGTCATTCCACCATGGTCTAGATCAAAAGCCTCACTTGTCTCTCATCCCCCAAAACTAACAAAAACGAATTTGCAACACGAGAACACAAAGGAAACGCGAAACCCTAACCCAAAGACAAACCTTTTCGTTTTTGAAGCGTGTACGGACATTTCCAAGCTCCTTATCGACCCGGAGCCTCTCCTGCTCTTTGTTCTGGCAATTCCGAATGTCGCTGATGAAAACAGAGAGGCCTCGCATGCCTGACAAAGCCATGACTGCTCAGATCCAGCCCTAGCGAGACACACACTCACAGAGAGACAGAGAGACAGAGAGACAGAGAGAGAGAGAGCCACCACTGCTCAGCTCCCCCCAAATCGTCGAAGATCCTTGTGGGCTTGTATTGGATGGATCTACAGACTAGCAGAAATTGAATACTGTTGGTGAAGATCAGCAGCTCCTCCAATTACAAAATCGCAAAAATGGGTTTGATCTAATTCTAATGCCTCCTTAGAGAGAGAAGGAAGGTGCACTTAGGAAATTTGAGAAAAGAAAAGCCGTCGGTCAGTGCTGGAAGGAGACGACTTTTATTCACCGTGCCCAATTGAATCATTTCATTTCATGACATTTTCCACCTAATACTTCTTTGTTTCTTCTTCATTTTCTTCATTTCTTTTTTCTTTTATTTTATTTTAATGTTTTATTTCTCTTCCTCAATCCTCAGACAGAGAGGCAAAATATAATCTTTTTTTTTTTTTTTTTTTTTTTTTTTTGGGGAAATAATTGGCAAAAGTGTAATTCAGGTTTTTTAATTGTTTTTTATGAGCTTGTTAATAATATATATTTGTGCTGTGGGTCTTTACTGTTTTTTTTAAATTTACTTTTATTTATTTTTATTTACCTTTTACCCAATGCCCAATTATGCATGTGATTCTTTTACCTTTTACCTTTTACCCAATATGACATGGCTTTTTTGTCTAATTTTGGATCAACGAAAGGATTTATGATTTACCAACATTTCTATAGATTTAACTGCACTGCCAGGTAGGATTTTAATTTATAAATTTTCCAAAAATAATTATACTGATGTCTGCTGGTTTCGCTTGCTATTATTAATTCACTGTTGCTACCTGAATTCAAGTCAATTTCTTGCAAGGCTTATTTAATTCTAAGAATTCAAACAAAACCTGAATAAAGCGGCCCAGAAGTGTTCCATTAATATCCAACCAGCCCTGTAGGGCCCACTATATGGAAAGTAGCATGAAAAGGCCCAAATTAATGTTATCGGAAAGAATTACCTTGGCAAAACCCAGTTTTGAAATAACACGAACACCCCACCTTGCGTTATTGTGCTTTTATCGAAAAGTAACCTACCTTATAAAAGCTTCTTAACAATTTTTGAAAATAAAGGTAAGCTCCCATTTTGTCATTAAACGTTGAACCACGCAATGCATATTGAGGAAGAACTTGGGTTCCTACAAGCTATGCTTGACAATGGCGGTAGCCCCTCGGATGAGTACCAAACCAAGCTATGCTTGACAATGGCGGTAGCCCCTCGGATGAGCATGTCTATTTGGGCGGTAATCAAGTCGAACAGAGCGGTCAGGAGTCCTAAAACCTATTATTTTCTAGAGCAAAATCTGTGTTTTTAGTCAATATGTTTTGCCTCAACTCACATTTGGTCTCACAAGTGCAAAGATGCACAACTCACAGTGGCAGTATCCTCAATTCGTGGGGTTTATGATTTACTGTGGTTCAGTGAAGATAGAGGAAGATGAGAGGCAGATCACACGATGCATGATCATATGATACATGACAAACAATTTACATTAGTTTAGTTTAGTATTATAATCAGGTGATCAATTTTGTTATTATTATTTCTTTAATCAATTCAAGGAAGGAAGATCAAAATGATTTGTTTTATATTTGGGGGCATTTAGATGCCGGTTAATTTAGCTAACATATCAAAATGATTTGTCTTGTACCCCAACATCTATCACTGCGTTTATCAATTCAGCAAAACATCTTTCCTCAAGTGATGATAACAGGTTAATCAAATAAAGTACACGCTAACAGGTTTATTTATCAATTCAGCAGTGATAAATGCGGGTTTTTTTTTTCTTCTTTTGAGGCCCTAAATATTTTTCTTCCACACAAATGACACCGACTACAAATACAAAAATTTCGATGGTTCACAATCAAGATCAAGACCCATTATGAAAGCCCATCTTTGTGTCGGTTGCATTCTCATTCACGCTCTCGTTCATTTTAGGATATTGAGGCACACTCTTCTCATTGAATTTGACATCTTGATGAACATCATCCACCAATCCAAATTAGTAAACCGAGCAACCTCCACGCCCTCTTGTTCTCTCAAGCGGTGGCCACCACCCTAGCTACTCAAACATTAACCTTTACATCTTCGAATACCTTCAAAGTATGTTTCAAATAAATTTCTACACTTCGAGTAAATCCAAATAACTTCTAAAAATTCACTGAATCTCCACTTTTGACCCCTAAATATTTTTCTTTCACACAAATGGCACCAACTAAAAATACAAAAATTTGAGGGTTCACAATAAGGATAAAGACCCATTTATTAAAGCCAATCTTTGTGTCGGTTGCATTCATTCACACTCTCGTTCACTTTAGGATATTGAGCCACACTCTTCTCATTGAATCTAAGAATGACAAAAATTCCCGTCGTGTTGGGTTCCCTGCCCTAACAGGGGAGATTTCGAGGGAAAACTAGAACTGGTACGGGGATCCCCGATTTTTCAAAATACCCAATAGAAGACAGGCCGATGATGGTATTGTTATTCCCATCCCCGAACTCGGGGTGATAAGTGATGTATTTATTTTTAGTTATTAAACATATAATATAATATAACAAATAAAAAGTTACCCAAAACAATTACGTGTTGAAATTGACATGAACTTCCATTTGTCTGTGTTGTACTATACCCGCACTTTCCTTCACACAAATGACATCGACTACAAATACAAAAATTTCGATGGTTCACAATCAAGATCAAGACCCATTATGAAAGCCCATCTTTGTGTCGGTTGCATTCTCATTCACACTCTCGTTCATTTTAGGATATTGAGCCACACTCTTCTCATTGAATTTGACATCTTGATGAACATCCTCCACCAATCCAAATTAGTAAACCGAGCAACCTCCGCGCCCTCTTGTTCTCTCAAGCGGTGGCCACCACCCTAGCTACTCAAACATTAACCTTTACATCTTCGAATACCTTCAAAGTATATTTCAAATAAATGTATACACTTCGAGTAAATCCAAATCACTTCTAAAAATTCACTGAATCTCCACTTTTGATCCCTAAATATTTTTTCTTTCACACAAATGGCACCAACTAAAAATACAAAAAATTTGAGGGTTCACAATCAGGATAAAGACCCATTTATGAAATCCAATCTTTGTGTCGGTTGCATTCTCATTCACACTCTCGTTCATTTTAGGATATTGAGCCACACTCTTCTAATTGAATCTAGGAATGACAAAAATCCCCATCTTGTTGGGTCCCCGCCCTAACGGGGGAGATTTCGGGGGAAAATTGGAACGGGTACGAGGATCCCCGATTTTTCAAAATACCCGATAGAAGACAGCTTGAGGACAGTATTGTTATTCTCATCCCTGAACTCAGGTTAGTTATTAAACATATAATACAATATAACAAATAAAAAGTTACCCAAAACAATTACGTGTGAAATTGACATAAACCCATTTGTCTGTGTTGTATTATACCCGCACTTTCCTACATGTTTAGCTTAATGTTTTTTTTTTTTTTTTTTTTTTTTTTTTTTTTTTTTTTTTTTTTTTTTTTTGGGGGGTCTAAGTCTAAGTTTAGGATTTATATTGATTTTATTATTTTTTTCGAGGAAGATTTAAGCTCGTCAAATAACTTGAACTAAATTTAAAGCTTGTCCAGAAAATACTTATATAGAAAGTTTAACTGACGAAACACTTCCAGCATGCCGGAGGTGCTTTTGATTAGGTTTTTAAGTGCTAAATATATAATATAATATAATATAACAATTAAAAAGCTACCCAAAACTGTGGACTTATTATTTTTTATTATATGATTTTATTAATTTTGTTAAATTAACTTGAGTGTTATAATATAGATATTTTTAAAATTTTTTTTTTTAAATCGGGGATTCGGGTCGGGTTTGGATATCATTCCTGACGGAGAGACAGGGATGGGGATTTCCTGAAATTTCATACAATTTTCCGACGTCTTGATGAACATCCTCCACCAATCCGAACTAGTAAAACGAGCAGCCTCTACGCCCTCTTGTTCTCTCAAGCAGCCGCCACCACCCCAACCACCATGAGCCACCCTAGCCAACTCAAACATTAATTTGGGTTTAAAAACAAATGAGAATGGTTTCTGAAGCAAACCCAAAAAAAAACAGGAAAAAAAAAAAGAGTATCAGAAGAATGTAGTGGATGGTTTTCAGGTTTTCCGAATTGATTAAAAAGTAACTAGTGATTAAGAAAACTATTAAACTGATGAGCAGGATAATGAATTGAGTTTTGAGAAACAAGTGATTACTCAGACTCGGAACGCGGATGGTCCAACTTAAATAAGCCAGAGTCTAGGTCCAATTTGAACTTCAAGAAAAGAGAAAGCTTTCATCGATACTCAAAAGCGTTTTAGGGTTTTCTGAAGGGAACCATCTTTGAACGTTGGCTCGCACAGACTGACTCGGAGACAGTAAAGATGACGACGACGATGATTATGCGGACATCTAGGATTTTTTTCTCGAAAAATCACTTGGGTTTATTTCATGGTTCTTCTCAGTCCTCAAACCAAAACCCAAGCAAATCTAAATCTAGAGACCCCCAACACCCATTTGATGTCACTAATCTCGGGGATGCATCGAATATGTTCGATAAAATGCTTAAACAGGGTCGTCGACCTTCTGTTGTCCGCTTCACTCAACTATTGGGTCAAGTTGCGAAATTAAAGCATTACTCGGTGGTCATATCTTGGTATAAGCAAATTACTCTGTTGGGAGTTGTTCCTGATGCCTTTATTTTAAACATTATCGTGAATTGTTTTGGTCGTTTGAACCAAATGGACGCTAGTTTTTCAGTCTTGGCACTATTCTTTAAATTGGGGCTTCAACCAGATGTCACTACCTTCAACACTCTAATAAGGGGCTTGGGCCTTGATAATAGAGTTCATGAGGCTGCTTCACTTGTCCGCAAAATGGCCTTTTTTGGAGAAGGATGTAAGCCCAATGTTATTACTTTTGGTACGTTAATAGATGCTTCATGCAAACTAGGGCAAAATGGCAGGGCTATTCAACTGCTTAGGTTGATGGAAAAATATGACTGCCAACCTAATGTAGTTGTCTACAGCACAATAATCGACAGCCTTTGTAAGGACCAACTTGTTGCTGAGGCCTTCAAGCTCTTCTCAGAAATGGAAAGTAAATGTATTCCCCCAAACATCGTCACCTATACGTCTTTGTTTCTGGGTTTATGCAAATCATGTCCGTTGACGGAAGCAACACAATTCTTCACAGAGATGAGCAGTAAAGGTATCTCTCCAAACGTTCAAACCTTCAGTATCCTAGTTGACTCTTTGTGTAAGAACGGAAAGTTGAAGGAAGCTAATCAAGCAATTGACTTAATGACTGCTAGAGGTATGGAACCTAATACTTTTACTTACAATTGCCTCATGAAGGGTTATTGCTTGCAAAGAGATATGAACAAAGCAAAAGGCATTTTTGATCTAATGCTTAAGAAGGGCTCTATTGTTGATGTTTTTAGTTATACTATATTGATAAATGGATATTGCAATAAAAGAAGAATGAAGGAGGCAATGCATTTGTTTGAGGAAATGACTCGTAAGGGAATGATTCCAGATACGGTTACTTATACGACACTTATTGGCGGCTTTTGCAAAGACAGAAGAATAGATGATGCACAAAACATATTCTCAAAGATGAAAGTTGGTGGTCCACTTCCAAATATTTCTACTTATAGTGTTTTACTGGATGGACTGTGTAGAAACGGCCATATTGATATGGCTTTGAAATTCTTTGGAGAGTTGGAATGCAGTAACGTGGATTTTGGTATCAGTCCCTACAATATTCTGATTGATGGTTTGTGCATGGCAGGAAGACTTGAATCTGCACGAGATCTCTTTCGCAGTTTACCTTCGAAAGGACTAAAACCAGATGTCAAGACTTATACAATACTGATAATTACTCTTTCTACTAAGGGCCTATTTACTGAAGCAGAAGCATTGCTTAGAGGAATGGAAGAGAAAGGCTGTTCCCCAGATTCTGTCACCTACAACACAATCATCCAGAGATTTCTCCTTAATGATGAGCTATCAAGGGCACAAAAACTTATTCAAGAAATGGTGGCCAAGGGTTTCTATGCAGATGATTTAACAACGACAATGATAGTTGACTTAATTGATGAGGGCAAACTAGATACTGATTTGCATCCAGTGGAAAAAAAAAATCTGAGTGAATTTCATTTCCATCTTCAAATGAACAAGAACTTTCTGATCCAAAAAAGAAAAAAGAAAAAAGAAAGAGGAAATGAACAAAAACTTTGTAGCGAGGTGGAGATTCTAGTTTGAGTGTGAAAACTAGTTTAAGTGACGTGTTTTCATTTTGAAGCAGTCTTATCTCAGTGAATTTAATTTGCATCTTGAAATGAACAAAAACTTTGTATCGATGCGGAGATTCTAGTATTTTGAATGTGAAAACTAGTTTATGTACGTAGTTCTTGCGGAATGTCTTCATGTATTGTGGGAGTTTCTTGTTTTATGAATTTTCATTCCATTGTCTTATAAATTTGCAAAACTGGTGTTGTGCTTGACCTATTTTCTTAGCTGCTATACTTTAGGTATTAGTTAGTTTATTCACTTTGGACCCTATTTAGGCATATTGTATACCTAGATTTTATTTATTTGAGAATTAGCTTTTGGATTGTGTTCTATCCCGGCGGTATTCTGCAACTTTGCTCTCTCTCTCTCTCTCTCTCTCTCTCTCTCTCTCTAAACTGATTGCTTGTTATGTATATCATGCCCCTTTATCCAGAATGAAACTTTATCTTGAAAGTAAGGCTCTTAAACACCGAATTGTTGAATTGATAACAATTCGACGATTAACTTTGTATTAAGGTCCAGGCTGTTCCTCTATTGGTGGAGGTGCCTTTAAAGAGCTGGGTTCATTTTATCCTACAGGTGATGGTAGAAGCCTCCAAAGAAATTCAATGTCATGGAATTGAGGTATATCATATATTACGTTTAATGGACACATCAGTTTTCCTTTTCTTTTTTTTTTGGAAAATATAATATGCACTGTTTCACAATTCACTATTGGAACCCTAAATTATGTCCCTTTTTTTTCACATGTAGCATCAAATCTCCTCTTTGTTGAGTCTCCTGCTGGAGAAGGATGGTTATACTCGAATACAAGTTCGGATTATAAATCTGGCGATGCATCCACTGGTAAAGTTAATAGCTACGTCTACTTCTGTTTCTTTTCACTGATTCTAGTATGTGGTTATTATTTTGTAATTGCTATAGAACTTAGCAATCAGATTTTCAAAACATATTTTCAGTTTGATTTGATCCAATCTCGTTCTCTCTATTTTGCAGCAAGGGATATGCACACATTCCTGTTGAAATGGTATGAGAAGTTTACTTTTGCACGCTTACTGTCTCCAAGACCTGTCATTTGGAATCGGTTTTTACCATCTCTGCTATATATTGGACCATATGTTCCAGCAATACTTGTGTTCTCATGGATTGATTTCTTATGAAAGTGGCCTTACTATCATGAATGAATGCGATTTTGATAATTATGTCTTTCCAGAACCTCAAAATGTAACGGTTCAATGCAATCCTGCAATATCTCAAGCAAATAAAATAGTTGGCGAGTACGTGATCGTTGATGTTTGTTGTCCGTCTATAGTGCAGCAAGAGTTGAGACTGCAGAAAATGGTATCATATATACTTCTTTTTTATTTAGTTTCTGTTTTTATTTTTCATCTCTCACTTTCAAGCAACTCGTCATTTCATTGTCGCAATGAGTTTTTCGTTTACTCCCATTTTCTGCAGGCTACTAAGATAAGTGTTGGAGGTTATGTATGTATGACCTATGAAAGACGTTCTTATTTGAACCTTTCTGAGATTCAGAAAGCCGTTCATACAAATCGTACAAACTTCCTTATAGTTGGAGTATGTGCAGTAAGTAAGTGATAAAAACAACCTTTCCTAATCAGACTATTTAGCTAATTATTCTTTTACATCTTGCATATATCTTTTGACTGAACTTCTCATTCTTGCATCGTACAGTGTTCTTAATTACGGTGATACTGATAGTAACATCGTACAGTGGTCATTAACATCTCTGTTGATTTTTCTTTCTTGAATTGCATATACATTTGCTGCAAAACGAAAGTGGACTTTATAACAACAAATTAAGCAGGCCAGAGTTTTTGTTGAAAGTTGAAGTTAACATTCAGATACCAAGAGTAATGCTTGGTGGACTGGATATTTCCAGAGAAGCCTAGATATGCAGAATAAATTACCTTACCTGATATTCTGGTGCTCTATGTGCCTCACCGTACCATTCTTCATACTCATATCATAGACGGAATCCCTGAAAAAACCATCACATAAAAATTTATAATGAGAAAACAAACTTATTTGTTGCAGGCAGGGAGTAAGTCTCCTCCGAATGCTGGTGAAATCATCGCAACTTAAAGTATTTGACAGCAATAATGAAAGAAGAGGGCCATGTTGATGACACAGATTCTTTCTTGCTCGAATAAGATTGGGAGAAACCCCAATGGCATTGACTATTGATGCCACGGGCATATTGTCATTACTATGCATGCTACATCCCAAGGCCTCTATCTCAGCAAGATTACAAAGTAAAAGCAGAATTTCTATCCCAGCAGTATTCTGCAACTTTGTTGAAGCAGAAACAGACACTGACAAAGAAGCCCTCATTCTTTGTCTCAATGGTGGTTGGTTCCTTTGATCCTCTTCACCGGATCTGGTGGTGAGGTTGCCTAATCAGCCAACTGTTGGGTTCAAGCAGTATGCTGGTGGATGTGAAGACTGGGAGGAGCAAGGAGCCTGGCAAAAAGCCCCTCACTCTTTTGCTCAATGGAGATTAGTTAAACCTGTGTTCCTGTTGAATTGATTTTTTTAATTTGATACTTGGAAACTCTGAGCCTTTTTTAGTTTTCCTGAGAGCACATTTTGAATTTAGTTGGACTCTGTTGCGTAATTGATTGATGTACTATTTTAGTTTCTTGTAATTTCTACTAGTGAATTCTTCAAATTTTATAAAAAAGTCTTGTGTATCAAAGCTTTTAATAATCCTTGTCTTCAGTTGGGTAGTCAGATTTATTTTTTCTTTTGGGTATATAGAATCGTAAAGAGTTCTTGGTCAAATAGAACTGCTTTCTTCTTGCTAGTACATCTGATATTTGGTCTCTCTAGAATTTGTTTATGCAAGCTGATATTGGATTTGATTGCATATGCTTACTGCTCTAATAATGGTTAATAGAAGGTTGAAGGTTCGCATGAAAACATCAAAAGGTCACATCTGTTATAATGGTTTTTTTTTTTGGGGTTATAATGGGTTTTCTATATTCTTTTTCCTTTTCTTTTTCAATAGATTTATGTGTAATATTGGGTCAAAATTTATTATTAGAAACCTAGAAGTGATAATTGATGGGCAAATTTCATCTTGAATTTGGAATGACAATACTTATGTGTTTGTTTATCAAAAGAATATCAGGACTAATATTTTTTGTAATGTGAATGAGTTTAAGTATCTCAACCCCTTATAAACCATTCTGCAAGACCTAAGCCATTATGCAAGACCTCACATTTTCAATGTGAGATCTCTCTCAATACGCCACCTCACGTGACATTATTTAAACCTTAACAATGAACAATGCATATTGAGTTGCGTGGGAGTACGCGTAATTATTAGACGCATAGTATGGTTTGATACCATAAAAGGCATTTATGCAAGTTCTCACATTTTCAAAGTAAGATATTTCTCTCAACACTAGGTGCAGCGTATCATCAAAATGATGCAAAATTTAAGATTGTTTTCAAAACCTAAAACGGAAACGAAGCAAATTCACATTATATAATACCACAACGATGTAAAATTAGATACCTTTTTATGAGCCAAACACATGGACAACTTATATTGGGTGAAAGCATGTGTGGCCTCTCGGCCTAACAGACGTGGACGAACATGCTCTGATCCTATAAGAAGAATTTAGGCATCCATCTCAAAATCAATTGAATAGGTAGAATAGCTCAAGGCACTTGTAAGATTGCTAAAGCACAGTACACAACTTTAATAGGAAAAATGAAGGAAAAGTCCCCCCCCTCCCCCCCATTCACCAAAAAAAAATGAAGGAAAAGAAGTTTCTGAAGCACAGCTAGCTTTTATATGGAGTGATTCTTAGGGTTTAAGCATTGTGTAAAATAATTTCAAATACCAATTACGTTTAACCAATTCAGGATCTAGTTTATCCTTGGACAATAAATCAACTACCCATTTCATGGTTGAATCATCCGCAGAGAAACCCATGTCTGCCATTTCTTGAACAAGTCTGAACGCCCTTGATGTCTCTTTATTATTGATACACCCTCGGATAAGTGTGTTGTAGGTGCAGCCATTTGGAGAACAACCCCTCTCCTTCATTAGTGTAAGTAAGTTTTCCGATTCACTAATTCGGCCCTTGCTACAAAGTCCGCTAATCATTACCGTATATGTCCTGACATTAGGTTGTCCTAAATGGGTAAAGATATGTGTCCTGGCATTAGGATGTCCTAATTTGGTAAAGGAATATGAGGGCGCGTCCTCCAGCATTTTACTGAAAAGTGCTGCTGCCTCAGAAATTCTATCCTCCATAACGAAGCCCTTGATTAGAGTGTTGTAGGTGGCAGCGTCGGGTTGAAAGCCAACCTTGAACAACTTTGCCAAGACCGATAAGCTACCGCCCATTTGGCCCAGATGACAAAAGCAGTTGATCATAATGTTTAGAGTAGAGACATTAGGAAGAATTGGCAACAGATCCATTTGCTTACACAAAGAGATGGCAGCAGAATAATGTTTCAATTTCGCAACTTGACCCAATAATGGATTGAAATCGACAACTGAAGGCAGAGGACGCGTTTGAAGCATCGAATTGAACAAATTCAAAGCGTCCTCAAGATCAGTGATTTCGGGTGAGTTTGAGTTGCTCTCAAAATGCCGAGCCTTGTATATGTTTTTATATTTTCTTCGCTCTAAACATTGAGAATGAAACAAAGCCCCCAAGTAGTTGTTGAAGAAAACACTAGATTCAAGAAAAGGCAAACCTCCTCTGTGTCTGCGTAGGTTGCGATAAGTAGAAGCAGATCTCCACATCCTCATAATCATCTTCAGCGTCTCTGAGTCTGAAGCTCAAATCTTCGGAATCTGAAACCCACCTGCGAGGGTTTCGCCTCTGTTATCCTGGTTTTCGTCGCGGCAGTGGGATCTCTGAGCAGGTGGAGGTGGAGGAGAAAGAGGGAGAATAAGGTCATTTTGTGCCGGCCCGAGTACGGCATGAACACGGCCTAATTAAGTAAGGCCTCACACAGCATGATCCGTATTTTTGAACGGAGCAAAATAAGGTAATTCGGCATAATGAGTTGGGTCAACCTGAGGCTTGTGATGGGCCGTATTGATCCGAAGCCCAACGAGCCGGCCTTTTCAAAGCCCACTTATATAATTATATTTATTTTTAAAAAAAAATACATAATATTATTATATTTATATCTTAAATTCAAATCTATTTCTTTTCTTTAATAATATACATATATATATATTAAAATTTAATGTTTTCTTTATAAATAAAATAGTGATTTTGTTTTTTTAAGTTCCAATTTTTAAAATTCAAACAATAATCTAGTCATTTTCTATTTAAAAGTACTTCAAATAAAGTTATTTCATTTTTTTACAACAAATAATAAATCTTATTAGTATGTACATAACATAATCGTAAAAAAGAGTTTTTGGTCAATATGTTTTGCCTCAACTCACATTTGGTCACTGTTTAATTTCCAATTTTAGTCGTTGTGTTTGAATCACATTTTAGCATTTATCTCTTTCTTTTGATACAAGAAAGTTCAAAAAGAGAGAAGAATGCTCGAACTGTTGTGGCTTAAGGCGTAAAGGTAAATGGGAGAAAATAACCCACAAATTAAGGTTACTTCATCAAGATTATTAGATCAATTTCCATCACAAATGTGGTTGCTTGAAGCATTATTTTTTTTTTTTTTTTTTTTTTTTTTTTTTTTTTTTTTTATATTAATAAATAGACATCAACAATTGCGATCCAAAAATGATCTGATATCCGTTTGATTGGCATTCACTCCATCCATCTACCAACAAAGGGACTCCGTATGGGCTATTGCCATTGATCATAATAATATAAAAATACAAACGAAATGATTTTGTAAGTTTTGGATTAGACCTAGCTACAAATCATGTATTTACACGTGAATATCATGTGGAAATTAGCCCAACCCGAACCCAACTCATTTAGTTAACACAATCCAGAAAAATAATGGATTATACGAAACGGATCCACAAAAATAATGAATTATACGAGATGCCACAACCCGTTTCACCCATTAACACTACTAATCCGTTTCAAACCGTGTAGAACATTTACCCATTTCACCCTTTAAGCACCAATTTCACTCATTATAAAACTATAAAATATACATTTTAATTAATTAAATAAATCACTAGAAGAAAACTTAAATAGAACATGCCTTACATTATCACGACTAAAACATGAACATATTTTAATTAAAATAACCTAAATCCTAACATGTTGAAACTGGGTATTAACATGAAAGTGAAATGACCCATTAACTTAACAACAACAAAAACCACAACGTGATAAAAAGAAATAATAAGAGCAGCGTGGGTACAATGTTGGGTGATGCAAACAAATCAAAGGGTGTCTTTATGGCATAGGGAAAAATGCAGAGGCTGCCACTAGCCAGTGGCTGTGAATCCATGGTAAATGAAAGTCTTACCAGGTTTTCAATTCGAGGGGTTTATGATTACTATGGTTCAGCGAAGATAGAGGTAGATGAGAGGCAGATCATAAGATGCATGATTCATGAACACAAGCCATTGTTTCTTATCACTAACATAAGCAATATATTATCAAGCCCCCAGCAAAATGATCTAGCCCCCTCCTTTTGGGGGTGATCTATAGCAGACTAAATCTGAGTAAAAAATATAAAGAACATACACGACCATTCAGAATTTGAGAACCGGAAGCAAAATCTGTCACTCTATAGTTGGTAATTAATTGGTATGCATTGCTGCTATTGCACTCCACTCAATTTAGCCCAATCTACGAATTGCATACCGCCGTAGATATTGTTGGCAAATCGTACACCTATGGTAAATGCCATTGCAACAGGTGGCACACGCTTTGCCAATGGTGATGCTTCAACAAGCCCTTCCAGACCGTTTACAATCTGGTAACGAGTGTTGGACGAGACAGCAAGAAAAACACCTGATTCAGAGAGCAAAACAATTAGCGTAACAAGTGGACAGAGGTTGTACTACGTACTACATCAATGTTATCTTTTTGTGCAAGCACACTAGCAAATAACGTTATAAAGAAAACTGTATTGTGAAGTCAAAAGTATTGAGATCGACTCCATTTAAGATATCAGAAAAAAGGAATCAAATGGCAGGAATATACTGTGCTCTTCATTTTAAGTGCAGATTGCAGAAACAAAGGTTGTGCTCAAGCATCATATAATAACATTCCCATATCATAAGATGCGTATCACATTAAACAGAAAATGTTATCCTGGATAGCCCATCCTATAGGAATAACAACTAAGGCACTGTTTATTAATACACATGTTTATTTGACACACATACATACTTATCAATTACAAAGGTTTAAGTATTTTATTTTTATAATTTAGTCAAGAAATCAAATTTATGTATGTGCAGACTATTTTTATTCTAGAAAAAAGCTCTCTAAATTATGTTCTAAACGAGCACCAAGGCAAACAACCACTACTAATTATTTATGGAACGATCAAATTCCATGCTTAATAGTTAAGTTTCTTTACTAAAAACTTTGAAGTTTCATTCGGATTTATCAAACCAGAACAAGGATCTGATTTATTTGTTCAATTATGTTTATGTATTCTTCTAGTTTAGATTTTATTCCTTGATGTCAATACGAAGACAGAGCTGTTTGCATGATAAATGGACAAAAGTAAACAGTGCAATGACTATAAAGGTTTTAGACTTCACAAAAAAATAAAAAAACTTGATGACGGAAATAATTGAAATCAGAACAAAAAGAACAGGACCTACCCCAAAGAGCAGCACTTTTCACAAGAGGCGGCACAGGTATGTCCTCTTCTGACTTCTTTATGCTCCTGATGAAAAAAAATATACATGAGAGAGAGAGAGAGATATATATATATATATATATATATACAGTCAGTCCCCTTCTATTGAGGGATTCCTCAAATAAATATTTGAGGGATACCCTTAAGGGTCCTGTACGAATTTTTTTTCAACGATCCAAACCATCGATTTTTTTAAGTCTACATTCATAGATCATCCTAGCAAAAAATTAGACAAATCGGAAACCGTTTCGATATCCAATTGTGTCCAACAAAAACAATGACATAGTGCTTCAAGAAAGTACTAAAATTTCAATAATTCAATTGAGTGGTCAAATGATATCGGATTCAAGTGATTTTTTGTAGAGATGATCTTTGAATGAGTATCTACAAAATAGACGGTTTGAATTAGTGAAATACAATATGAAGTGGCCCTACAAAGGTGTCCCTCAAATAAGCTTATTTGAGGGATCCCTCAATATATATAACAGAAACTACCTGACACTTCAAATATTCGAAACGACCAAAAACCCAATTCAGGTTTTTCAGTATAAATTACAAAGAGGGAAACAACTAGAAAAAGATGCATAATTTGAATGCTGAAGAACAGATTACAATGGGAGGGTCGTATGCTCCTTAGTGATTTATGTTCCCAAGACACTTTTTTTCTCACTAGCTTGGCAGGCAACATGATGAGTGTTTCATCAATGAACTTGATGGTAAAATAATATTCATGCATGATTCTAGTAGAAGTTCCATTCAATGTATTCTGAAGATAATCAAGTTTTGCACCTACATTTAAACGACTTAAGCCCCCTTTCCCTGCAGGTCAGGAAAAGACCTTCATCTAACCAACTCACTCTGATATTAATTTAAAGAAAATAAACAAAATTTCATTTTCTGGTCAACCTGAAGAGGTGGTAGATGAGCCTGAATGGAAACAAAAGAAAATGTACCTCTCAGTGATTTCAAATTATTCAAAATTCAAGAGGAGAATGAAATCACATTAAATCTCAGGTCTCATGTGTTTCCCTCTCTTTCAAGTATATAGAAGTATGCGTACTTAAAAGATACATTTAACAGTGGATACCAACCAAGAGAGACTAAGGTCTGGCAAAAAAGGGAGAAATACTGTAGAAATTATAAAGATAGAAAAGCATACCGTTTGGCATTCATGATAAGATTTGCAATTCCTTGTCCAATAAGACCACATGCAAAGCCAACTGATCCATACAACACACCCTGGACCAACACGTACCAATCAATTAAAGGTAAACATAGCACAACTAGAACCCAGATTTGGGCTGTAGAGAAATAAGAATGGTACAGGAAACTGGTAAAGAAAAAAGCGCGAATCATTAAACAGGAATTTCGTTTAGAAACTAAAGAAAAATTAAAAAAACTCCATCCCTCGATGGGACATTCTCTTCAATATTTACAACCCAGAGGGCACCTAACCAATAATAACTTGTCAGTTGCATAAGAGGAAGAATAAGACAACATTAATATTAAGATCTTGTACCTTATAGAAGTATGTGGCTACTCTCTGCTTCACTGAGAATTTACATCCCGGCCTTTCAGCTTCAAAGACACTGCATATGAGGAATAGTGTACAGTGATTAACTTATTCAAGATCATCCAAAGCTTCACGAAGGAAGAATGCTAGAAAGAATCATTGGTTTGAAACCAACTGTGGGAGATACGATAAGAACAAAGTTAAGAGGTCAGAAAGAGGCAGCCCTGAGTCCCACATTTGGAAAAGTGACTGCTAGTTAGTCATGTGGTTTCATCATGGGGGGCACATGTGGGCCTACAAATTATTGGAAGCACCATAAGAGTAATTAAAGAATAATGAAGGGAAACAGCATCTTTCATCATCTTTCAATGAACAGAGACAATAAGATCAATATCCTTCTTCATGTTATCAGAGATATATTGCGGATACTCCCCTATTTCAAAGTCACCGAAAACCCTTTTATACTGAGTCAAGTATCTGGAAGCAGACAAATTGAGTATCAAAATGTAACTGGATCCTCATTGTACTAAACCATGCAATGAGGTTGTGAAAATAATAGCTAACGTTTAGTCCTAGCAGATTTGCAATGTGCAAACAATGACATCAAAAGAAGATATAGAGAAATTTTAGGAGCCAACAATAGGTCTGATGCATACAAATGATGATGATCGTGCATCCAACAAGAGAGCCTATCTAACCATAGGAGGAACCAAAAGATACCAATTTATGCTGGTCAACATAATTGGATAAGAAACTTCGACATTAACAGTTTCTAGATATCAAAGAAGAGCTGAATGATGAAGAAAGATTCATGATTTCCAAAAATTCATCACAAGGTCCTTTTTCCACTGGGTATGTGTCCTATTTTTAACATTTCCAATGAAATTAATTAAAAATAGAAAAGAGGCGACTGGTAAGATGGAATAAATTAGGGGTAAATAATACAATATCAATACTTGTTGAGCTCTTGCCACACACAAGTCAAGCGCAGTAATTATGGACATATTATATAAGATAAAATTCAGCAGAATATTAGTTCCTAAATTGCTGCCTTGCAGTGCTAACCTGCTAGGAAGGGCCGCACAAGCATGTTGCAGGCGTCCAAATAATCCTCCTGATACTGATGGCTTTCCAATTCGAGCATAGGGTGCCAACATGCCAACCAAAGCAATGTCAACAACTATTCCAACCAAAAGATCAGCAGCGTACAACTCAAACTCAGCCCAGAAATCCTTTCCCCTTTTCTGAACTTCTGCAAATGTTGCACAACAAGAATCTATGACTATCTGCATTACAAAAGAGTCGAGGAAGAAAAATTTCTTCAGTATTCGACAAGATCAACAACTATCAAATGTAATGGTCCAATTTGAAGGCAAGGTATATTTAATGGAATTCATAGGACTATCACCAATGCAAACAATGACCCACAAACTCAATTACTGACATTTACAGTGAAAAATGCAGAGCTACAATTCTTTCACGAGCACTAATATTTACAGTCCCTTGACTTGAAACACAAATTACTCAAAAACAATATTTACCAAAAAGAAAGATCACGAAAACAAACCTCTGTCCCAACTTTAAAAAGAAAGGAAGGATCAGCCAGCATACGATTTCGTAGCATAGAGCAGTACTTCATCAAAAAGCCCAGTGGCCAAACTGACCCCTGAAATTCAAATATGTATATATATACATATACATATATATATATATATATATATTAGAAACCCAATAAACAACTTAGCAAAAACCATATATCTGAAGATTTTTCAATAGAAATGGAGACCAAAGGCAAAACTTTGAACCTGCAAATCCAAGTAGCGTTGAAGAAACACTTCCCGAAGCCCAGTAGTCTTCGCAGCCTCAACCATGTCCTGAGGAAGCTTCACGCCCCGAGCTTCACTCTCCTTCATCACCTCATCAAACTTCATCAATGGCCCAAACTCATCTCCCTCCCCACCCTTATCACCACCATCTCCTTCTCCTTCTCCACCTCTTCCTCCACCACCAAATGAATCTCCACCATCACCACCATCATTGCCTCCACCGGAGCCATCTATTCTCGGCTCAGAAACCCTAGCTTCTGTCACCGTGAAATTACCATTCTGTCCCGTAACAAAGGTCGTCTCCGATCCCGCGCAATTGAGATAGAACCGACGGTTACGAAACGAGGAATGGCTTGAAGCCACCAGCTTTAAGGAGTTTGTGAGCTCGAAATGGAGTTTAGGGTTTTGGGGACATTGCAGAGGAATTCTAAATTCGGGGACGGAGTTCGAAACGACGGCGTTTGGGAGGTGGGAATGCGATGGTGGTGGCGAGCAGACTGACATTGTTCGTAAGTTACGAGCACAAAAGCGCAGAGAAGTCTTTTCGACCCAAAAATAACAGCGAAGAGTAGTCCCAAGAAAATTTGACCCAAGAGATTGTTATTACATGCGGTTCTGTCCATGGAAATGCAGCACGTGTCAACAGGTGAATGGCTGTCAAAACATTTTTCTTTTTTGGGCCGCTGTATAAAAGTTTTAGGAAATTAAAATGAAAAATTGAAATCGTCGCCTGAGAGATTCGAACTCTCGCGGGGAAACCCCATGTACTTAGCAGGCACACGCCTTAACCACTCGGCCAAAGCGACGGTTGATGTTTGCCTTACAGTGAGATGCTTACTTATTTGCTTTGTTAAAACTTAAAGATGCATAAAGAAAAGAAATAACGAAAAATAATAATATATGAACAAATAAAGGAATATGCTGTTTAATATTTACTAAAGAAAGTTTAAAAAAAAGTATTATTGAATGCTGAGTTTATGATATTGGAATTGAGAATTTCAAATGTTTGAACACTCATAAGTAATAAAATGTTGGGCTTGAGTTGAACTTGAGTTATCTCGAAACAAAATTCTCACTTTCTCTGAAATTTTACAAGTTAGATATGGTAATGAGTGGAAATCAAGTTATGCATATTATCCCCTACTATGAATACTAGGTAACTTTAACCCAACTAGTTTAATTGATTGTGGCAGATATCAATATTTACTTAACTCGTTTATTTACATGTTATAACAATTTGACTCGCATATTATAAACTAAAAACTTAAAGGCTATATTCCTTTTATTTTAAATCAAACTTGTCACTCATACATTAATCATAAAACAAAACCTACATAATGCCCATGCAAACAAAACCATAACCTTACATGCTTCTCATCAACTACCTTTTCTATCTTGTCACATAAACTTCTCACTCTCCCATCAAGCACCATGCTTTACCAAAATTATTTGAAAAGTAACAGGGATTAAGGCAAAGCATAGCACCATAATAAAAAAGAGCACAATAGAGAAATTACTTGAATTTGAACATTATATTTATAGTCTCATTAGTGAGACCATTCAAACACGTCCATATCTTACCTAGATAGTGATCAAATAAAATTGAGAGCTTAGGTCGTGTTGGGCTCAAATGACCAAGTTCAATGGGCCATGTGGGCCCATGCTAAGATGAATAAGTCCAATGAGCCATGTCAATTTGAGCTCAAATGATTAAGTTTAATAGGTTCAAATCCATCGTTGGTTGGAAGATTATAGCTAGCTATTATTATTTTATCACTGTTTTGTCAATGGTTTGTTCTAAGTTTAGGAGAAGTTTTGGAATATTTAATTCAAATTCCTATATTGTTTCAAAACAAGCATGATGGTTGAGGTGGTAAGTTGATTAAGTCTTGGTAGGTTTTAGTCTCCTTGGTGCGGCCCGAGCACTAACCTTTTTAATGTGGGTTTGGGTTTTAGACTATGCTTGGATTCATATTTTTTTATAGATGGACCGACGTGACATGATCCGGTTAATTTAATGGGTCGGCATGACAAAGAACTTTATGTAGACAAAGATTAATTTTCAAGGGTTTCATATATCACCAACTAGCTTTCAATTTGATGGTACTTATCTTCTCAATATGTTGGAAGAAATTCCAAGTTTGAATTCCATTCTCCTAATTAATAATAATAATAATAATAATTAAAAAAAGCTTTCATTTATCAAAATCTCTTTGCATAAGGACACATTTTTATTTTTATTTTTATTTCAATTTTTTCAACTTATGGCTTAAAATTAAAAGCATGTAATTGGGAAAATTAAAAGCATGTAGTTGTGAGGAGCCTACAATATGATGACCAAGCTCTCAAGAAACAATTAGCCAGGGGTGTCATTTGTTCATCAGGAGGGAATCATGCTCAAGGAGTTGCACTATCAACACAAAACCTTGGTTCTAGTGTTGCGATAGTCATGCCTCTTACAACTCCTAAAATCAGAGTTCAATACTCATTCTCTCCATTCCAGATAAGTAACAAGGAGATAATGATCTTGTTTAAATTTTCTCCTTCCTTTGAGGATTGAAAATATTCTTAATTAGAGCATCTTTTTATATAATGGTTTGAGATTCTCAATCCAAAATTTTATCCTCCTCCAAACAGATGCTTCCAGTCTGATTATGGAAGTAGTGTTTGACTAAGTGTAAGTGGCCAAGTCATCATCAAAAATAACACATCAGTCCTCACCTACTTTGCTGAACTTTTGCCAAGAATTTCCTGTTAGTGTTTGTTTGTGAAGTTCTTCTAATTTACATGCTAAATTTAAAGGACACAAGAAAGCCAAGCAATTTCAAACATAGTTTTCCACTATTTCACAAACTTATGAGTTACAACTTGGTTCTTAAAGATGTACATGTATAAACCCAAGAACAAACTAACTTTAAACAATAGAAACTAAAACATTTCTTCCTCTATGTGAAACAAGGTGTATTTCCTTTAGATGGGACTAGCATTCTATAACAGGTAATCATAACTTCTATTTTTGTTTTTCTTAAATTACAATGGTTCATCCTTTGATGACTTCCCCTCTCAATAGATGAAAAGAATTTCTCTCTGTACTCAAAATCCAACTTCAAAAGAACAATACTTTCTGTGAGTATGGGTAAGTTGCATACCATCCTCCGTTCAGAGACCTCTGAAAGAATTCTGGTTGGTTAACAGAAACATGAAGGAAACGAGGGCCCCGCTTATGGATTTCTGATTCCTTTCTCACATGTTTTCTGAGAACCAACCAGAGCCTCTATGTGTCGAGGCATGACTTCAATTTCTTTATACTAGCTCTCAGAACAACGAGAAACTTTTGTTGTGTCTAGAACGCAGGGACGGGCGTGCCTGCTCAACTGATATTCTTGGGGAGGGCCCAGTACTTTCAATGGTATCTGGTTTAGCATCAGAGGGTCGCGAAAGAAGACTGCACCCAATTCTCCTGGCAACCACACGAGGAGAACTGAGAGAGCTATGTGATTTGTTCACCTTTTTCATCTCTTGCTTTATTTTACTAAACTCTTCTTCGAGTTCACCGACTCTAGATCTCATCTTTTCCATATCCACCTTTAAAACCCGGTTCTCACGCACCATAGTCACCCACCCGTCCCTCTGTATAATCTGGCCAGCCATGTCACCTGGGACAGTCACAGGACCTGCAGGGCCACTCTCAGTTTCCAAGCCATGAAGACAACCAGCTAGAGCAGTTCTCAAATGCATCTGCTCAAAGAACAGGACTTGAAGAACAACTCTAAGTGGCAGCCTTTCATTTTGGGATGCATGGGCACAGGCATCAATAGAGAGTTTCGAGAAGTCAATGATGCTGCAAAGTTCTTCCTTCTCTTTATCTGAGAGCCAAGGGTGTGCCTGAAAAATTGCAGTCAGCATTATAAAACTTTAAAAAAAATGAACAAATAAGAAAAAGGCAGTTTTTCTCTCAAGAGGTGGTCTAGCAAAATTAAACCTTGAAGTATATATCCAGTGACCTATACAAGCCATCAAACAAAGTCCTTGAAGATTCTGGGAGGGCCTCTGCAAGAGAGCGTATCTTTACTGGTTTTAAAGTCACATCTGAAGCAACCTCCGCAATATAGTTATCTACCAACTTTGCAACTTTTTGTAACGGTCTTGATGATGGTGATGTTTCCATGTCAAATGATGATGGAGAAAATGGTGTGACCTTTGATTCTGACAACATAAAATGATGGATTATCCGTTCAACACAGTCAGTATCATACAATGCATCAGCATCTGAATATGTAGGAATCAGAAGGCCATCTAGGGTTGCCAACTCCAGTTGCCTTCCTATTCTCCTCTCCAAAGCATCCTTGCAGCTTTCACTGACACCCAAAATTAATGCCACACGAAGTAGACCAAGTAGAAAACGGCAAAATGATTTCCCCTTCTTTCGGGGAAGAAGTTTTTCAACGGATTCTAAAACTACCCTTTGATCAAGGGCAATGGGTGTCAAACTAAAACTTGTAACTGTTCTTGGTATACCATGTTGTCCACCCTGCCATCGTCCCAGACCAGGTAGGTACTTCCTGGTATAGTGCATTACAGCACCCACTAGGTTTTCGGGTCTTATACCCCTTGTTTCCATTGTCTTGATAAGTCTCTCAAACAAACTCACACTGAGGTATGAGATGTCTTCGAACCACCAGTCAGACTCAGAGCTTCGAATTCTAGCTCCGGTGTTAATTCCATTCCATAGGATGCTTCCACCAGGGCTCTGCAAACTACCATACATCATCATAGGCCATCCAAATAAACTAGGATCTGTACATACCATCACAGATAGAGCATTTACACATTTGTTTACTATGTGAAGTTTTTCTGCCCTTTGGATAACAGTCTCACAACTTTGAAGTGCCAAGATACAGTCTTTCCAGTTGTGAAGTATATTCTTATGGAAGAAACTCTCTGACTTTGAGAGCAAGTTGCCTTCTCCATACTCATCTGTCATTTCAAGGTAGTCTGCTGTACAGTAGATCATTACTATGTTTCTTGGAGTCAATTCAACCCGCATACCATAGCAGAATTTAGCTGCAATGAGGAATGTGTCAGGGCCACCGGGGAATTCTTCCAGAAGTGCAGTGAAAATCTTGTCACGTGTGCTTTTAGACTCCTCATACATACGTGCTATCTTCCCAGATTTTGATATGAGAGGAAACTGGACAGTTATGAATTGTCATAAGTGATAAGCCCTATTTAAATTCACTGTGACAGCTATGACAATATTTTCCATTATAAAAATATCCTTAAAAGGAGGAAGACAGGAGAGACAACAACAACAGCAACAACAACAGATCACAATGCAGAAAAATTCAACTAAGAAACATAACATAACAGTTTATCACTAACAGTGAAATGAAGCTATCAACAACATGTCTAGCATTTAATGCTTTAATTTCCAGAATATAATCATCCTTAAAAAAATAGCAAGGGGAAAATAACCACTTAAAACACAGCTTCCATTCGACAAATACCTTCTATTTTTGTCAGGGATACATATATTGAAAGCTTATAGTGCACCAGCAACTACCAGGGAAACCAAAAAGCTCATGAAAATCTAGCATAATCTTAACAAGCCAGTCAACAACTTATTTCTGAAGTTTGGGAATTACCCAAACGTTTTTATCAGTTCCAATCCATCCTAAATCCCCAAAATTTCATAACCCACCACAGCAAATGATAGGTGCATACCTTGTGAAGATGGAAGCTCACGCCGTCCACCACAACAGTAATATCACTTGGCAATCCCGCTTTGCAAAACCTTGCGGGGCAAAAAAACACAATACATCAATCACAGTCTCTCCAACTCTTTCATATATAATTCAATGAAAAAATCAAACTTCATTCTAACAAAAAAGAAAGGTGTATTGAGACTGAATTATAATTGAACTATGGAAGTGAAGGCTGTAATTAAAATAGAATCAGACTCTGGCCTCTGGCCTTAAAAGGGCCATAATAACAATAACCCATTTAATTCAATCTCAAAAAGAACAATAACGATGAGAATTAAAGCTTTCAACAATTGGGATTGTATTTCTGTGCTTGGAAGTGTATGCAGAAGGGGGAGAGAGAGAGAGAGAGAGTACCAGTCATTGCCTTCTTTGCGAAACTCTGAAACCTTCCCAGCTGGAGGCATGGTTGAAGCGGGAAGAGAGTACCCTGTCTCTCTCTCCCTCTCTGTATGGCTCTCTCTTCTCTCTCTCTCTCTCTAGCCAAACAGTAGCTTCATTTTGGGTGGAGAACAGAGACCGAGAAACGATTTCTTTAATCAAAAGTGGAAAAAAGAAGAAGAGGTTAAAGATGCCAAGCAACGTAAGTAGGAATCCAAGTCCAGCATAGTCAAACAAAGGTCGTGTGCCCAAACACCAACCAGTGGGCCTTTACAGCTATGACTTCCTCTACTCTCTCCCTTCATCAAAGCACAAAACCCCAACCCCACACTACCACCAAATACCATGGGACCATAAAAAAAAACCCAACACAATTTCAAATTCTATAATCAAAACCCAGAAAAGGATGCACAGATCACGACGCCAAAACAGTCCCAAGTGTGAGAGCAAAGCAAGTGAATTTTAAAATGGGACAAGCACAAGAGGCCGGCATGTGTGGGAACATAGCAATGGAGATCGAAGCGAAAGCATCAATCAGCGGTCGATGACTCGATGGGGCTTTAGCCGGCCGAGAAATAATGGGGTGCGGAGACAAAGGTTAATAATAATGTGGCTTGTCTGAGGCTTTTTGTCAAACAGCTTCCCTGCAATGATTTTCCCAAACGCGTGGTGTCTGTCTGATTGTGGAAGATTGACTCCATCGTATTTCATTTTCATCCGAGTAACTACGGTTTTGCAGAGTGTTTGTGAGTGTGGGGGGACCCACCAGAAGCACATCATTCTTCCGGTTGTACAGTGTTGTTGTGAATAAAAAATAATAAAATAATAAAATAATGTCTTTTTTTTTCGTAATGAAATAAAAAAACCTAAAGAATGTCTTTAGGAGTTGTAACTACTTTCTACGGGTCCTACATGTGACGTTGGGTAGAAGTGTTTTTTTCATTTAGTTTTAAATTTCTATCACGAGATTAGACTTACTAGGAGCGACAATTTGCAACACCCCACTGGAGCAAATTCCTGATGTTTGCCAGTCCTTATCATCCTTGCAGAAAATGTCCATGTGTTGCCAAACATGAAAATGATTGGTACAGCTGGGCTATAGCTAGCTGCCGCGGATCATAAAGATTGAATTGAGGGGATTTTCTTTGATGGGAAAACGTCGCTTAAATGGGATTTTTAATGTGGCAATGTTCTCAATTAAATCATTATATTGATATCATTTCGATATTTCGTCGTTCATATTGTTGGTAGTGTTGAAATTGTTGCATATATATCGATAACAAATAACCCAACAGTCTTGATATGGCAAAATAAAATATTATGTTGATATTGTTGATTTGCTAAAATAATAATCAAGGAAATTCCAGTTGAGAGATCTCTTAAATAAGTTTATTAAAAAAATATCTTTGTTGAGTTTATTCTGCATTGTATTTCAATGATTTATCAAATTTTCATGTCTTAATTCATAGATCATATATGCAAAAAAGCACCCATATCAGATGTTTGAGCATGGTTAGAAGGTAGGTAGCTATTCTAGTGTTTATTTAAAAAACTGTGTTGGGCTACTTATTTCATTATGACTTATGTCTTAATGGTTTACGATTTGTAATCTTTTTCAATGATGATTTGTGAAAAAATAGACGGATTTGATCATTCAAAAACTATGCAAAATGGGCCCGCCAAAATATCCCTTAAATAAATTTATTTGAAACATCCTTAAACAAAATGAGACTTCTACAACAATAGTTCTATTTAAGATCCCCAAGCCCAACAAATGCACTCATGCACAAACATTAATTCCACTTGTTCATGAGTAGATTATATGAGCAGGTTGGTTTAATGAGCGTAGGTAGGTGCATATAATGATCATTATCTATATACAGAACCAGAGAGCAGTAATGAGCACTATGAATATGATAATTTTATTATAATATTTTTATATTTTTTATATTTAGTTTTTTTAAGAGAAAGTTAATTAAAAATAGTCTTATTACTTGATTTTTCTTATTTTCTACTAGACTGCACTTTTGGAATGATTTCGACAGAAACCAAATATAAAAAGTATAAAAATATAGAAAATAATGCATTTATTAGCATCATAATATTAGAGTTAGACAGAGTGTATATGATTATACTAATTAGCATGTAGAGTAATAAGTAAAGAGAATTAAGTAGATAATGTAAGTAATTAGCTGAAATAATTAATTGTATATGGTTGTGTTACTATTATGATGATGACAATTAAGCATGGCATATGCATGGTGTTTATTGCATATACAAATTTTGAGCTGTTGATTTGGTGAGTTTTACATCAATATAAAACCACTTCATCCAACCCCGTGGAAAATGCCCTTTAATTGCAAATCAGCGATCTCAGGTTCAACCTTATGACACCTTGTCAATGTGTGAAAAAAAGAAAGAACAATAACAAAAAAAAAAAAAAAAACCCACTTCATCTAGTTGTCTTATTATATGGGCGATCAACTCTAGTTTTTTTAAGACATAAAATAGGTCGAAGAATCAGAAAACATTAATTCTAATAGCATGAGAATGATGCAGTCACAAACAACCACCAGAGTACGAAGACATTAGCTAATTATGTAACGCTACCCTCTTGGCATGAGTGGGAATTAATTATTCCCTAGCTAAATATGTTAAGAGTTGTTTTCGGATCAATGCAAAAGTGTATTAAGGGTGAATGCGAGAGGTCGGGCACATGATTATATATTGTTTGTCCACTAACCTCTCACTAATCGTGTACTTGAACCTGAACTGATCCTAAATGAGGCCGCATACGGTTTAAATGATAATGCTATAGGTAACTACAAAAAGGATTCAAATATATTCTCACCGAAGAAAAAAAGGATTTGGGAATATATAAGTAAATTGAAAACCATTTTAGCCAAAGTGGCCAAAAACACAGCGGACGCAGTTGTGGACTGTAGTTGCTATATAAATATATTTCGATACGAAAACTGAACAAAAGCGATCGCAAGGCACCCGTGGCCTAATGGATAAGGCGTCTGACTTCTAATCAGGCGATTGTGGGTTCGAGTCCCACCGGGTGTGCTTCTCCATTTTATTTTATGTTTTTAAAATATTAATATAAATGCCTTCCATTTTTGTAACCCATAAAAATTACTGAACTATCCTCAGCGCCACGTGTTTTTAATTTGGGTAATATCCTTTTTTTCAATAATTATTTTATTTTTATAAATCATACATAACATTTGTTTCTAAACCTAGGATTGCATAAAAAACTGAATCATATATGTGTCTGATTGTATAGTTTCTCTTCTTCACAAGGAAAGTAGAAGTTGGAAAGAAAGAAGAAGAAAAAAAGCATCAGAGATTCTGCCAACTACATGAACCATAATTTGAAGGGAGAGTGTTCTCTTTCTTTTGTTGATGATTTTCATTTTGTAATCAATTTCTCCTCTCCATCTTAACATACCCAAAGACCTGGGAGACTTGCACACACTATCAAAGTGCCATGAAATTTAACACCTAAGACATCTGCAAGTCATTCTACGGGGAGCTGGTTGGCTCCCACCCGTCTGTTTTATTTGCCCACCAACCTTGTAATCGAAGTACAGATTTTTTCCCCAAATCCTTAAAAATAATTTTGCAAACAGATAAATTTATCTTTAAAACTTTGATTATAAGGTGAGCAAGAAAATAAAACAGATGGGTGAAAATAATAGCATTCCTTTAAAAACATGAGCACTCAATCGTTAACCGGATAGTAACCGCTTCTACTTTTTCTAAACATCATACTGGACAAATTCGAATGAAACATAGGACAATTTCGTTCTATTAATCTCACTAATAATTTTAGGCATATACCACTGCATTTGAAATAAGTGGAACTTTCTCAAGTCAACAGCACTCAATTATCCTCTCTTTTTTACCTGTAAATGAGAATAAAAGCAGTAGAATGCTTGAAATAAATAAATAAATAATAATTTAAAAGAGCCTACAACAGCCTGCGAGGGTTATCGAAAATGAATACAAGACCCTAGTACAAAATAGAGGATGGGAAGCATTCCCCTAAAGAAACAGAAACAACTTCACTTGTATAATGTGGCCTATATAGCCCACAGCATGTCGCAGCAAAAGCTCTGGTGACAAATTACAGTAATATGATATAGTTCCCTAACGAAATCTAGATATATTCTGCAGGCATATCCAAAGCACAAACTGTTGACCTCTACCATGAACTATTGACTAACGACACTGGTAAGACGAAAAAATGTACTATATATTCAAATCAGACATTAAGATACATCTGAAGACTTCTTTAGAAAGAATTTTGAACACCTGTCCAACAACAGCACACCTAAGCAAGAATCCTCCCAAAGCCATACTTATTTAGCTTGTAGCAGATGCTTGGGAGATGGCCTTCTTGACAGCTTCAGCATATGTCCTATGCTGATAGGTGAGGGTTGACTCAAGCAGGTCCCATAGCGAAGTCTTCGGGTTCCAGCCTGTCATACATAGCACATTACATAGTTAGAATGCCACAAAGTCAGAGCTCATTTACATTAAAGATGGGGTACAAGAAAGATATATACCAAGCTGCTTATTGATAATAGTCATGTCAGGAATTCTCTTGTCGCTATCATCATATCCCACTCCGTAGAATTCTTGAGAGCTTACATCAATGGTTGGTGTCTCCAGTTTTGGTTCACCACTTACCTTAACATAGACCTGCAATATGCAAGAACATCAATCCTCATATCCAAATATAAGACGGCTAATCCAACTTAATAAACTAAAGAAAAAAGGGTACATCAAAGACAATTCTTCACCTCAGTCATCATTTCTCCAAGCTGCCTAACAGTAACTTCATTGTTAGGGTTGCCAACATTGAAAATGTGGCCATTGGCCCTAGCAGGATTTTCCTGAGGAAGATGTCACATTGATGAGCAACTTCTTTTGCATGCTAACTATTAATTTGAAAAGCGAGATGATTTTCTTATAACTTACAATCATCAACAATACAGCTTCAATAGCATCCCTTATGTAGACAAAAGTTCTCTGGGATTGGCCACCATCTACAAGCTTGAGTGGCTCATGTCGAAGAAGATTCTGCAACAGAGAAAAGCAGGATGTGATCACAACACAAATATGAAATACCAAATAAATAGGGAATATTACAACTAATATCGCACATACATTACTAAAGCAGGCTAGAACTCTTGGAACACCCTCACTTGGGCCGTCAATCCCAGGAATGAAATCCATTCTAGGTCCAATCCAGTTGAAGGGTCTCACAATGGTAAACTCAAGACCATTTTCCGCACCCTCAGCTGTAAACAAGAAGAAATTAAATCAGAAGACTACATTACAAATACCAATTCATGAACAGCCAGATAAAAGTAAAGGAAGGAGATCACCAACCATAAATCAGCCTCTCGATCAATTGCTTTGCACATGCATAAGACCATCTCTGCTTCTCAATAGAGCCAAAAATGCAGGGGGATTCATCTTCTTTAAGCACATAATATGCAGGATCCTATTAAAACATAGCACACAAGTAAATTTTCCATTAACTAAAAAGCAAATCATACAGCATCAACAAACTTTAATGCAATAGTGACTTAATCTGAAGAAACCGCATTACAAACTGAAAACATAGACAGCATCATATCACAGGAAAATTAGAGAGTCAAAAGGAACAAATACATTGTCATAAAATCTATAGGGCACAATACTTTTTGTTTCCTAGAGTTCTTTCATTTCGCCCTTTCCAAAAGGAGGCAAAAGTGTTCACTTCCAATTAGCAATAACAGGTGAGCTGCAACTGATAAAATTGCATCACAAATGTTGCTTTTAAAAAAGCATACATACCTTGTGAAAAAATCTAGAGTTCTTTAGAACAATCTATATCACTATTTTCAACTGCTTTTACAAGGCCCAATTTACTACCATTTCTCCATCCATCTAAACACTCAAACTCTGTTCCACCAATGTGCCACTACCTTACTACCTAAAGTTGCTATAAACAAAATCTACAATAGACTTCCTGGACCACAAGAACCATATCCAAAAATTGTACAAACCCCAAAAGGTATGACATATGACAAAGTGAAACTCAAAACGTATGAGATGCTGCTATTAGGATGAGAAGACACAAAAAAACATAGGAGATGCTGGTACCCAACAAAATGAAGACAACTCCAACACTAAAACTCCAAAGACATTCCCTGAAACAAAATAGTAGCCTAGCCATGCACTTGGATAACGGGCAGGCTGGGGTCAAGCCAGGCTTTGATGCCATGATAGGATATCTTTATTAGGCCTGGCCTGTTCAGGTCAGCCTTATACTTGTTTCATTAGCCTGAGCGCCACTCCAAGGAAAAGGATCAAGTCCAATCCCAGCACTTTCTTTACACTTTAACATACCCAGTACTATTTGTACCTAAATAAAGGACTACTATTTAATAAGAAAATAGGAAAATAATAAAATAAGTACTATAATTATATTATGATATTAATATTCTCATAAGTATATATAAAAGGTCGGAACAGACTTGGCTCTTCACTCTCAAGTCCAAGCTCGGGCCTCTATTTTCAGGCTTACCCATCTTAAGGAATCCAAATTTGTTATGCATGCAACAAAATGTCAGTATAAGATCAGATCACAAATTCAAGCACATGTTTAAGTATTACAGTCTAATGCCAAAATGTCACCGACGCATGATTGTAGATCCCAAAAGCAGAAAAATGCAATCAAACCATCTGAATTATGCAAAATGGAGAACTTTATCATAAAACAAACGTCAAGAAAAGCACAGATCTGAATCGTGCTGAAGAAAACATTAAAAACATTAAAAAAACAGAAAGAAAGGTGGACAAGAAAGGGAGAGGGCTACCTGACGAAGAGGGCTATCTTTAGGAAGATAGCTTCCAATGGTTTTCCCATACACTTCACAAGTAGAAAAGTGAATCAACCGCTTGTTGTTTTCCGAACAGTATTTCACCTAACGAAATTTTTTCATAAAAAACAAAAATGTAAGAAAAACCCACATCAACTTTCAATCAATTCCCACACTAACAACCCAAAATCAAAAATTTCGCAATCAAACCCATAATTTCATTATCCCCGAAAAAACACAATAATTGAAATGCAGTAGCCGAAACCCACCACAGGCAAAGCGTCAATGAAGTTGCTGTAGATGGTGTCGAGTGGGCGAGTGTTGTAGTCCGCCGGAGTACAAATCGCGGCGAGATTAATGGTCTGCAAAACCCACAAATCCAAACCATCAAAACCCAACCCACCATGAAAAAATGTTCAAGAACCGTCAAGAAAACAAGAAGAGAGAAAATGGGTTATACCAGATCTGCCATCTTGATGAGGCCTTCGAGGCGCGAGTCTTGCTTGATGTTGAGTCGGTGGAACTGGATTCGATCGGACCATGGATGCGCGTTTTCGGGCTCAAGAAGGTGCTTGATCTTGTCATTATAGACGTCCAAAGCTAGAACCTTGTGTGGGGTCTCTGACATCAGCTTCTCGCAGAGATGGGACCCAATGAACCCTCCTGCTCCGATCATGCATATCGTTATCGGCTTTATTGGGTTGCCGTCTAGATCTACTCTAGCCACCGACGCCATTCTCTACGACGACGTTCTGGGTATGTGGGGTATTTGGGCAAAATGGGTGAGAAGAGGTTGTGAGAGAGAGAGTAGAGATTTCTTGGGGTTCGAGAAGAAGAGAAGAAGAATAAGAATATGAAAGAGGAGAATGAGAGGTCAGAACGTATTTAAAGGGAGATTGGGAGGGAGGGAAGGAGACAGTGACCAACACTCTTCGTTTTTACTTGCACATGCTACTCGCTCTATGATTGGCCATGTGTGGAGGTGTCGTGTTAGTATTCTGGGGTTGGTAGCAGTGGATTGGTGTGAAAACTTCATTAATTTTATTAGGATTGGATCTCATATGCTCTCATGGAAGGTCATTAGTTGTTGGATAATATAAGGAATGGTTTAGAAGTTTTGGAAATTGCCAGAGTGATTAGAGCTGGATCTGCCTATTGCTTCATGGCAATCATAATGGGTTTTGTTTATTAAATGTGATCAATAATGTTTAAGACAAGTAGATTCACTAATTCTCCAAAAACCATTCATTTTCCTTCCAGTTTTTAAAATAAAATTTTTCTTATTGCTTCTTTGATTAAAATAGTAGCATTCAAAAATACAATATAACTCTTTTGTGTTACGAAGGAGTGTTAATTCTTGGAGGGAGGACTTGAGCTAGAATGGGGAGTCGAACTTTAAAATTGGTTGCAAATAATGCTACAAATCTCTACTATAACCCTTGGATTGTTAATATGCAACTCAATAATTGCATAATAGAAAAAACTATCGAAATACATCCCTCAAATGCTATATATACAAGTGTTTCATTGAGTTAATAGGGACCTTGGCATTGTTAAGAATTCTCCTAAGCACACATATAAACAATGCAATCTAGTTATGAAACTTTAAGAGATAAGCAATTTGGCATTAGTCAATAAATAATTGAACTTTAGAATCATTGAGCAGGATTATCTACTAAACTTAATTGGGTTAGTTAAAATGTTATTGTTAAAGCAAAAACACTCAAATACCCTCGTCAATCAGCATTCACATCTAGAACGAACAATGAAGCTTTTCTTCACCTATACATAGAAAATGCTATTGTCATCTATATGTGAGCGTATATAACATTCTTAGCTATGTATCCCACATTTATAATAATAAAAATGTTTCACACACTTCATTTCTATATGGTATTAATATAGACAAGAGTGAGTCGTTTTCATAAATGATATTACCATAATCAAGATTCATAATAGCGTGTGGTTTTAGACATAGGAAATTAACAAGTGGTAAGGAAAGCGTTTTAGGTCCATTCAACAGATCGCAAAATACAATACAAGTGTGGTTTTCCAATGAGCTGTCCCTTCCATACTCACGTGGGTCATATTTGGTTTTCAATTATAGAAACCTACTTGCCCACTCTCTTTAATGCACGCGCTTTGCTGCACTGACTGTCCTAAATCTAAAACCCCTTTCCACCTTCTTTTCCGCAATCTCCTATTTTCTTTTATAAATCATACCTTTTCTATATCTTAATTTCCATTGAATGAAAAGAAAAAAAATTGCATTTATAGCATATCCCAAGATCAAGAGAAAAAAAAACAAAAAAAAAAACCAACCAACTTACTTTCTAGAGCAAAAAGGAACTACCTACTCCTCACTGATTACAATTTCTTAACCTTAAATTTGTACATAACAATGTGTTTATTGTGTTGATTAATTGGATTGGCTTGTAGATGTCATCAATTTGTTTATTGTGTTTCACTTGACATTAGTCTTGACTATATTATTCTTTTCCCTCTTTAGAACATTATGCCTTACTTACTTTTTATGCAATTGAATTCTCTAAGACTCTGTTGGGTTCACAGAAAAGATTTGATGGGAAATAATTTCCTATATTTGGTAATCCTGGAAAAGTAACCAAGAAATACTATTTTATTTCTTTTTACATATTTGGTTTGTGTAGGAATGTAAAAAAAAGTTTGTTTAATTTTTCAATTATACTCATATGAAATCAAATAAAAAAAATAATTCAGTTAATGCTATATTGTAATTTTAAATTGTTAATTAGGATAAAATGATCATGAAAATGTGCATTTAATGTTGACTTATTTTCCAAAACTTTTCCATGTGGAGGAAAACAAAACCCAAGGGGGGAGGAGGAGGGGTTCACTTTCCCCACACTTTCTCATATGCTAGACAACCATTTCCCATACGTGGGTGTACCAAATATGGAAAAACAATTGATTACCCATCCCCAAGTCTCATTTTTCATGAACCAAATAGGGGGCCTAAGAGAATCATGATTGTTGAAAGAAACCTCACTAACCACACTTATTCAAATTTCCCTATAAAAAAACATTTATTAAAATTTTGATAATAGATGTTCATATTAAAGTACGATGCCTGTCAATGCTTATAGAGCATCTTCGTTTGAATTGTCCAATGATAACTATTTCAATTTTAGTTTTTTATTTTCATTTTTTGTGCTACAATATGGAGGAAAATAAGAATAATGGAAGTGAGAATGAGAGTGGAGATGAGATTGAGAAAGAACATGAGAGTGGAGGATGGCAAGGATGAGTAATAAAAATGAAAACAAAAACTGAAATATATTTAAAATTATTTTCACTTTTGTTACTCTTCCCTCCCAGCCTCATTCTCCTCTATACTCTAGGCCAAAAAATGAAAACTAAAAACTAAAATTGAAATAATTATTAAACGGGCCATAAACTTCAAATCTTATACTTAAATTTGAAAAGCATCCATCCATATGTCTTTAAAATTGTCATTTAATTTTATTATTATTATTATTATTATTATTATTATTATTATTTCATTTATTTTTCAAAATCCTAAATGGAGTAGAAAAATTTAACAACACAAGTCATCAAATGTAAACTCGGTCTTATGAATTTGACATTTCCACTAGGGATGATAATTAACCCTGTAACTAAACAATTGTCCTTGTTAAAAGTTTAAGCAAGTGGAATATGATTATATGACTTTATAAACAAATTTCAACATTAATACTGGTCTGATTATTTTACTCTTCAAAATCTGTGGTACTCTTTTTCTCAAAATTTCATGTGCTTGGAGGCTTGTGGCTTTTAGAAAATATTTATTAAAAAAAAAAAAAAAAAAAAAAAAAAAAAAAAAATGTAAAAAGAAAGCAAAAGTCACTAGTGATTTGAAATGTACCCCCACTCATGTTTTTTAACCCCCCCCTCGTTTTTAAAATTAAAAAAAACTTCTTTCTTTGTCCAAAAGTCAAAGTGGATCAAAATCATAAAATAATAAACATTCCTCCTCAAAATCCAAAGGTAAAAATCAATGAAAAATATCTGAATTCTTTTTTAGAAAAATAAAAATAAAAATCAAGTTCTTTGTCCAAAAGAGACAATTTTTTACTACTTTAGCAATTACGGTCTGCGGCACCGACAAATCCAAAAGAGAAAGTAAGTAATAGCACGCGGTTTTAGAGCGCGTCAGATGAACACGATTCTTTCTCTCGCGGTGCATCTTAGCGCGCGGAATTACAGTAGTGATGTGTGTGGATGTCAGAGATTTGGCACCTTTCTGGTCTACGCGGCATTTTGAGTAGCAATCCCCCGTGATTGCATGCACTGTATATTTCATCGTCTATCTTAGCTTTCGGTGTTTTTTTTGGGCGGTGGATCTGAAGTCTATCTTAGCAAGTTTCGAACATGTGCGTTTTGGGCTTTTGCTTAGGTCATATGAGTGGCAATTGGGTGGACCCATGATTCCTTGAACTGGACTGAGTTATTTTGGTGAACCTAATTGGGTGGATCCAAAGAAACAGATTCCTCTCTCTTTTTCAATTTACTTTGTAGAAAAACAAATGGTATTTTACATCAACTTGCTCGATTTGGTTTGCATAATGAGAACAACTTTGTTTGATTTTAGATGCCCTTGGTCTTATTCAGGACGTCTTATTATATGATTTTTTGAATCGGGGTAAGACATTTTGTCCTCCATTGTAATTCTTCGTTTTATCAGTCGAGGTTTTTTTTTTTCTCTCTCTCTCTCTCTAAAAAAAGGGTGGATCCGCATTTTTTACTATTGTTTTCTTTCTTTGGTGTATCAATCGAGTATAGTGTGGTACTAGAGTATGTTCACGTGGTGCTATAGCTTTTTCACGTGTCGTAATATAAGTGAGTATTTGTTGATACTATATCTTAAAAGTGGAAAAATTTAACCATGTCGTTCACCTACATTATAACACATAAAAAAATTATACCGTGCAACCGTACTCCAATACCATACAATAATTTATCTTATCAATGGAGGTATAATTTCGTTTTGGTCATCTCGTTTCATTTCATATGCATGAGAAAGAGTGTTTTATTTATTGATTTTTATTTATATGTATTTCAGTTGGCCTGATGTGCAGCGTTGCTGTCCATATGGTGAAGATGAGTCCTCTGAATACATGCAGACACCAAGGACATTACCATTAAAATGAGGATGAGCCCTGAATACAAGTGGAACCCATGGACCACTTACCCTAACTAAGTTTTTAAATGTCACCATCCAATCCATCCCAGGTAGTCCAGCTTAAGGTTTTTATTCTTATTTTATAACTTTTTAAACTCCATAATAACTTCCATATTAGTGATTAATGTGAGTATTATATAAATATTTTTAAAAATACTTTCGTGTTCTGTACACTTCTCTCAAGTAGCACCCGATTACTTTTATTTAGATTTCTGTGGTGCCATGCCAATGCCATACTCTTGTGGATGCCTTGGAATATGATATTTTTTTTATGAATGGTACCAACCAACAAATTAGCATGTTCAAATCTTGGACCATCGGAGAAGGAAGATGACCGGGTAGCTCTCACTTCCAAGGGATTGAGATTGCCTTCCATTCCATGTGGTAAACTTGAACATCTTGAGACACGTTAATGTTCTTCCTGTTAGACAGAGGCTATCTTCAGATTTGAATTCAAACTCATGATATTGTTTGTACGTTTCATAGTTTGAAAGTTTGTTGTAGTTGTATTTTAAATTCTGATACAAGGATTGCCTTATTAAGAAGGAGTCCTATCTTATCTATGTAACCAGCTCTTGTAATTTGTTTATAAATACAACTCTCCATCACACTGATGGATCATTCAGCCAAACCTACTTTCTTGAGTAAACATAAACTTTACGACACAACTTTAGTTTTTTTTTTCTCTCCCAAAATTTTCCTTCCCATGGCTAATGCTACTGATGCCTCTGCTACCCCAACCACCATTTCACCTACCCCTTCTTTCATGAATACCCTCACTCTTGCCATGGTTGCTGCTGTCTTCATTAAGTTGGATCGAACCAACTATTCTCTTTGGTTGGCACAATCTCTACCCATTTTCAGAAGCCGAGACCTTATGGGCTTTGTGGATGGCTATCATGAATGTCCTCCAAAACATCTCTCTGGTAGCACAACAGTCAACCCCGCCTACACAACATGGATTCAGCAGAACCAACTTATCTTAAGTTGGATCAACAACTCCTTATCCCAATCAGTGCTCTCCACAGTTTCACGTAATCAGACTTCTCGTTCCACTTGGCTGGCTCTCGAACGTCGATATGCCTCGACATCACAAAACAGGATTTTGCATTTGCGCAATGAGCTGATACGCACCATGAAAGGAGACTTGTCTGTCTCGGATTATCTTGACAAGATGTATATGATTGTTGACAACCTTGCACTTGCTAGACAATAGGTTCTTGATGATGAACTTGTGCAGATTATCATGAATAATCTTAACCTTGTGTATGAAATGGTGGTAAGTGCTGCTCAGGCCCGTGATACCCCCATTACATATCCCACACTTGAGTCTCTTCTGCTGAATACTGAAAGGAGAATGAATGATCATGTTTCTTCTCTCACTGAGTATGCTCTTGCCGTAGCTGCCTTTGCTGCTAACCGAGGACGTGGTGGTGGCCGTTCTCGGGGAACTGGACGTGGTGGTGTTCTGTCCAATCGTGGAGTTGTTCCAAATTCACGAGGTGGTACTGCTCGTGGATCCTTTACCAACCAGCGAGCTTTTCTTTGATTACCATCCCCTTTTTTTTTCTCATGTCAAATAATTATTTTCTTTTCTTTTCTTTTCCTTTCCATTTGTTCATCCCAAAGAAAGGAAAAATGAACTAGTGGAAAAGCAAGTCTTTTCTTTTCCTATCTTCTTCACCCCAAGTTCCTATTTATAAAGACTCAAGGGTACTGACGTCTCGGTTCCCGCACAAACCCTAGCACCCTTTCACCTTCCCTCTCAAATTTCATACACCTGCTCCACAATTTGAACTTTCGAATTCAAATTAAAAAAAAAGAAAAAAAAAAGAGGAATTTGAAAGTAAAGGGGCTCACGAAAATACCTACTTCAGCCTAGTCGAAGCAAGCCCAACTCCAAGGCAACCCTTGCCAGCTCGTGAAGCCCAATTTTGCTGAAGCAAGCCCACCTGCCAGGCCTCACTCCTTGCCGAAGCAAGCCTAGCTCCAAGAAGCCCCCGAATTGTAGGCTTATGCCCATGCCCTTGCCGAACCAAGCTCCAGTATTCCTTTACCCTTTCCAAATAAACTAGGATTTTACAATCCACCCTTGTTGAAGGGCAAGGGTTATGCAGAAGCAAAGGAAGACTCACCCTCTCTAATCCAATTGCCCTTACCGAATTTGTCACACCCCAAAAGCTGAACTCGATCACTATTGATGACGAGAAACTCACTAAAATCGGGCCGTGCTTGCAGCCCAGACCACTCTCTTGCTAAGCTGCCGAAGACCAAGGATTTTCCGAAATTAGGCTTGCAGAACGACAAGGGACATGCTGAAGCCAAGGAAATGCCCTTATACCAAACCAAGACTCGTATTGAAGGAGGAACGAACCTCTAACCGCTAAGCTGAAGAACCGTGAATTGACAAGGTCAACCCTGCCGAACGGTGGTCACGAAATCAGGCTACCAAGTGAACTTGTCGAAACCGTGCCTTTTAGAGGACCCGACTTAAAGCAAAACCAGGGGCATAGGGATTCTTGCCGAATGACATGGATGATGCTTCACCTTACGAAGTCAAAAAGTTTTACCTCACGCCGGCCTCACAATCCCAAGGATGTACTTCAGCCAAACCTAGCATCCTCTCTTCCCTTCAGACCCTGGTGAAAATCAAACCAACCAAAATCAATAAAAATTAAACCTCAGACTGGCCTTGCCGAACGGCCAGCCCCGTGCGGAAGAACTAAAGTGTCACGAGTATTCGACTCCCAAATCTCGTTACCGACACTTCAAAATTTTGCTTCCCGAACGGCACGCAATGTGCTTAGGCTGCCAATGACGTCGCAAGCTTTCTCTTCTCCGGTCACAATCTCCTGTCAATGTCACTTGCCGACACTTCAAATATATTGCTCATCTCGAATTCCCAGCTCCTATCGAATGGCAAGGACAAACCTTGCCGACATTCCAAAAGACCCAGTCGCCACGAAAATCAGACCCACTCCTTGCCAATCGGTAGCTTTGCTGAAAAATGTTCAGGACCTCGAAAGTATTCTCCCCTCTCAGACCTTGCCGAAGACTTGACCTCTTTATATTCGATCCCTAGCCGAATGACCCTTGCCGAAGAAGAAGAAAACTTTTATGTTTTGGCAAACCCTAGCCAACGTTATCCTTGAAAAAAGCCTATAGTTAGCACATGGCCATCTTGGCTCCTTGCTGAACGGCAAGGGCCATGCCGAAGCCCAGCTATGACTCACCCCAAACCCACGCCCCAAGCCTCTTAGTGCACATTCCAAAAAGCTCACCATGTCGAAGCTTAAAATTGTGCTCATCCAAAGAATCTGGGCATGCTTGCCAAACACCAAGCACTGGGTCGAAGCAACTTAGGCTCTACTAAAAAAAAAAAAAAAAAAAAAAAAAAAAAAAAAAAAAAAGAGGGTGACAAAGGCCAATGCAAAAGGAAGAAGTAAGGACGTTATTGAGGCCATTGAACCTTGCCGAATGGATCCTATCAAAGCCCAAAGGAGTGGCGCTGACGAAGCCTAACTCCAATTTGAAGAGAATTAATGGCGCTGACGAAGCCCATCTCCAATTCAATGAGCCTTTGTCTAATCTTCAGAGACCTTGTCCACCATGGCACCTCTTCGTGCCATAAGCTAGGCTCCAATCAAAGACCAAGAGCATATATAATGGAAGGCCCAACATCGAAAATCCAAGGGCCCAGCCCTCGACCTGCTCATTGCCGAACGCTCAGGTACCCAACTACCAGCGGTTATAGAGACTCACATAGCTTTTACCATACCTTTCAAGGGTTGAAGCAACTTCTAGCTCGCCAACTTGGTGGACTAAGGAATGCCCTATAGCTCCTACTGAATCGGGAATGCTTGGTCATGATTATACAAAAATCTCACAAATTCCCAACCCATAAGTTACTTCTTGATCGTGAACTTGGGGGATAACTGTTTAAACCATAATCAACCGAGCATATCCAGCACCAAGGCAGACATGCCTTATCCCCTGCCGAAGTATCCCAAAGGGACATGCAGACAAACCTCAGTCACCTTCTTCCCTGCCAAAGGAAGATACTCTTCCGAAGTGGCAGACACCTACCAAAGCTCCAGACTGTCGAAACTAATCCCCAAGGACACGTATCACCACCACAGAAACTTGCACAAAGTCCCGCATTGAAATTTTGTGTAAAACTCCCATTTTCACTTCCATATAAATAGGGAACAGTACTTGAATAAAAAGGGTAACTATTTTCTCACCTTTACTGTTACTCTGCCAAAATTACCACATATAGCTGACTTAAGCATCGGAGAGCCTTCGGCAAGCACCACACGGGTGTTCGAAGCTTGACAATTGCTTTTTCCTCCTTGTATTCTGCAGGTTCTTCTAACTTCGAAGGTTCTCACCTTCTTCCCTGCTGAAGATCTTCTACTTCTCTAAGTTGACCCTCCCAAAAAGAGCATCAACAAAGTATATATGGTCTTAATGAGTCATCATTTTTAGCCTAAATTGTATTTTGCATTAAAACCGATTTTCATATTTTGATTTGGTGGGAATTTGATTTTATAGTATTTTTATTTGAATCCGAATGGGAGGTCCTTCCTTATTTACATTGTAAATTTAAGTAAATGGAGTAGTATAAAAATAAATGAAACTAAAAGGACATAGACATTTACTTAAATGTTGAAAATGGAAATAAGGTAGTCTTGCGTGCGCGCCTGCCTACTATGCTGTTGTGTTGCGCCCTTTGGAGCATTTCATCAAGCAATTTGTGGGCAATTTGTGGGCAATTTGCAAGGATGAACATCTTCGCCTCCAATGGTGGATTCTGGGCTTGCAGGGATCAATTGACCCCTCTTGCCTCTATGTGGATCCGCCCCTGAATATGGGTGTATGGAAAGATCTTGTTCTTCCCTTTTACCTTGTTAAAGTTAATAAAAATAAATTTTAGAAATTCTTAGTGAACAATTTATCTCCTCTAAAGGGCTTTGATCTTAGTTGGGTCCTAAAATTGTTTAGCATGTTAAGTGATATAATTCTTAAATGTATTGGGGTGGGTGGGTCTGGGGCTAGGGGATATTGGCTAGGACTGGGCAAGGAAGGATGGGGAGAGATAAGGATGGAGAGGGAGGAAGAGACAGAAAATAAAATAAAAGGCTAAGTTATTATAATTTTCCACACGTGTCATCCATTTCAGAAAAAAAAAAGGTCCTACTCGTGCCATGTCATTGTTTTTAACTGATGATTTAGAAAAGGGACCAAAACTCTGCATCAACAAGAGGGGAGCCAAGACTTAACCATTCTACAAAAACAAATGCTAAAATTCTGTAGAACCCGGATAACTAAGAGTTGGGAAACTCGAGTAGACAAGGCTTCCACACTGGCCAAGGACACCAACCAATGCCTCAACCGTTCATGCAAAACAGAAAATTAGCTGAACTAAACTTAGGCTTCAAAAAGATAGTTTGAGGGATGGTTTTAGGAAATCAAAGAACAAGTATATTCACGGCAGGCAAAAGTATTCTTTCGTTGGTTTCATTTAACTTAGAGAATAGTCTTGTTGAGGCATTGGTCTTTGAGCTTAGACATTCATAAAGGTATTTGACCAGTGATCAAAATTATATAAGTATATTCATGGCAGAAAAAAATAAAATGATTAAAATACTTATGGTTTACAAAATGTATAAGAATATAAAGTATGTATACATACCATTTAGATTCTAAGCCTTCTCCTCATGGTCATGCACATTATTCTCATAACATAGAGCCTATCTTGTACATTGTCTAGGATTTGAAAATATCTATATCGCCATGCCGTCTTTAAAATTAAAAAATCACACTCTCCAAAACCCTACAATAAATCCAGACACAATCGAAATAAAAAACAATGGAATTTGATGCTGATCGTCCACATCTTGGCTGTTCTTGTTATCTGCATCACCACCATTAACTAGTTGACACTCATTTGGAAGTCGACACTCATTTAGAAGTGGGGCACCGCAAAGTTTCGGATTCCCCTCAAATGCAATGACATTGAGACTTCGCAGCTGAGTGCTTGTTGGTATTGGTCCTTCAAGATCATTGTATGAGACATTCAAATATGACAAGAAGTTAAGAGTCTTGAGTGAGTCTGGAATTTTTCCAGCCAAATGATTAATGGAGAGATCCAATGTATCCAAGTTTTTGAGGTTAGATATTTGGTCTGGTATGTTGCCCGAGAAGTTGTTCAATCTAAGATCCAGCTTGTGGAGAAACTGCAACTGGCCGATCTTAGTAGGTACATTGCCATTGATGCTATTGTTGTATAGATACATAGATGGTGGAAAATAAAACAAATAATTGTACTGTAAAGCTTCCGCGTCGTCACGCAATTGGATGAAGATAAGCAGTTCAAGGTAATTATGGTCAACTTGAGTTGTAGTTTGTTCAGATAGTAACATTTCTAGTCTACAAATTTGCTTTGGAAATTCACCTGAAATGAAGTTGGAGCCTAAGTTGATATAAAAGAGCCTTGGAAGAGTCCCCAACCAAGTAGGAATTGATCCTTTGAGTATATTAAAATCCAGATTTAAGTTCTCTAGACATCCATAAAGGTATTTGACCAGTAAGCTCTTCTCTCCCAAAACAACCCAGCAACCCCTTTTTTCTTTTTAGATCCGCCGGTTTTATCTGGGTTTCTCTTCCCTTGAACATTGGTGGGTTGGGGTTATTCATTTTTATGAGTACAAGATTTCTATTTTCTTAGATTTTATTTTATTTTGATCTGCCCTTTTCTCTTTCTTTCCCTGTTTGAACTATGCCCGTCTTCTACCTCTTAACTTCTTGAACTATGACCTGTGAACTACTATTAGTTCACTACAAAAAAGAAAAGAAAAAAAGGCAATAGTCACCTTTTTAAAGTAACAAAATTTGTTTTGGTGATGTAGGGAAGAAGCTGCTAGCAGAAAGCTGCCCACCTATTTTAACTTGGCTTGGCTACTCCATTTCTCAAGTTTTTTTGTTTTTTGGGTTATTCGCAGCAATGGTCCCTCAACTATACCTGTAGTTTCATTTGGGTCACTAAACTCAATTATTAGTTGCAGAAGTCACTCAACTATGTGTTTCATTGCACCAGTAGTCCTTTCGTCAAGTTCGTTAGTTTTTTCTGTTTAAAATGATGATGTGGCAAGCATCTGTGAGAATCTCATAGATTCATGAGGGGCAAATCTGACTTTTCAGTTAGCCTTCTTCAGCTCCTTGAACTCAAACTCCCTGTTGCTTTAAATAACTTGAGAAGGGGATAGTCTTGTCCGATTAGTGCACCTACATGAATCTTGCATTAGATTTCTAGCTGCGACCTTGTGGGTTATCAACTAGTAATGTGCTTTCCTTAATAGTTAATTCCATCTTTACCATTTGGCCCACCAAGTGTGCTTTATATTGATATCTTTCAAGTCGATGATTTCCTGAGCATCCCGAGTAGCACCACCACGGGCTTTAACCTTTTTTGCAATTCAACACTAGGAGGCTTGATAACACGTTTGAGCTTACCTTCCTGGTTAAATATCAAGAGCTTGGTGTATGGAATTCGATTAGAGACGATGGGGAGGCCTTGGGACCAAGACTCGAGCTCTTGATGAGATAAAGCTTCGGATTTTTTGAGCATGGACTTCTTGGGCACTCGCTTTGTCTCTTTGACGGTGGCTATGCCGGTTGGGATTTGGGGGAGAGCGGTGGAGATTACAGTGAGAGTTACAGAAAGCTTGAGGAAATCGAAATTGGGTTTATGGGTTTTATCGTTTTCATCATTATCATATGTGGTTGAGAGGTGGGAGGAAATGGAGGATGAAGCGAGAGGTTTTGGTGGGTTTTTATTGAGGGTTTTGGGTTTGGGGTTTGGGGATAGAGAAGAAGATGAGTAAGAGCCCAGAATGCATTGGCAGGCCATGGAGTTTTGGTTTGATGTGAAAATATTGGGAGGTTGGACATTGTAGACTTGGAGAGATAAATTTGCCCATGAAATTGACACTACGTTAGCCGGACTTGACGGAAGGACTACTGGTGCAACGAAACACATAGTTGAGTGACCTCTGCAACTAATAATTGAGTCCAGTGACCTAAATGCAACTACGGGTATAGTTGAGGGACCATTGCTGCGAAAAACCCTTGTTTTTTTTATTTTCCTTTTGTTTTCCGTCTCTTTAGTGTTTATGACCTTGAATGAAGTTCTGTTTAATGTTTTTGTACATTTCCAATTGCGGGCTTGAAATACTTTTTGGGTGTGACATCACGAAATTATAGGTAGAACTTTTTGATGTTTTGCCTTTTCTTCCTTTTTGTCATTGCTATTGCTTTTTTTTTTTTTTTTTTTTTTTTTTTTTTTTTCTTATATAACTTGTGCTAGGCTCTCAAGAGTAGAAATCCCATCATCTCTTTGCTGATTTACTGAGTTTGGCTGCTTATACCACGGGTCCTTGTGCGTTTGAATTATTCTTCAGTTCTTTTAAATGTCAGTGATGGTCTTTCACTTGAGAGCAAACGCTTTTTTTTGTCTATTTCCCTCCTAATTATTTTATATTTCTAGTTAGTGATGTTAGTGAGGTATCACAATGTTTGTCCAATTTGCATTTCATCGTTCTTTCTCCAGCTAGCCATCGAGCGAGAACACCAACAATGATCAGATCCCTTCACCATAGACAGATGAACGGTTGATGCTACCAACTACAAAAGAAGAGGGTAAAGTTGTAATTCCTTAAGCTTGGATATCTACTAACTTAGCTAATTGGAATTTGGATATATATATATATATATAATAGCTTAACTTCTGGTATCTGGGACTGTTTTCTTTATTTCTTTGTCATTTCAACTTACTTACAGCGATGGTGGACACTTCAATTGCAGGGATGGAGGACACTTTAGTTGCATCATTCATTTGTATGTTCGGATAAGAGGAGTGCTTGGATTAGAAAGTACTAGCTATAGGTCTTCTTAGGCGTGTATGTATTATTGTTTGTAGAGGATTGTACAAATTTTTATTCATTAGGTAAATATTGTATCAATTGGATATTTATATTTAATTAAATAATAATATTAGAGGCCCTTTTTACACATGAAGTGAATTACCAAGGAATTATTATTATTATTATCTTATCAGAAAAAAAGAAATTACTATTATTATGCCATTAAAATATATCAACAGGAAATTGTAATTATTTAAAACATATATAATTCAAAAAATTATTAAACTAATTAAAGATGAAAATAATAATAAAATATAAGTATAAAGGTAGCTAAAAAGTCAACATATTGTTTGTTTCTTTCTTTATTAATGGTGACAAAGGCCAATAGTAACCCTCACAAATCTCACCAACTCAAAATAGCTGCATGGTTACTAAAGCCTTTATCACTAATAAAGGTGACTAATACTTTCAAAAGTCACCAAAAAAAGGTGACTATTGCTGATTTTTTTTTGTAGTGAAGCCAAGAGTCATTAAGTTGTCTGGAGAAATAAGTCATGGCAGCCAGCGACGAACCCATGAATTTTTCAGCGGAGGTGCAATTCTTAAAAGCTAAAAGCTATAAAAATAAAAGAAAAAAAAGAAGACAAAGAGAGCTAAATAAGAACAAATAATTTATTAAAAATTAATTATACCTCGAATAGCATGTCACGTAGCCTCTTCCCTCTCGAGTTTGCTACTGATCTTACTAATACAGAGAGAGCTAAATAAGAAAAAAAAAATTTATTAAAAAAAAAGAATAAAAAGAATTGGCTTTTGCTCAATAAAAAAAATATATGCATCCGACTTACTTTGGATTGGCGTACTCAAGAAGGAAAAAAAAACACATGACTCTTTTGATGCACACACACTTTGATGAAATTGGGTGATGTTAAATTGGTTTTTTATAAAGAGAATTCCCAATCCTACGTGCACCTCCTTGCGCTTGCACATGTTTGCCACTAATGACAGCTACATAAGTAAAGAATTTTTCAATCTTGTTTGACCAAAGAAATCTTTAGATGCAAAATGATTTTTGGTAGGCCTGTCGTGTGTGTCGATGTTAAAGCTTTGGAGAGTAAAAACTTCATAAGTCTTCTTTAATTCTTTATATCTGATGAATGAATTTTTGGTGGGGTGTCATGTCATGTCTGTGTGTATGTCTTACGATTTTGCCTCTAAAAGCTCAAAAAGCATTGTATGAAATGGGAATAGCAATGTTTTGTTATCCCCAACAAATCACACATTGTCACATGAAAAAGTTATCACGTATGACATGTTGTGATTGACCGAAGAAAGCAAAATATTGTTATCTCCGTTTTACATAAGTGTTACTAAATTCTATAACACTTCTCCAGTAAAAACTTCAAAGTTCTACTAAATTCTTTATATATATGGTGATTTGGCTCCCTACATACCTTCTTCTCTCATATATATTTTTTTTGGGGTCAATAGAGAAAATTAGAAAAAGGAAAAAATACAAAGGAAATTACACATAAAAAGCACTGGAAACTGAACACTAAAATGTTTCTTAATAAGCAAGGATTGAAAAGAGCTAAACTTTTTGAACTTTTTTTAACATGTTATAAAAAACTAAGTTCCAAAATTCACATTTGTTAGATGAATCCAAATCCCAAAAATACGGTTCAACACAAGGCCAAAACAGAAAATATAAAGAAAACAAAATACAAATAGAAGACCAAGAGAAAGCAGGCGGCAAATGTTCATAAAGTCTTCTTCTTTTCTGGGTAACAAAATTAAAGTTTTCCATTGACAAGAAGGCTCGATTGAACACAACCGGTAGAATCCAAACTCAGACAAAAAAAGAGGATAGAATATGGCCCTGCTGATATGATTTTTCTCTGCAAAAACAGTTCCTCACCTGCAAAGCTAGCAAACCCCTGGATCCACAAGACTACAAAGAAGAATATACTCATAATAATTCAGACCCCAATCTCCTTGACCATTGTGCCCTCCTCCCCACAAACACAAACACAAACACAATTCTCTAATATTACATGCATACATACATATATATGTATATCCATGGCTCCATCAACTAGTCATACAGAAAATTTGGGTATCTGTGTTTTTGGTAGTGTGTGCTAATTTCTACCATCAATTTTATGATATGCCCATCCACCCATTCTTCTTTGGATTCTCTCTGTTTTCTCTCTTTTTGTAGACATCTCTCTCTGTCTCTCTCAGCTCCACTCACTCTCTCCAAACAAAACGCTACCTCGCCGCCGACCTCGGGAATTACATTTCAGACCAAACCCAGAAAAGGGCTTTCCTTTCCCCTGATCCTGTTTTCCAGTCCTCAGTCCTCAGAGGTGTAGCGAAAGACCAAAAAAAGGCCATCCACGTCAAAAGCAAAGAAACAAACGTCTATGTTTGACCAAAAACATAAAAAAACGTCTTATGCTCAAAATGATGACAGCTGATAAAGCTCGGCAAGCAAAAGCCAGCACAAGTGTCTCTGTGATAAACCAACAAGATTTAGGTGTGGGATTCATCACATAGCCATTTGCTTCAAAACCCCTTTTGATCATTCTCACCGTATTTGGGTGGCAGAAGGAAAAAAAAAACCCAAATTTGCTTCTTGGTTTTCTTTTGGGTTTGTTTGTTTCTGGTGTGTGCAACGAGGACAGACTAAACCCATATCTCCTTCTTCACCACGTGGCGTTAGCTTTTTCATAGCGGCCATGTAAGCCCATAACCTTGTTTTGCTTTATAATTCACCACCAAGGCCTCACTCTGTGCCTCAATCTCTCGTTTTCCCTTGATGGGTTGCTCTTGTTCTTGTTCATTGTATTGAGTTTTCAGCCATCTTGGTCACCCATGGCTTCCATTCTTCGGTTTCGCAAGCTGTGCTATGTTGAGCCTTGCTCTTCTTTAAAATTTCAATATTTTGAAACCCCCAAAATTGAAAACAGAGATGAGGGTGGTGTTGGTTCCAAGACTGAGAATTTATTAGAGAAGAAGCAGAGGAAGAACAAGAACAAGAAGCAACACAGAGAATGGAGGTGCATAGATAGCTGCTGTTGGGTAATTGGGTACATGTGCACAACTTGCTGGGTTCTCTTGTTTTTGTATCACAGCTTGCCAGCTACATTGACTGGTTTTCCAGTGCCAGAGTCACCTGGGACAAGGCTTAAAGCTGAAGGGTTGACTCCTCTTCACCCTGTTGTTTTGGTGCCTGGCATTGTAACTGGTGGCCTTGAGCTTTGGGAAGGGAGGCCTTGTGCTGAAGGACTTTTCAGGAAGCGTCTTTGGGGTGGCGGTTTCACAGAGATCTTCAAAAGGTTTGTTTGTCTTCATAATTGAATTACAGTTAGTGTTTTAAGATGATCTAATTGTAAATTGTGTTTGCAAATTAGGCCCTTGTGTTGGTTGGAGCACCTATCTCTACACAATGAAACAGGGCTTGACCCTCCAGGAATTCGAGTCAGAGCAGTTCCAGGACTCGTTGCAGCTGACTATTTTGCTCCTGGCTACTTTGTTTGGGCTGTTCTCATTGAAAATTTGGCAAAAATTGGTTATGAAGGGAAGAATATGCATATGGCTGCGTATGATTGGAGGCTATCTTTCCAAAACACAGAGGTAAAAATTGTTCTCCTGCAGCTTCTATCGTTCTCTCCTTGTGCCACTTTACCAATCCAAATCACACAACATTTGTTTGTTAGATCTCGCTTGTTTCTGCATACATATGCTGAGTCGAGTTTGTACAAAGCTTGTATTGAATCATCATCAGCTTACTTTGTTTATTATTATCATAGATGATTTATTTTTTGTGTGTGATCTCAATGGCTTATTTTCTTTCAGAACTCCAAATTCATGTGTTTAGTGAATGCATTGTTGTTCCATTTGTCATATTTTTAATTCAATACTGTTTGAACTTTTTCTTTTTCCAAACACTATATGAAGCAGAATTAATCATTTCGTTCTCGTGTCCAAATATGTCTTTCCATTTCCCACTCTGCATATGCTCCATTCTACAAAGCTGAAAAATCTAAGCTGAGTCCACTAATATATTTTTTAATTGGGAAAAGCAGATTCGAGACCAAGCTCTTACAAGATTGAAGAGTAAAATTGAGCTTATGTACGTAACCAATGGCCATAAGAAAGTGGTGGTGGTACCTCATTCTATGGGTGTAATTTATTTTCTCCACTTCATGAAATGGGTTGAATCACCTCCTCCTATGGGAGGTGGTGGTGGTCCAAGTTGGTGTGCCAAGCACATCAAAGCAATCATGAATATCGGTCCAGCATTTCTTGGGGTTCCAAAAGCCGTTAGTAATATATTTTCTGCTGAGGGTAAAGATGTCGCATATATCAGGTTTGTCTTTGCAATCTATCCCTCATGTGAACTGGCATTCTGATAGTGCAAATTGTGTTACACAATATAAGATACTAGCGCCCTTATGTTGATAATTGTTTAGTAATGTACTATGTGGTTTAAGATATGATGTGTTCAAATTCTTAGAGTTTTTCAAGGCCCTATGAGAAATTTGACATTATGACCACTGCATGATGGAATTGACTGTTGGTCCTTGCAGAGCTATGGATCCTGGTGTTTTAGATTCTGAAATTCTCCGGCTTCAAACCCTTGAGCACGTCATGCGGGCATCTCGAACCTGGGATTCCATAGTTTCCTTATTGCCAAAAGGTGGAGATTCCATCTGGGGCAATTTGGACTGGTCTCCTGAAGATGGGCATAGCTGTGACCTGGCAAAGAAAGGATATCTACAGACGTCAGGTGACACTAATTTCAACAACAGGGATGAAAATAGAGTTTTCCAAGTGAAAGAACCTGTGAAGTATGGAAGAATAATCTCTTTTGGCAAGGAAACATCACAAATATCTTCTCCACAGCTTCCTAGGCATGATTTCAAGGTACTCTTCTTTAATTCTCTGCTGTTCTGTTGAAATTCATAACCAATTATTCCACACAGGGGTGTAGCGAAGATACTTAAACAGCCAAGGTGATGCAACTATGACAAAAACTTTGATGCCAGTGGCCCTTTTAATATTTTCTTCTTTTTTTCTCCAATGAATTGACATGAAGATATCTTCTAATGGCGTGATTATTGTCTTTCTAAATCTTTTTTTTATTGGAAATTTGGCAGTTCCATGTGAATTGAACCTATCTGCCATTCTTCACAAATGATTCAAATGACTGTTTGTGGCAGTAAAATCAATCTATATTTTTTATTTATTCATCTCCTTACACAAATCGTACTCTAGTTAGTGGATACTTGTAGATCCTCCATTTGCATGTTCTCTTAAAAGTCGTAATTTATTTTCTGTATTGCATTCAGAATAGATATTATTAGTTATCTTAGGTTAACTTTTTGCTGGGAGAAAAAGGCAGTAGAACATTCGATTACCAAACTTCACACTTGAAAAACATCTTGAAGCATTTACTTTGAAGAACCATTTTTCAGCATGCTTTCTATTAACAGAGCAGACCAAATTAAAAAAAAAAAAGTTTCTGCATGAAGTTCCCCTTGAACTAAACATATAGACACATGCCAGGATGAAGTTCCCCTTGAACTAGAAACAAGATAACAGCAAATGCATGAATTTTTCGTATTACTTTAAAGCTTGGAAAGTCATTGACGGGCATTCCACTTTCATATATGGCGAATGCTAACATATGCCCAACTTAATACCATTGCTTTCTGATCGATCATTTCAATACTTTTGTTGTTGTTGAGAAACTATCATTTCAGTCTGTATATTAGCATGGTGGTCTTCCTTAATAGGGATGATATTAATGATTTGCTTAACAGGATCTTCCGCTCAAAGATTCTGCCACAAATTTCACATCTTCATGTGGAGAGGTGTGGACTGAATATGATGAGCTAAGCAGGCAAAGCATCAGAAAAATTACAGAAAATAAGGCTTACACAGCTCAAACTCTTTTTGATCTGCTGCGCTTTGTGGCTCCAAAAATGATGCAACGGGCTGAGGCTCACTTCTCTCATGGGATAGCTGATAATCTTGATGATCCCAAATATGCCCATTACAAGTATTGGTCCAATCCACTTGAGACCAAGTAAGCGTACATATCGTTCAGCACTTTTCTGATAGAATTTCACTTTTCTGAGCAATGCTTACTCTTCTTTGTATAGCATAGATAACCTATCTGAGAGAATAAATTTAATTAGTTATTTCTAATTTATTTTTCAAAAACTATGCATAGCTATCAGAAACTAAAACACACAATTTAGAAGTTTACACTTAATTTCTACAACTAATACTAATTCCTTGGTGTCAAGAACTTCTTTTCATTCCCCCTTCTTTTTCTCTTGCAAACACCACATTTTGCTTCCAAATGATTCTATTAGGGTCCAGTCTCCAATTTGTTACCAACATTTTGAATCAAGTGAATCACAAGTACTCAAGCAACTACTGCTTCCATAATGGAATGTATGCTGCCAAGCAATGTTTCTCAAACCATTTTCCTTCTGCACCTTTCATTTGCTTGTTTTTCGGTTCCATTGAACTTAATGGCATTAATGATTAATTTGAATACCCGGTTTAGGCTACCAGTTGCTCCAGATATGGAAATATACTCCTTATATGGTGTTGGAATCCCCACCGAAAGATCATATGTATACAAGATGTCTCCTTCTGACAAGTGCAAGAGCATTCCATTTCGGATTGATGGCTCAGCAGACGGAGAGGCAGGCAGCTGTCTGAAAAATGGAGTATATTTTGTGGATGGTGATGACAGTGTGCCTGTATTGAGTGCTGGACTCATGTGCGCCAAAGGGTGGAGAGGAAGAACCAGGTTCAACCCATCTGATATTGCTACCTACATAAGGGAGTACCAGCACAAGCCACCGGCTAGTCTGCTTGAGGGAAGGGGTATAGAGAGTGGTGCACATGTTGACATCATGGGAAATGTTGCACTAATCGAAGATGTTCTACGGGTTTCTGCCGGAGCAACTGGTGCACAGATTGGAGGTGATAGGATTTACTCAGATATTATGAGAATGTCTGAGAGAATAAATCTTCAGCTGTAACCTGTATGTAAAAAAATGATCACCTTTGCAATTAGGCAATGAGAGGCACACAAGGCATATGAAGACAAGTACTAAAAACGGAGAGCAGCTATGTTATGGACAACTATCTCAACTGCCATAACTGTCAGACTTAGCACTTCAGAGTAAGGCTTGGCTTTGTGAATGGAAACAAAAAAAAACTACTCTTGGTAAGATGGGGTAAATGGGAATGCAGTGTGGAATTAGGAGCTAAAATTGAAGTATTTTGATATTGCTTGGGAAACACAATAAATAAAAAAGAGCGATAATAGGAGCCTAACGGTAAACAATTTTTTCTTTCTTTATATTCAAATGTAGTACATCTTGTAATTTTTGTGTGTGTGTGGAAACCCCTTATTAGGATTCACAAAATACTAATCACATGTTTACTTAACGGGGGTGTATTCAATTTAGATTTTAAAAGATTTTAAAGAAATTTAAAAGTTAAGGTGTATTCAATTCACGACTTTATAGAAGTCTATATGATTCTAAGTGTATTCAATTCAGACTTTTTAAACTCCATTCAATTCAGATGTATTCAATCACGACTTTAAAAGACTTCAGAAAAGTTTAGGTGTATTAAAAAACTCATTGATTTTAAAGGAAATACCAAAAGTGGTGAATTCCCACCCACCCCCCCCACCCCCCACCCCGGCCCCCGAGATTTTCATAGATATATATTTTTATTTTGGATTTTCATAGATATATTATTTTTATTCTCAAAATATTATTTCACTACTTATACTACCACCATCTTATCATGGCTATCACCACTGTCGTCACCAAAACCACCACAATCATTGTCATCGCCGCTAGCACCATCACCATCACTGCCATTGCCACCGCCAACCATCCACCACCACCACCAAAATACCAACCCCACTATCACCCCCACTATCACCCCCATCGTCACCACCAGCATCATCACCATCATTGCCGCCGCAGCCACTCCCACCGTCACCGCCATCGCAGCCACTCCCATCACCACCGCCTCCACCACCTCTCTCCCACTGCCACTGCCATTACCACCTTCACTTCCCCCACCATCGCCACCGCCATCACCACCACCGTCATCACCCCTAAATCCTTTGTTTTTTGAGTGATATAAACTCCATTAAAATCAATAATAAAACTATAACAAACTCAGTAAAATCTATACATGAATTCAGTCAAAAACTATGTGGAGTTTGTAGAATTCAATCAAACTCAATTAAATTAAATTAAATTCAATTAAACTCCATCAACTTTATAACTATTTTAAAATCATTTAAATTCTAAATTGAATACACCCTTGAAGTCAGGGAAGTTATGAATTGGGGAACTTAGATGGGGTAATTAAAGAATTGGAATCAAATCAACTACTTTTCTTAGTTGATCCCATTCTTGATTTTAAGCAAATGTGTCAAACGGACAGGGCCAACCGATAGATATGGCATGACTTGTATCTTTGGATGGGTCGGGACGAGATAATTCGGCCTGAGGTCCGTCGTGGGTTGTGCCAGTTATTAAATTATATTCGTTTTAGAGAAAAATAATGCATAATATTATTATATTGATATATTTTTCTAAATAATATAATTTAAAAATCAATGATTTTTTTTAAATAAAGAAAATAATGATTTTATTTTGTAAGTCTTAATTTTTAAAACTCGAACAATAGTCTAGCCCTTTTCTATTTAAATGCTCTTAAAGAAAAGTCATTGGCTTCTTTTTTCAAGAAATAATAAATCTTTTTCGTATATACATAATTGTAAAAAAGATTGAAATGAAATAAAAAAAAAAAAAAAACCAAAAAAAAAAACAAAAAAAAAAAAAAAAAAAAAAACAATACATTGAGCTTGGTTGGTGGACCCATATAAGCCCTTTTAGTGGCATGGTCTAGTCCTATATGGGCTAGGGTTGTGTGCTCGGGTTGGACTTAATTATGTTCATAAGTGGGTGGACTCGATCTGTCCCGTTTATTAAATGGGCTGACTCCAAATGAGCCTCTAATTTTGAGGGTATTTGATTTCAAATTTTAACGTGGAACCCACATGGGGGTAGGCTAGTTGGCCAGAGCAGTGATGCTGCCTCCTTATACCCAAGTTTGAATCCCCTTACCTCTATATTAGATTAGTTTAAGAGTAGTTTAGACTATCACTTGTATTCATACAAAATATAAAAAAAAGATTATCACTTGTATCAAAATAAATAAATAAAAACTCACAATGAGCTAAATGTAGAGGCTACTCTTGTACTGGAGGTCCTAGGTTTAGTTCCCCCTTTCCCTATATCGCTTGTATTAAAAAAACAAGAAAAAAAACTCACCCATTGTACCTCATCGTTATCACTTGCTATAATCATGTGTTTTCTAATTTTTTTTCTTTTGGTTCATCACCTTCTATGCAGTTTCTCTCGTTGTTTCCATTTTCCATATTTCAGATTGTCTCCATTTTAAAGCCAAAAATTCCCAATCCGTTTTTTAATTCTCTCTTCCCCATTTTTTCAGATCTCATCTAACCAAACCAAAGTTTTTCCAAAAAAATTTCAAGCCATCTTTTTTATCTCTCTCTCTCTCTCTCCCCCTCTTTTTTATTATTTTCTTTTGTTTTTGTTTTTGGTCAATTATTTCTTTTCTTTTGTTGTCACGTACGTTCGTCACTTTCTCTTCTCTGGTGCAATGTCTTCATCTTTGTTTATCCAGTTTTCCAATCACAATCTAATTTTTTTTCTTCAGTATGTTCACATGAAAATGACATTTTTGTTTTCTGAAATCAGCTGAAGATGTTAAGAGAGTAAAGCTGACCCAAATGAAATTAAGAAAAAAAAAGGTGGAAAGATGGAGAGGAGAGAGAAACAACCACTCTTTTCTTGGTGCAAATGGCCTTTCAGTTTATAAAATCAAATTCCTCAGTTCGGATGATTATGAAAATGATATAATTATGGGAGTGAAAGGACCAAGAAGAGAGATGGGGAAGTGAATTTTTTTTATTTTATACAAACATGTTCTATTCTAAACTAATTTAAACTACGGGAATAAGAATTCGAACTCTCAGCTGCATATTAGGGAAGTGAATTAAACGACATAAAAACTTATGAACCTTAAAAAAAAGAAGATAATAATGTGATAATTAAAGATAACATTAAAAATAAGAGAATTTCAAAGTAAGAAAAGTTGACGTGATACGAAAAGTAGTAGAGGAGGGGAATCAGATCCTATTTCCAAACCCTGGAGTCCCAAAAGATTAATTCTTAAATCAGTAATGCCAAATTCATTGCATTTTAATACGCCGAGTTGCAGACCCTCACACCACAAACAAAACATTAATGGCATGGATGGCTTCAATGTTCATATAGCTCTCACCACCTTGGATCGACTGATGTGCAATGGTCATTTTAAAACATAGATTTTGGAAAACTAAAGTGATGTGCACGTTTTTTATAGTCCTTTTTGCACGCTAGTTGGGATATTTTAATTAAAGGCTTTTGGAGGTCGTCTTATGCCCAAGACCGGTCTGTTTTTTGACATGCTAGTTGGGATATTTTTCATTGTTTTATGGGAAAATAACGGTTTTGTCCCCTGAACTATACTATAATTGTTAATTCGTACTTTCGATTATTTTTTAGGTAAATTAAGGACACGAATTTGTTAAAAATAATCAATTAGATCCCTACGGTTAGATTTTGACTGATTTCTTCTATTTCTCCGTTACTCATTCCTGTGATGCACATGTAGCCCCTTTAAGAAGGGCAAAATCTCCACCTCATCTTCCACTTCGACTAAATTATACAAAACCACCGAGATCGCGTCATTTGGGCAAAATCTTGTTTTAGGGTTTCAATAGTGGGTAAATGCGACTTTAGATTGAGAGGATTCGATACGATTGCTGAAACTAATTGGGCAGAGTGAAGATTCGTTTCAAATTTGGGGGGATAATACAGAGAGATTCTGATTGACTTTGAGAGCGATTGTTTGAGGAGATGTCTACTGTCCTAACAGATGGTGGAGAGCATCCGAAGTACTGTAAGCATCTACTTTCCTAACTTCTCTCCACTTCATGAGTTTTGACGAATATTATACCATTATGTTTGTATGAATCGATAAAAAGATAGTTTTATTTATTTATTCAATGGTCCCTTTTATACCGGTTTTGGTTTGGAAAAAGATTTGTTCCATGGTGTCCCCTTTTATGTCTTGTTGTGAGACTCCTTCAATGGGAGTTGTATAATACGTTTTATTCATGCGTGGTCATTCATTTTTCTGTCAGTTGAGCAGTGAAAGATTCATTCTCTATGATGAGTTTTAATTTTACAGTTATTTTTGTACTTTAGTGAGTTGGTATAGGTGTTGAATAGTAGATAAATGTGGTAGATAGATATTAACTGTTCTGCATTTTGAACTATCCAGCTGATTGTGACAATTTTACCCTGGAAATTCACCATGGAGGGTATGTTGCAGATGAGTTCTATTTGGGTGGCACTGTGCACTGGAGTGACAACCATTGCAAAGATTATGTGTCCATGTTGAATTTGTATGAGTTGGCAGTGAAGCTTGGATACACAAAAAAGACAAGTAAGTTCTTTTACAAGAAAAAATAAAAGTGGGTTGGGTTCCAGTTATCACAGACAAAGATTATCTTGAGTTTGTGTAGCACCAAGTCCTCAAGACAACTAGTTGTGATATACATTACTAACATCTCACAACAAGAGCATACATTAGAGAGCCAAGCTTTTGTTCCAAGTGGTGCAACACAAGGCAACAAAGGTAAACAACATGTTGTTGAACATGTTGATGTGGGCGGTGAAGGTTTTGTAGATGTGGATTTAGAGACAGATGATGATGGAAATGTAGATGGTTATAGGGATGATGAAGAGTTTGTCAATGATGACTAGTTTGGTGAAGCTTTTGTAGATGATCAATTTGATGAAGGTTTTGTAGATGCTCACTTTGTGAAGGTTTTGCAGATGATGATTTGAACAATTATGGTGAGTCAGTTAATGTGGATGAGTTTGTAGATGTTGATGTGCAAGATGAAGAAAAAGATGAGGAAGAACCTGATGTAAAAGATTATGTGTATAGTGAAACTGAGTTTGAGCAAAGTGATGAAGAAGATGAGAGGATTTATGGTAGATTTGTTGTAAATGAAGATGAAGAAGACCATGGGAAAGAACTGGGTGAGGCTGACATTGATGATTTGAGAAGTGTTCATGATTCTAAGGATGAGGAAAATACTGTAGTGATAGGGAAAACCAAAAGAAGAGCCTCTAGAATTAAGCAATATTATTAGATATCATGACTTGAGGTTTCCCAAATTTAGTTTGGGGCTTGAATTCCCAACCATGATAGAGTACATAGAAGTTGTTCGATACTATGCTAATAGTTGTGCCAGGTTACTAAAGTTTGTGAAGAATAAGCCTGGTAGGCTCAGAATTAAATGCAATGGAAAACCAGAGAAGGGTCCTTGTCATTGGGTACTATATGCATCTCATGTTGGGAAATGTCTGACTATTAGAGTGAAGACTTTTGTAGGATAGCACACATGTGGGAGAGAGGAAAGAAGCAGATTTGCCATTTCTACTTGGTTAGTTGCAAGATTTGATGAGGAGTTTAGGACAAATCCTAATATTTCAGTGGGAGATTTCATGGAATTGGTAAGGAAGCATTATTTCATTGATGTTACTAAGGACTAGATCTATAAAGCAAAGCAAATGGCTTAAGAGAAGATTCAAGGGTCAATTGAAGAACAATATGCAAAGCTATGAGACTATTGAGAGGAGATTAAGAAACAAAATCCAAGTAGCATAGTCCTTGTGAAGACAACTTTGAGAGATGAAGATTCAGTTTTCCAAATGATGTATGTATGCTTTTATGCTTGTAGGGGAAGATTCTTAAAAGATTGTAGGAAAATAATGGGATTTGATGTTGCTTTATCAAAGGAGTTCATCTAGGTCAACTACTTACTCATGTTGGGATTGATGCCAACAAGGGCATGTTCCTAATAACATTTGGTGTGGTGGAGATTGAGAACATAGGGTGTTGGACTTGGTTCTTAGAAATCTTCTTCAGAGATGTAGGTATCACAGATGAAAATGGATGGTGATCATTACAGACAAGCAAAAAGGTATTAGAGCAATAAAAGACTTAGTGCTTGCTGCTAAGCACATACATTGTGTTAGGCATCTCCATGCAAACTTTAGGACAACTAGTCACGGTAGTTGGGCTTTGAAATAGAGATTATGGGCTGCAACTAAAACCACTACAGTTCCATGGTGGGAAGCATAGATGGAGAAGATAAGGGATATTTCTGGAGAAGCTTACAAATGGCTGGAAGATAGGCCTGCAAGCCATTGGAGTAGATCACATTTCAAAACTGGGGGAAAGTGTGATATGTTGCTCAATAATATATGTAAGTGTTTCAATTCTGCTATTTTAAAAGCTAGGGACAAACCAATATTGATGTTAGAGAGATTAAGAAGTTATTTAATGTTGAGAATGGTGAGACAAAGAGAAATACAGTGGACTTAGAAGGTTGGACCAAGGATTGTAAAGATAATGGAAAAACCTTGAATGCGAATGGGTCATGTATTGCTCAGCATGCTGGAGGATGAAAGTATCAAGTTATGTGTTTTTTTTGTGGGGGGGCAGCGGAACGGGGTGTGGAATATATGTATGTATATTTTAAAATTCTCATTCTAATGAAATGATGAATCTTTGTGGTCTTCCTTGTTGCCATGCATTGCCTGAAATCTCAAGGCAACAGAGGAGTCTCATGCAATATTGAATCCAGCTCATTTTAGAGATGCATATGATAGAGCATATGAGAATTTCATATCCTCAATGCCTAGTCAAGACTTATGGGTAAAAACACGCAATCCAACCATCAAACTTCTTGTGTACCACAAACAAGCTAGAAGGCCAAAGAAATCTAGGATGAGAGGGATATATGAGATTCCAAAAGGTGCTACAAAATTAAAGAGGTATGATATTGTAATACACTGCAGAATATGTGGCCAAGAAGGGCATAATGCAACTAATTGTGGTTGAAATGATAGAGAAAGGTAAACTAGCAATTCACAAAGGCCAAGGCAAGCTGGAAAGAGGCGAGGTAGAAGGCCAAGGGAAGCTGTAAATAGGCAAGATGCACCTACTGAACTAGTAAGAACCCAAACTACTGCTAGCCAAACTCCCCACTCTAGACCAAAGAGAATAACAAAACTAAGGGTATGATGCTGCTTGGTATTATTTGATTTTATGCTTGATATTATTTGATGTCGCTTGATATTATTTTATGATGCTTGGTATTGATTTTGGCTTTACTTTATGGTTTTATGCTTGATATTATTTGATGTTGGTGAATGGGGATAAGGCATGTAGAGGCAGAGGCACTTCAACTGCAGGAATGGGAGGTAGAGACATTGCTCCAAATATAGGACTTGGAGGGAGATGCACTACTCCAACTATAGGAATGGGTGGGAGAAGCTCAGTTCCAAGTGTACAAGTGGGAGGGACAAACCGCCAACCAAATGCAGTCAGTGGTTATCTGCCAATCCCCAAATTTCAAATCACCTGCAAAAAAGGCAAAGCCTAGGCCATTACACTGACCTTATAATGGTTACATTGTTTGATAATGCAACTGCCTTGTATTGTGAATTTGTTTTGGCAAGACTTTTGTAATTGTGAACTTGTTTGTTTTTGTAAGTCTTTTGTAATGCTATGCACTTGTGGTTTTTAACCAGTCCTTTGTAATGTTCTGCACTTATGGTATTTAGCAAGTCTTTTGTAATTGTGCTATGGTTAAGCACCACTGATATGGTATGCACTTTTGTACTTCAAAGTGTTAAATGCAAACTCAATACTTATTTTCAAAGTGATATCCAAATGGTTAGACATATTCATTCCCAACTGCTATGAGTACATCAAATTGTTTCAAATTGCACACTTCATTCAAAGCTAGCCAATTTTTTTATACAGGAAATGATGTCAAAAAACAGATACAAAAATCCAACAACACCACTAACACATATTACCCAAAACCACAAAATACATGCCCTCAAACCCTTTCATCACATTAATTCCAATTTCAGCTGTTTCTCATCCTTGCAATTTGGTTTCGATAATACAGATAGGCCCAAAATTATCATCACAATCAAGCAACTACAAAACCAAAACTTAATCTTCTTTACTTTAGCTCTCTGGAACTGAAGTTCCTCCGTGGTTCTAATATGCCTTAACAGCTCAAGAATGATCTGCTTGGAACAATCGATCATTTATGGGTCTGTCCACTCCCACAAATCACATCGTCAACCTCTCTGCATCAGTCATGGAATTGGATAAAAGAAAAGAAAAATTCAAATAACCAAAAGCGTCATAAAATTCACCCCTTGTGTGCCACAAACATAGAACCTTCTTCTAGGGTTTAATATGTCCACGAAGTCCTTATTACTGCATCTTTTCAACATCTACAATATCTCCCCAACACAACTCATCCACGTTTACTTGAGGTCGATGTTTCGCGCCTCATTTCAACACCACCACTGATATGGGTTACGAAATTGGGGTTCTAGGGCTAATTGGGGGGGATTTAGTCGAAGTGAAGGGTGAAGTGGCGATTTTGCCCTTCTTAAAGGGGTCGTGTGTGCATCACGTAGGAAGAGTAACGGAGAAATGAATGAAATCAGTCAAAATCTGACGGTAGGGACCTAATTGACTATTTTAACAAATTCATATCCTTAATTGACCCAAAAAAAAGAAGTGGTGCAAATTGATAATTATGTATAATTTAGGGGGCAAAACCTCATTAAGCCTTGTTTATTTATGTAATCATATGCATGATTACACTTTTTTTATTTATTGAAGACCATTGACTTACCCAACTTATATGTGAAATTGAGGTCAAGCAACATGCATGTATATATATACCTTGTTTTATTTATGTAATCATATGCATGATTGTGTATAGAATAATTTGCGTTGACTAGTGCACTTTTTTTTTATTGAAGACCAGTGACTTGCCCAACTTACATGTGAAATTGAGGTCAAGCAACATGCATGCATATACATTTTTCTTTTTGGTTAAATCGGATATATAAGTAGGCTTTTAATTTAAAATAAGATGAAAAACACAATGCGCATATGTAAGAAGAAGAAGATGCAATCATGCAAGAACATAAGAACAGAATAATGGTTGTTTAAGGTGATGTGAATCGAAATATGTTTGTTCGTGAATTAAAATATGGGGTGGTAATTTCCGATATGACCTAATATATGACTCGAAATTCGTACGGAAAATTAGCGGGTCAATCTGTAAGATTAAATTTTTGGGTGATTTTCAGATGGACCCGTTTAATAAACAAGTGAGTTTTTGGTCAACCTATCAACCCGCTAAAATACCTATATAATCTATTTATTAAATGGATCGTGTCAACCTGTGTAATACCCATAACATGTTTCTTTGTTTTTCTTCAATTTCTTTATTTTTTTAAAATTTTGTTTCTCAATCTTCATACATACATATAGATAAAATGTAATCACCATTACTTGATTAAATTATCAAAATGTAGGTTTTCTAATCATGTGGCTATACTATCGTAATATTCTATAATTACTCTTGAACCAGTTCTATACTCAGATCTCAATCGGTTGGAAGTCAGATTTTTTAAGGCGCAAGTTATTACAAAATCATTCATTCTATTAATATCTTTGTAGAACTAATAATGACATGCTGACAAATAATATGATCTTTTGTCCTATTTATGAGGCTAAATGACGCAACGTGACAATATGAACGGCAATCAAACGATTAATCAAAGAGAAAAGTCTGTAATCCACCAGTTATGAGAAAACTTCAAGTTTATTAAATTTAGAATGATAACATAATGCCCTAGCCACGGGCTAAAATTGGTTTAAATACTCATACAAACCCTAGGAGATCCAAAAGGAATTAACAAGGGAAATTAACAAAGTTTTCAAAAACTAGCAAAATATTGAAACGCTGTTTTGAGTTGCTAAACGATCTTAAATGCCTGAAAAAAGCCCATACATAATGGCAAAGCGATGATTTTTACTCATGACGCCATTTTCTTCGAAACTGCGAGTCATTGGCCCAAATCCGAGCTTAGAGTCCAAACTTGCAGCTTTCCGATTTTGCCTTTGCGTACGGGACGCTCCAACTCTTCTATTGTCTCAGCCTTTGCAGCATTTAAGATAATAAGGCCATTTGCAATTAAATTTTAATATTGACTCCCCAATTTAAAAATCTTAACTCCACCACTGTACATAATATTTTCTCTACCCATCTACTACCTTCTGTCTTTATCTCTCCTATGCACACACTTTGTTTGCCTAAATATCCTGGATTCCAAAAAATCACTCACTTCATTTTTTTTTTGTTTAGGAAAAAAATTCCGAAATTTCGATACTGGGTGCCAAACAGGGAGAAGGGGAGGGCCACCAGCATTGTGGTAAGGAAGCCGGCTCACAGTAATCACGAACTTTCATTTTCTCCGTTTCAATATATTTGGCAATATCTAACTAAGAAAGCTAGCGTATGAATTTCATTCATTTCGTTTTACATGTTTATATATTTTCCTTTGACCAACGACAAAATGTAGTTTGGACTCATACTGAGGAGCAACCGACCTATCTAATCCGTAGCTAAAGCTTTTCTTTTGATGTGAATCAAATATGTTTGTTCGTGAACCAAAAAAATAACCTCTGTTGGGCACTAATTAGTAAGTTAAGTTTACTTTTAACTCAAAATCGCAAAGTAACTTATAAAAATAAACACATAATATGATTTTCCACAATGTTCAATATTTTAATCATCCATTGTGTTCTAATAAGCGTAAGATCACAAAAACCTCTACATCCAAAGAAATCTAACTCGTATAATACCTCAAATCCAGTTCCAAAAATAATTAAAAAACCCAATCCTAGACATGTATTTATAAAAAAACTCAAACACTATTTAAACATAGAAACACACCCAAAATCAACCCCAAAATCAACAATTTTATATTTTTTGGGTGTGTTTATAAATGAGTTTTGGGTGTGTTTATAAAGTGTTTTGGGTGTTAGGTTTTTTTATAATTTCAGCCCCCATTTTGGGTGTTTTAGTGAAACTTCCTTAAAAAAATTAGGCAAAATATAGTTAATATTTGAAAGAAATAATGAATATGATTCGATAAAGTATTGTTGTTTGTTTGTTTTTTATTTTTTAAATACAAACGATAGTCTAAACTATAGAGGAACATAAATTTCTCACATACAAGTGGTAGGTGGCTCTAAACTTAACTTTATTAGTCATTAACTCTATATATAGACCCAATTCCTAACACTCAAACTCGCAGAGCTTCTCTTCTTGTGACACCTTCTTTCTCTAAATTATGGAGACGCTCTGCCTGGCTCCTTCACCCTCATCTCTGCTTCTCACAACACGGCACAATAATCAACAGAACCTTAGACACCAAGCATGCACCATTACTGCTGTGTTCACAAACCCAGCAGAAGTGATTTCCCTCAAACCTTCAACACCACTCAACCCTTTCGAAAAGGCACCGCACAAACCCTTCCACCAAACTCAGCCGTTGAAGAAAGTCTCCGCGGAGTCGTTGAAGTACGAGAGCGGCTTTCTTGGTGCGGTGCCTGATAAGTCTGGCGGAGATAATGGAAGAGAAGGAAACAATAACATTCATGATGCCATGAGATACTTGACAAAGATTTTGACGTCTAATGTTTATGATGTTTCCATTGAGTCGCCATTGGACTATGCTCCAAAGCTCTCTGAGAAGCTCCATGCTAATCTTTGGCTCAAGAGAGAGGACCTACAACCTGTAAGATTCTTTTTCCTCTCCTTTGTTTTTGGCTTCATTTGGAACATGACATTTTGTAAGCATGAAGTTGCGATAGAAAATATATGTTGCCTAAGGGATGACAATGACATGCATATGGACACACTTTACAAACATGTTTATTTGGTGATCAGATTTTGTGACTTTAGCATCGAACAAACACTAATAGTACTAGTTAGAGTTTTGGATCTTGATCTTAAAAGAATATCACAGCTATTAATTTTGGTGCATACATCAATAATATATACGTATCTTCCATATGATATATGAGATTATTTCATAAAAAATGCTAATCATACTTAGGGACGAACCCATGATTTGAAAATTGGGTGGGCTAAATTTTCCTTACGTACAAACCTACTAAATTTCAATGGTTTTAGATTGGTGGTCCAAAAACTAGAAAATACCGACAAATTATTGATATTGGTACAAATTTGATTATAAAAAAAAATAAAATTGTAAGAAAAATATGGGAATTGTTAGTGAAACTTTAGAAAATGTTACATATTATTTTAAGACAAAATAATTGAAAGAAATTTATATATAAAAAAAAAGAATTAAAAGAAATCTATTGTTGAGTGATTTAGAGTTGACAAAGATTGTAATTTATATAATGTTAATGCATATTAATTAATAAAAGAGTACTAAAACAATATATAGAAGCAATAAATATGGGAGTGTGTTAAATATTTAAACAAAAGTTGTAGTTAGTTTGTTGATTGAGTCTAGGGGGGATTGCCAAGATCGACACATGTTGGTTACAAAAGTTACTTTTTTAGCATTATTTTTAACTTTCTGGATGGCTGTGTATGATATTGTGGGCTGGTGAAAAGAAAGTTACTTGGGCTATAGCTTAGGTTAGTTCAAGGAGGTCCGTCTCTGGTCATACCACATTTATATATAACATTGTTACATTATATACCACCTTTATTAAAAAGGTGATACACAATATGATATGCAAATGTGATATGTTTTGCATTTCTCTAATTTCAATCATACAGACTCATATCAAGCCACATTTACATGTTGGAGTGGATTATTTATTGCCGACAATTTTCATATGAAAGTTCGGAGTCGTTTTATAAAAAAAACGAAAAATAGAAATGTTAGGCAGGTGTTAATTTATCTCTACAGATAAGTAAACCAATAAATCTGTCGGTTATTATTTTATACAGGAAACGACACTGACTATATAGTCTTAAATTTTTGTTTGTTGCCTCATCGTCATGCACAGTGCATACAAGCTGCTAGGTTTTTAAAATCCCAAAGTTTGAATCCCTCCTCTCCCCATTAAATAATAATAAAAAGGACCCGATTTGCATTTGAGTACCTCAATTTTTAAAATGGTTTTCGTTGTCCTTACTTTAGTTTCGTTAGGACAAATGGTTTTGCCGTCAATTTTGTTGTTAACTTTTCTGTTAAGTGTAGGGGCAAAATGATATTTTTGTATCAAAATTGATTAAAATATGAATAAAAAATTAAAATTATAACTCTCTCTCTCCCCCTCTATCCCAATTTCTACTCCCCCCAAACTTGATTTTTATTTATTTTTGTTGGTTTTTTATTTGATTTTCTTTTATTGTTATTTTAAAGATATGATTTTTTTTATTCATTTTGTTGGTTTTAATATCAAAATACCATTTTGTCCTTGCATTTAACAGAAAAAGTTAACAAAATTGACGGCAGCACCATTTGTCCAAACGAAACTAAAGTTAAAGGACCACAAGAATCATTTTAAAAATTGAGGTACTCAAATGCAAATAAGGTCAACGTTTAGGGACTAATAAAACTATTAACCCAAATCTCTTTGCATAGTGGCCTCTTATTATTTTTCCTTTTGCTCTAAATTTTTTCAACTTAAAAGCATGTAATTGAAGGACTTAATATTCACACTTCATGCAGGTCTTCTCCTTTAAAATCCGAGGAGCTTACAATATGATGGCTAAGCTTTCAAGACAGCAATTAGCCAGGGGTGTCATTTGTTCATCAGCAGGGAATCATGCTCAAGGAGTTGCACTATCAGCACAAAAACTTGGTTGCAGTGCTGTGATAGTCATGCCTCTTACAACTCCTAAAATCAAAGTGTGACATCGTAAATCTTACAATTTTCAAGTATATTTTGAAAGTTTCTATATGATATAATTATCGGTTCTACTCTCTTTTTTTCACCAGTGGAAAACAGTGGAGAAGTTAGGGGCAACGGTTGTGCTTATAGGTGAATCGTATGACGAAGCCGAAGCGTATGCACAACAAAGGGCCAAAGATGAAGGCTTAATATTTGTGCATCCTTTTGATCACCCGGATGTCATAGCAGGCCAAGGAACCATAGGAATGGAGATCATGCGTCAAATTCAAGATCCATTGCATGCAATCTTTGTGCCTGTTGGTGGTGGTGGACTCATAGCTGGTATTGCTGCCTACGTGAGGAGAGTTCACCCAAAGGTTTGTATAGCTTACCAAACAAGTCTAATGATTTTCCCATGTCTTACAAATGCTTTTCTAGTCTTTTTGTTTATTTATTTTTCATTCTAAACATTTTAATTTTTTTATATGTGTGCATTGATGCCTAGTTTTTATGTGAAAAGCACTCATCATCAATCTTTGTTGATATACAACACTTACTGATTTTTTTTTTCTTTTCAATCATGCAGGTGAAGATTATTGGTGTAGAGGCATATGATGCAAATGCAATGGCACTATCCATACACCATGGGAAGAGAATTATGTTAGAAAGGGCAGGAGGATTTGCAGATGGCATAGCAGTAAAAAAAGTCGGGGAAGAAACTTTCCGTTTATGCAGAGAACTCATCGATGGAGTTGTCCTCGTCGATCATGATGCCATTTGTGCATCAATTAAAGTGATTCTCTCTTAGCTTATTCATGGTTTTTCAAGTTTCAAACCTTTTTTTATTTAATTATATATATATAGGGACAATATTTTGGAATTAATGCCAATTCAACTCTTTATTTATTAGGTTTAGCTTAAATTGTGTTTCTTCTGTTGCAGGATATGTTTGAGGAAAATCGGAGCATACTTGAACCAGCGGGAGCTGTAGCCATTGCTGGGGCAGAAACATATTGCAAACATTATGGGCTGAAGGGTGAAAATGTCGTGGCTATAACCAGTGGAGCTAACATGAACTTTGACAGACTAGGGTTTGTATCCCAACTTGCTGTTGGTAGGAGATGTGAATAAATTACTAGTGACTAGGGGTGGAGCCACACTGGGACTAGTGTGGTCCCGGGTCCCCACTCAAGTTTTTTTTATATTTTAAAAGTAATATACTGTTATGTATTTGTATATGTATATTATTTCAAATACTTTATGTTTGATATGTACCCACATGTATTGTTGCGGACTTATTAAGGCATAAGGAGATAGTTCAAATTGCGCCCTTGCTCAGCTAGTGGTGATGCACTCCAGGTGTACAGATTACCTTATTTCCATTTTCAACATTTAAGTAAATGTCTTTGTCCTTTGACTTTAATTTATTTTTATATTACTCCATTTACTTAAGTTTACAATGTAAATAAGGAAGTACATCTTATTTGGATTCAAATAAAAATACTAGAAAATCAAATTCCCACCAAATCAAAATATGAAAATTCGGTTTTAGTGTAAAATACGATTTAGGCTAAAAATGATGGCTCATAAGTCAATATATACTTCATACTAAAATCCCATAAAATCAAGTTTTCTTATTTCATGTGTATGGAATAAAAGCCGCCAAAAATTATCTTGAGAAAATGATTATTCCGAAAAACCATTTTTCATACTTAGTCAATATTTTTTCATGTATGATATGAATGCATAAAGGGGCCTAAGGTTGTTTTTAATTTAGGAAATTTTGATTTTTTTTTTCTTTCTATTGGGTTTAATGGGGGAAAAAAGCTATAAAGATATTTGCTAAATTGCTACTCTTTGTCTATCTCTTGCAATTTTTCTTGCTTAGAATGTATTTGTCTATTCCTTTGTCGAGAACAATTATGATTACAACCAATAAGCAATATAATTCGTGACATATGTGATATATATATACACTATTTTTTGTATGTATTATGAGTTCGAATTTTTGATTCTTTATAATTTGTAAGAAGCCCCCACACATATGAAATCGTGGCTTTGCCACTGCTAGTGACACACTTAAATTAGTAGTACTTAGCTATGTGTATATGTATAATAAACTCTTGCATTTGAGTGCAATGGGACCCTTTTGCCTGACAACAATATTTATCCTTAGAATGTAGAATGTTTAATTGGATTGATCCAGCTTGGGCTAGGTCCAGATCTAGCCTCAAATTAAAAAAAAAAATTCACTTTCTAATGCATATATTTGGTTTAGTCTAGTTTGGCATAAAGTAAGATGACGGTCGGTTTTGCTCACCTGACTCGGACAAGATAAGGGGCCCATTATCAGTTTTTGAAAAGAAAAAAAGGAGCAGCAAAAGTTGACTCCAACAACCATTGAGGAGCTGTCACATGCTGCTCTCAAATGCAATGGCCCCTAGTTGCTGGTCCGCTATTTTTTTTTAGTTCCCAACTAGTTCAGCCTTTTTTTTCCCTTTTTTTTTTCCCTCACAATTGTATAAAAACCTAACCATTTGTTCATCATGCTCTCACCTAAAAAATCTCTCAATTACTCCAAACATTTCTACTTGTTTATCTTTTTTCATTTTGCTCAAAATTGTTTCCAAAAATAAATTTATGTGTTGATTTACCTATGCTTTGATTTTTATCACAAATAAAATAATAAACTAAAATAAAAAGTTTTGAGTTTTAGCTCCTAACCCCTCACGACTACTAGAACCACACAAAAATTGAGAGGCTAGATTTTGTGAATAGTACCCATTTTGTAAAACAGCACCTAGCCCCTTGCCCTTGCATTAGACATGCTCTTATATCAAAGTCTTTCTTATCCAAGATAGAAGTAAAATAAAATATTGCCTTAGGCCATCTCTAATGGGGTCTCTATTTGGGGCTCAATCATTATGGGGCTCTCAAATATACAGCTGTTCACCCGTTTTGTTTATGCTCCTGTGATGGAAGGGTAAAATTCCCCACTGTCTTGAAAACCATTGACTGGTCAATAAGTCAGCTTTCTTTGGTGTGCGAGCGTGCCACTGCTAGCCTTGAAAATCCTAGCAGACTTCTTTAAAATGGATAACTTGCGCCCCAAGTTACTGATTTCTAAAGAAGTGATTGTGAATTTGGGTGAGGAATATCTCCCAAGTAAGTTCTTTTCTTGCCTCAGACTAGTGAGGATTTCACAATTTATCACAGTATAAGATTGGTAATTCTGGCCAGAATAAATGATGATAAAGATGACTGTTTTTAGGCAGAATTGCCCTTTACAAGACTTGGAAGGAAAAAATCACTCTAGAAAGATAAAAAGAAGGCTGAAATTCCATTTCTGCCTGGATAGAAGCTTCTGATCCGGGTTGGACTGGGTATATCTGTGTTGGATTGAACTGCCAAGCTTAAGCTGTAAATCGATATCAAAGCTTGATTTTGGCAGAGCTTTAATTTATTTCAAGCCCTGGAAGGCTTTTTGAACGGGCAGAACTGCAACCTCTTCAATCTGAATGGGACAGAAGTGGCTGGACTTGAGGATTACTGAGCCGGAACTGCATTATGGTACCTGTTCTGCTTGGTCAGGGCTCTTCATAAATTTGTTGAGGTTTTCATATTTATGAAAACTCAAGCTCTGCTTGTCTTGGCTGTTGCTGAACCAAATTTGTAACGAGAGGAATCTCGTTTTGAATGACTTATTTTCTAAGTCTGAGCTTGGAAGTTCTGAATCATGGCTGGCTTCTTCTTTGGCTTGACTGGGCTCTTGGTTGCTTCAGTTTGTTTGGGGGTTTTCAAGGATCAAGTGATCATTTTGAGTTCTTGTCTTGGGTTGATTTTTAGTTGTTTGATTTTGTTGTTGAATTGAGTGTGTTTTGCCCTGTTGACCCTCTCCTATATTTATAAGAAGTGCTTTTTGGAGTATGATAATTCTTTTAATAATGGACGGCAAAATTTCTCAAAAGATCTTTTATTTTTTAAAATGTAAAGAAGAAGAATGGGTTTTATCAATTCTGGCAAATAAGCTCTCAATGGTCAGTTCCTATGTCAATCACTTCCCTATTTTAATTCCATCTGCTCCCTGTGAGAGCTCAAACTGTGATGGTTAGTTTGATTTTCCAGTTTTGATCAACTCCCTGTCCTTCTGCTTATCTCTGTTTGAGAACATAGCCTGCTTATCTTTTTGGAAGAACCACCTTCTTTTGGAGAAAAAACATTATTTCCAAATATATAAAAAGGGATCTAACCTTCTGATGGCAGAGATTCAGAGAAGTCTTCTCCTAGCTGCCTGCTTTTGTTAACCCCAGTTGAAAATATTGACTTTTCTAAGTTAGAAACATCACGTGGGTTTGTTTCTGTTTTGGGTTTCCTCTTTTTAATCATGGCAAACCCAAATTTGAGTTTGGACCATGGGTTGATTTCTTTCTTTTCTTCGTCTTTCCGAGGCCCAAGTCTTATTTATTTATGTTTTAGATAGATCCTGGGCTGGGCCTCCTTTGGATTTGGGCTTTTGTTCACGATTTGGATCCGAACCATTTGGCTCTAATTTTGTTTCATCCTTCTGGGCCTTTGGTGTTGAGCTGAGTGTGTGTCTTGGCTCAATTTTAGAAGCATGCTGGTGGCTGCCCAAAATTGGCATGGGCCTTGTGATTTTGGGCTGGGTGTGCCAAATTGAGCCCAAACAACAGTCCATGACCAAAAAGGCCTAATGGTGAGTCATTCTATAGTGAGATTCTATCTCTTAATCATTGGATCAAACTAATCAATTTGATCCAACAACTAATCAATTTAATCTAACAGTTAATAGATAGGGCCTTATAAGGCCCTCACTATAGAATTATTGCCCTAATAGTATTAATTTCGGGCTCTAAATGATGACACTTGGCTAATGAAGGCCCAAAGAAGTTTATTTAGTTATAGATAATGGGCTTAGTCAAACCAAGCCCAATGAGCTTAGTCTATTTAATTATTATATGAATTAGGCCCATTGACGGAGAATTCTATACTTGCTAGGGATTCTTGTCTTAGTTAATAGGTTTAACTAGTGATTTGCCTTATGAACTTGTACCTAACTTTCGATTCACTCCCTATCCTTTTTTATATATAGAAAATTAAGTACATGAACTCTTTTTTTTAGCCAATTTCCCCCTTATAGTTTAAATCCTCAACATTTCATCTAATTTTTAGTTAAATTATTAAAAAAAATTATTTTTTAGGGTTTAGGGTTGATGGGGTTGCTGGAGAAGATAGAGCTAGGGGAGGGTATAAACTTTCATTTTTGGCGTGGGATAATACTCTCAAGACTTTTCGATACTGTATCTTACTAACAATTACTTTATAGTAACCTCCTGATATATAAGTGTTATGACTTCATTTTTCATACATTAATTGTGGCTCTATCGAATATTTGGGTACCCCTGGTCGCTTGCAAGTATGTGGTGTGTTTAATTCAAGTACTTAATTAATTGGTTTGTTTTGCATGCATGTTTATGCTTGGTAGCTAGATTCCGGAAGAAAACACCAAATATTGAGATTGTTTGGTAACTTAGCTCTACCATATATTCGGTTGGGGCAAAATTAGTGGTGGACATTTTAATTGATGAACTTGTGAACTAAGCCAAATTGAGTAAAAAAAAACTGAAAAAATATCGTGTTGATCGAAAAAGTTAAACCTATGCTCAAAAAACCGAACATATAATTTTGGATCAGTTCTTATTCTAGTTTTTGTATTGAAAAAATTAGTTTAAACCGAACCGAACTGGTAATGTTAAGTTTACTTATTCATTTATATCCAAAATTATTAATAAGCCTAATTAATACTCAAATAAAACATTAGTAACTCTCGGTAATATCTAGATATTTTAGGCCAATTAATACCCAAATATCTTAGTTATACTCAACTAAATAACTACTCTAGCCCAATTTTTTATTTTATTTTCTGTGAACCATACCCGTTCTTGTTGCATTTTTGTCTCTCTCTCTTTTCCACCTATTTCTTTATATTTCTCTTCACCTCTTTCTCTTTTAGTTGATCTATTTTGCATCTTTCTCTCTTAGAGCACTTCCAGCAGTTTGCCCCTTACCATGGCAAGGGGGGACTAGGGCAGTTACTATTCACATGAATAGTG